GAAACTAGATAATAATCAAGTAGGGGCTGAATGGAATAACAATATGAACTGATTATTTGCTTCATGGATGATAAACTACTGAGCATAGTTTATCAATCTGGTTGAACGAAACGAAATGAAGACTAGCAATCTGAGAATTAGTTCTAAGGTCAGTATTAGTGTTGAGTCGGCTTTCGGAGAACTTCAACGGAGCCTCCAGAGGCCCAAAAGGAGCCGAAGGGTCCTAGAAAATCAGAGTATGATGGAACGTTCTAGAATTCCGACGTGGCGTGCTACTATTAGTTGGTAGCATAATATGTTGTTAACAGATTGGCTGAAATATGATGTTGATTCAATAGACGCCAACATCTATAAATACCCAGACCTAAATCTTTTATTTAATTATATTCTCAGCTTAAACCTAGAATGGTCCAAAAGTCAATGAGTTATAAGTAAATACTATATCATAATATGGCTTTTTCTCAGCTTGAACATTAAGAGTAACATGAACTGTGAAATCAACGTTTTCTACGATCAACATACAAACCATCTTACACATAGCATAGCTGGAGAATGTCAGGACGACTGTTACTCTTGGTCTAAAAGATTACTTAAGTATATTTGGAAAGGACCTTAGAATTACCAAACGGCTAACCCCAAGAAGACTTGCTATACGAGCGCCTTTGCTGTCTTACTGAAGATAAATATATGACTTACTTTTGACGTACAGTATTCTATAAATGACTTTTCACCTGACAAGTCTTATGTATTCTCACCAACCAGGTTAGAATATTCCTAAGAACATAACAGGGGATTTCGGTAGTCTGGAACAAATCATCCAACGATAGAGTAGACGTTTACCGACTACTAACTTTTTGAAACCCATAATTTTAAGTGTTAATCTAATATAGACTACTTTATTTAAAACATAACTAAAAAATACAAGTATACTCCAGGAAACGAATAAAATAAGGTGCTAGTCAGTCTTCTCACTCACTAGTTCATGGTACGCATGAAAAGTAGTGTTTTCATTTCCATAGACGAGCTATGGTGAATCCTATCGAAAAATAACATTACCATAAACTATTGCTTTTTAAATCGACCAGGAAAGAGTTAATTTCAGACTTTTAACTCGATACAAACAAACAATTACGTCAGTGGAGTTAAATCCATCATGTAAAGAGGACAGAAAAGCATCCTGATTATACGACTACAGAAGGTAAGAAAAATTACAATTTACGATAGTATTAATGACTACAATAGCAATTGATGATAACGCGTAGCATACATAGAGGGAGAGGGATTAAACACATATATACTGTAGTATTACCGAACAGAACAATTTATAAAGACTGAAAGTAAATAAAGATAATAATTGTTAATTAATTTTTAAACGAAGCACAAAGCTAAATTCTTAAAAAATAATTGTGCAATAATACCAAATGTGTTATTGAGGAATTTGCAACATGCAAATAATAAATAAACACAGGAAAGGAAATAAAATACACATGCGGAAAAACGTTATTATAAAACAAACGAATAAGAAAAACACAAAACAATTGTAGCTGATACAACTAATACAAAGAAAAAACATACAGAGTCAGTTTTTGGTTATTTTTTGTTTTGTTTTAGTGACGTAAAAACAACAAACAATAGAGAAAGTGCATAGAATTACGTAATTCAGTGACAATTTCTACAAGGTTTTTTCCCCACTTGGTGACAGACAAAAAACAAAGAATGCTTCCAAGTAAACATGCTCAGAACAAAAAAAGCCGACTAACTGTAAGATTGGATTGAAAAAAATTACTTGTTGTATTTTTATTATTATGAACAAGCAGAGATATTACACAACCAGGAAAAACAAACAAGAAAAATACATGGGAAGGCTTGTTGAAAAATTAGATTATAAATAACAGTCTTTAGTCCAAGTCTGTGATATGCGTTCACGTCTGTAAAACTATATTTATATAAAAACTATTCCACAACAACTGAACGAATCAATTCTTTGATAAAGGATCATCAACATCAACAGTTTACAATGAAAACGTAGTTTTTATTGCTTTTTAACAGTAAATTTCAAATGTACGATATTTTCCTTCCATAATATTGTTTTATTTTAAAGTTCAGCTGTGTTTTTCTTTCAGAAAAAAAAACAACTCATTCGAAACAGAAAAGGTAAACACACAAAACCTTTTTTATATCTAAATATAAATAAAGCTATGGTTATTACTACTAAATACGAAATGTTCCATCATATAACACTATAAGTGCGAGTAATAACTATAGTTATTCAACAAAGTACTTCAAATCGAAAAAAAGAAAACGCTTTAAATAACATAGAAAGGAAAACAATGACACAATATGGTATATATATATCCACGACACACTGAACAGTTAACGGGATGGTTTTATACTATGTACCACACCCATATTTGTATAAATATTCCTCAAGTCATTTACTCACCTAAATATATTCAGATAAAAATGAAGAAAACAAGGGGAAGAATTATTACACAATATTACTTAATAAAATTATGTAGATGTTGATGAAAAAAAGTAAAAGAAAAGGTCTTGTGACTAAATGATAAGGATTAAACAAGGCAAAATTACTATTGTCTAATCTCCGTGAAATTGGTATACTATTAATAACTAGCTAACAATAGATGAATTATGGAACTCAAAACAACTGTCAGTTAACATCAAGACAGTTCTATTGTATGGAGCTGAATTTTAGAGAACTATCACAATTATCATCAAAAAAGTGCAAGTATTTATAAACAGTTGTCCATGAAAGATAATCCAAGTCCGTTGGTCGGATATCATCAGCAACAACCTACTGTGACAGACAAATAACCAGCCTTCACTTGAAGAGGAAATTAGGGTAAGACGCTAGAGGTGGGTAGGACATACATTGAGCAAATAAACAAATTACATCATGAGGTAAGTTAAAACTTCGAGTTCTGAAGGCCAGAAGAAATGAGGCACACTAAAGAACACATGATGTCGAGAATCGGAGGTAGATATGTGGAGAACGAATAGTACATGACAGCAAATGAAAGGATTGTTCCAGGACAGAGTTCCATGGTGAATTCTGATGGGCGGCGTATGCTGGAGTAAGTAGGTAACCATCGGACGAAAGAAATGCAGTCAATTATTTAGACTAAAAAAAAGAATATTGCTGAAGAATATATTGTATATTAACTGTTTTAAGACAGTTTCCAAGACATTGTTATTATTGATTAGTATGAATGTTCAAAAGACAAACATAAGAGGTCTCAATCGTGTTAATACAAAATGTGTCAAGGAATTGCATACAAAAGATCAATTCTGTTGAGAAATCTTACTGAACTATATACATCTGTATAAAACCTTAAACACGTTTAGTTTATTTTCTGCAACAAATACATGTATGCTTTCGTATAAATATCTGTCATAATAACATGCAACTACACATATGAGTACAGATCAATACTAAACACTAAAATTCCAAATGTAAAATAACTTAAAAATGTTAAATAAGTCAACATAACAGTAGTATAGCAATATTAGTGAACAATTTGTGGCTCAGAGTGAAGTCTACACAACAACTGAACTGTTGCTCATGATGAGCTTCCCCCCATGTATGTAAAACAAACACTACGAAATTCACTTAATCTACTATTGAAACACAATGAACATTATCAATCAAAGTTCGAATGAGGCTTAGCCAGTCGATTAACCTATTTTTCAACCTTTGCAAAGGACAATGTGCAAACAACTGATTGATTGCAGAGAAACGACCAGTGTTATATTTTTCTAGTCCTTCAGCACTAATCAGATTCCGTTGTTACATTATAGACATCAGTTTATAGGTCAGTCACTGGCCGAATAACACAGTGGAAACTTTAAATACTGAAGCTGAGTGACGCAGGTTCTATTCTATCAGGATAAAAAGGTACACCTTGCTGATGCATGCTAATCAGCAAGAAACCTAGGTCAACGGTTTTCTGTTGACTATCTTCAATTACCTAGCATCACAAACACGGAGAACTCTCGATTCGTGTAATATAAAAAAGAAATAATCTCCATTTTTATGAAAAGTAAAATACACGACAAAGCAACCATGATTATTCTAGAAAGAGAATTGATGAAAGTGAGAATTTTGTGAAAATAGTGTTAGTATCAAGTACCCTGAACAGATTGGGACAAATAATAATCATAGCAGCAGAATATGCTACAAATAGTGATAAACTTTATAAAAATAAATAAAATCAAAGCCGGTAACCAGGTTTATTTTTGTAATTTATATCGAAGATAGATCTTATTTGTACATAAAATAATGCATGATAGTCAGTCGTTGATAGATATTTCCAATTAGTTTAGAACGATCTACACAACTTAACGGATCTTAAAACACCTAATACGTTCTCATATTGAATGATACTTTACTAGTATTAACAGTGACTTGGTAGTTTTAAAGCGGAATAGTGGAAATTCGTGGACTGAATAATCGGTTAACTTCGTTATATTGATAATATTATAGTAATGTTCTTATACACGAAGTCAATTTTCACCAATTGATTCAACAATAACGTGCTTACTAATGTTGAACTGTTCCCAGTATGAGCTAATGAAACCTGAATCAGTATAAAGCAGCTAACACTTGTAGATAGAAGTTCCAGTGGGTTCGTCGCTGAACTTCAAAGAATTCTAGTCAGCATATCTACCTCGAAATACAACTGTGAACTAAAGCAATGGTGATAATAAAAATCGAAGGAACAATTTATACAATCGTATACTGATTGGTAAAAAACACCACAATATAGATAATTACTGTACTTACATGATGAAGAAAATGAATAGAGAGAAAAGTTACTAAATATATTAGTATGTATAGGTCAAACATTACAACAACCATAAATAGCAAGCACGTTGTTAGCCTAACACATAAAGTTTATGGTTAAAACATTTTACAGATTGATGAATAAACAGTCATAGACTAATTATTAGAAATACTGATCAACTCTACAGGTGATACCCACAGGCAATTTTGCTGTTGTTGTGGATGGCGGTGATGGCTGTGGTGCCGAGGAGTTTAAACTAGAACTACTCATATATATTGGTTGTAGTAATTGTTGCATCTCTGATCTAGATGTAGTATTAACTTGTGGTAAAGAGGAAGCGGATAATAATGACACCGATGATTCTAATTCTGCATTCCTAATTGATTCACCTATTTGATGATCAATATCATTGGAGCCAATAGCTAAGCGACTATTAGAGCTATCCTCATCACCACTGGGTGGTGTAATTAAACCCGTTGATTCATCTAAATGTTGTCTTTGTAATTCTTGTATACTTTGAATAAGATCGTGTAAATTTTGATCATGTTCACAAAGTCGTTTATCATCATCATCGTCATTATCAACATCGATACGCAGATCACCACGACTACCATCACAAGATGTTTCCAAACGTAAAAATTCTGCTAACGATGATGAACGACTACTGTGTGTACGTAATGAACTAGACAAATCCATATGACAATCCTGACCTGGAGATTCTATAGAATGTGCTTCATATGAACGTCGAATACGATCCGGTTCAGAATGAATCGATGATATACTATGTACAGATAGAGCTGGATTTTTGAATGATTTTTGTGGACCACTAAATGATTCATGTGATGTACGATTTGAATGGGAAAATGGATGCAATAGACGACGTGATACATTAGTGACAGCACCACCACCAGGACGAATTTCAATCGAATCCGAAGGACTTAAATCACTACTTTGCCAACTTTTCGATGGATTTATACTAGTTACAGATGATCTTGTCGAATATTCAGATGTTTCCGGTATAGGTGTCAATGGTTCTAATATTGAACGACCCTGTAGTAAATCACCTAACATATTATTATAATAAGTATCATCAAATAGTATTTCTGTCGAATCGACGGGTTCCATTTGTGGTATTGCAATTACTCTATCAGGAAATTCATAAATGTCATCGTTTAGTTTATGTGAGTGATCATAATAATTCTGATTAAGTTTCATGACTTTTTCCATATTATTTTGAATAATATTGTCATCTAATAAATATTAGTTAGAAGTTGAGAATATACACACATAATAAAAGAATAAGTGATCCCATAGTAAATAGATGAATAGATGAGAGATATAGACGCAGAGATACAGTGACGACAGAGTTAAAAAAAACATAATTTGTGTGACAAAAAGGTGTTATCATAGCAACAACAAAAGTGTATATTATATAGGACAGATGTAAAGACGAATAGGTTACGGGTAGCAAATGAACGAAGGCCCGCATAGATACACATAAATGCATTGAGCACACATACACATTTCATGGAAAGATTATTTGTTAGTTCGAAATCAAAAAAAGATTAGGGGTTATAAATGTCGTAGTTTAGTTATTGTTATTATTGAATATTTCAATAGTATGAATGGACGAAAACGATTTGGTAGAGGTGAAGTGGGCAGCGAATTTGTGGATTGGTGGGAGATTAGATGTATTTGTTTTGAATAGTATAAAAAACCAAATCCAAACATAAAAAGTGATGAAAGAAAAGAGAAAGAAAAACAGTTTTAGACAAGAGCAACATAAAAATAGGAAAGTTAAAGTGTCAAAAAAGTTAACTATTACCCCTAATAAAATAAAAAAAGGATTAGAATACTGAATAATTGATGCGAGTTTAAACTGAAGATAGAATGTTGTTGGTATTTAATTAAACATTATCATCATATTAAGACATCAGCTGAACAAATTCGTAAGATGTTCATAAAGGTAACAATTTGAAGAAAACAACACTTTTCAAATGAACACAGCATTTCAGTATGGCCTATCGAGAATGTGAGGACGATAGAAGTCAAGCTCAGCTGCGTTTTTGGTGGAAAATCCGATGTATGATTACTTGTGATCCCAGTCGAAAATTTACTATTTGGACGATTGTTTATAAACTGGATTCAGGAAAGTTATCTATGTACGCAATTCAAGAAGAATATGAGATAATGAAGTGCTTGACGATCCTAACAATAACCAGGGATTCTTAAACAATGAACTGGAAGATGGGACAAATGAGTACTTTGGAAGGGATAAATATTGACAGGCCAAAATTGTGCAGGAATAAATTTCTTGTGATCTCAGCGTATTTACTGAACAAAGTAGTGCCCCATACAATTATATATGTGACCACAACGCTATGTCACTATAAAAGACGAATATAAGTCAATATAAATTGTTTCCTTACTTTTAAGAATCATTTGCTGAACTATGATGAAAATGACACTTGGCAAGCTAGAACTAGCTTTTATACTAGTCTATGAACTATATCTACTGTGTAAGAACCAAGGGTTAAAGCATGACTGCCAAAACCTTGATATGTGCAGTGGGGTTCAAAACTACAGCTCAAATATTTTAGAAACACATGAAACATTTGAATAGTTGTCGAGTCAATTCATTTCGAACATCAGTGCTACAATTATATATATTGAAATGATTCAATAGATTTCAGACAAATGTATACGAGTAGATAAGAAATATTTTCAAGAGTGATTTCATTTGATTGTATTCAATTATTGGACTTAAAAAAAAACACAAATTCAAATGGATATCTGTAATGTTAGTGTTTTTTTATTATAAAAAACTAACATACACATACATACATTTGCCATTGAAATGTCAATATTAATGAAGAACCAAGTTTAGGAATAAAAAAAGAACAAACAAACAAAACGAACAGATATATCCACTTTCATATATAATTAGGATCTCAATTCTTATGGTCTATTTTTAGTAAACATATTTCCAGCTAAGATTGTTGTTAACAGTTATGTATTACACTGGCAAGAATTCAGTCTTCTTTCAGGCTGATATAAATCTACACGAGTTTTCAAAAAAAAATTGTCCACAATTTGCATCAAACTTTGCACAGGTGAAAGGGAAATAATAATTCATTATTGTATTAATTAAAGTTTTATTTCATCATACATTTTCTATTAAAATTGAGTGGAATAGGGAAAAGTTTGTAGTTAGTTTATCTAATTATCACATCTACATTAATCACTTTTATCTAAGTGATATGAACAAGTGATTCAATGTGAAACGTAATTTAATATAATTTCAATGAACCAAATTGAAGAAACAAAGTCTCATTAATATACAGTTTTTAAATTTAAATGTTTTGAATTCTGTATATATATAACATTATTTAAGAATCTTTGCAATTAGTCAAGAGTCAATTGAGAATTTCCTTAAAAAAAAACTAGGTAAAATTTAGTTCAGCTGTGAATATATGGTATCATCAACTACCGGAGAACGAACCATTGTAAAGTGAAGATAGTTGTTTTATTCTGCAGTGTAAGACTTCTGAGCTATCTATTGACATATATATACGAGATGTTACACGGTGTTGAACCCACAACTTCACGTCTCACAATAATCAAACGATACTTTTAGACCACAGTAAGTCGGTATATAACAATACAACAATGATAGATTCTATCGAAAATGATAAGCACCTCTGAGGTGTCTCAAAATAAGAAGGAACAGACGTTTAATATTTGATCTGGTTTTCAATGGTATTCCAATTAATTTGCCACAAATTAAAAAAAACCCATAGTAGGTTGTCTCGAGATGAACACTATCGAAAAATTACACAATCGCTTACTAGAGAATAGTTATACAAATAATGAACTTCAATTCACGTAATTTAAATGTTAAGATACGGTCAATTGTGTTGTCGAGTTCATATACTATGAATAAATGCTACTAACACTGACTTATTGTGTAATCATATGATCAGTTTATTTTTATATATAATTGAAGTTGTTCTGGAATAAACCTGATTTCTTAAATGAAAAAGAAACCACACAAAAAAAGACAATCATACAAGCTCATGTCACTAATCAAATATACATTTTTTTTCAATCAGCAGTTAGTTATTGAAACATCAGAATTAAACAAACTCTATAGAATACACGATAAAAGAAAGATAGAGAGTGGTAATTCTATCGAGATACACAAAATATGCAATAACATGAATATAACAGGATATAACTTGATCCATTTACTAAGTACAAGTGTTGATGCACTCGGCTTTGGATCGAAATTTAAGTATGATGGTTAATGATACTCTGCCTAGTTTTCCAAAGTGAAGTAGGTTTAGTAAAATTTAAAACTAAGACCCATAATAGATCTTAGGTTCAAATAAAATGTGTGAAATGAAACGAACAAACTATAAATACCTATTTATGTCAGATACCGTTTCAACAAGAAAAAGCCAATGATCTTCAATAATAAAAACCCTAATAACTGGACGTGTTTTATTCACAAAAGCGTATATATATGAATGCTCATTAGAATTTTAATTTCCATATCACAGATCAAGATCAGTGAGTGCATCATCATTTCGTGCAGTTTAGCGAGCTATCAACTAAGCAACAGTAAAAGAAGCTAAATTTTTAATTAGACTTAAAAAGAATAGAATCAAGTCTTTTAAATGAAAAAAAAAACGGAGAGACAAACAAACATAAGCTCAATGGGTGTATTCATACAGTCTACACTAGTTCTTTGCACAACTGTACTTCGATGTCATACACAAACATACAGAAGGTAATTTCTATTTTATTTCACCTTTATCTGATTTTGTGTGTTTTGAAATGATGATTGTTTTTGTTAATTTCTCTCGTGACGATGATGATGGTTGCTGCATTGTATCTTCAATCGAAAATGTATTTGCTGGTTTAGGTTTACTTGATGTAATTTCGGTTTCGTTAGACAACTGATATGTGCACCCTGACTGCTCAGATGGCACAATACCCGGTGCGATAGACAACATTTCTTCATGTTTTTCACTAGTTTGTACTTTGTTAGTACTACTATCAGCAGCTCTACCCCATGTAGCTTCAAGTTCACCACATCTTTGATAGTGATATGCACAAATCTTCTCTTCATTTGATTCATCTAATACGGTTTTACAAACTTGTTTTTCATGTGTTTTATCTACATGAAATCCACCAGTTTCGTAAGGTGGAACATCTTGATCTGCACCTTTACCCCATGTAGCTTCAAGTTCACCACATCTTTGATAGTGATGAGCACAAATTTCTTGTTCACATGATTCAAAATGATGATCATCTGGAGCTTGTTCATTATCTGCTTTATCAACCAGTGATTTACTTACTATCGACTGTACATCGTCAGTCGATTTCTCACAGTTAGGATGAGATAATGAATCACTGAATAACTGTTTGTGCTGTTTAATGAAAATGTGTTTTTCTGTAGCCTGCGATAAATCTGACTCCACATCACTGGAGACTGAAAAAAGAAGAAAAAGTCAGGAAATTAACAGTAGAAAGAAATATAAAGAGATATAATAAATTAATCAGTTAAAAAGAATACAGACAGGCCCGTAAATCGATAAGATGGATTGAAGTTTTTAACTTGTGCCAAAAAAGTTAAATAAATAAAATACGTAGAAATGAAATGTTGATAATGAATTTATAATTAATTTCCAATAGTTATTAAATCAATAACTGTAGAGTTTTGAAGAAAAAGGAACTCCGAATAGTATTTGATTCATATGTAGTCTAAGAATTAAATTCCTTTCATCAAACTATTGATGATGTGGAATACATGTTGACTTGATGTACATAAGATTTCAGTTCACTATGATATGATTAAAAAATGACTATAATAAGTAGGCAGCAGAGCTGTAACAAGACTAAGAATAAAACCAAATTACAAGTATTAGATTTACAGCCATCTAACAAAACACCACTTAGATGCATTAGAACTGACAAACTAGCAAAATAAATTTCATTTACAGATGTAAGATAGGTAAATTAGTTGATGATACTGTGAACTATTATCGATTCAGATATTTGAGACAATTATAATCAATGATTGGAAAAGTCTAGGACGTAAATATTAATCCCGATTGGAATAGTCCTTATTTCTGGCAGTATACTTGTCACATCTTTACTTTCATTATTCGAAAAATCTCTCCGAATCCTCGGAACTCAGGCTCTTCAACAATCATTTCAAGTCCTGCTAGAACTATGTACACAGACTTCCACTAATCTGGTATACTAACAGTCTTCTGGATGATGAATCTACGATCAGGAACAACAAGAGACCACATGTTTTTGGTATTCTTATTAAGGACAACTGTCCTTGTTTTCTATTATTCTAATAGTTTCGATAACTAACACTAAAATGCTTGATTAATTTGAAGACGGCTGTTTCTTTAAAGTATTATCATCCTGAACAGTTCGAGTTTATCGCAAGTTTCATGAAAATTTGATGTAACTCAATTAGCGCATGCATTGAACACATAATGTATATTTGATGTGATTAATCAATTAAATGTAAATATTAACATGAGATGCTACATCCAAATGAATAAATGAATGGTACTGTTAGGAATTATTTATGGACCATGATTACATATATTCCTATTTGAAATATTGGCTACTCCAATACGATTTACTAATTTTAAGTAATTACCAAGCAATAAGTTACAGTCTCTCACACTTATAGCCACTTTTGGACTGATCTTGTATAATTATAATTATTTTATTTTATGGTGTGATGACGACGGGTTTGCTTGTACATAAACCACGTATGTCTACAATACACGATTCATATAGTGGAAGCTGAGTTTGCTTTCTGGACTCAAGGGCCACGGCTAGGCGAGAAGGACAAATAAGGATTCTGATTTGACACAAGGTTGCTAGTGCTGTTTGCTATATTACGGGATTAGAAGTCAAAATTAGATGCATTTACTCATTATGATTTTTATTCAGGATTACTTCCGTTTTAATTCAATGTAATGAATACTCAATTTAATATCTGTTCCTGTTTTTCTGTAAGATAATCTGTTATGTAATGACATACGATATTCTTGTATTAAAAATTGACATGAACCATACTCAGCATGACATGTAGCATATGATCTTGTCATAACTATAAGTATTATTCATGTATGTGATTTTATCCTAACTATTAATCAAAAATAAGTGTATGAATCAATATATAAATGAGTGTATTTTCGACTAGGGTCGTCGTCATCGTCGTATTTTGGGGTTAATAAATCTTCACATGTATGTCTTTGTGTTCTAACGTTTGTGTCGTTGGAATTTCAGTGGTTCCTCGCTTTACAAGTGTACGTGATAAACGATTCCGACATAACAATTATAGACCGACCAATCACAACAGTTCACGACCGTAGCTGCTACCTTGACGCGGTGGTCGGGCTTGCCTATCGTGATGACCCAACCGAGCAATATTGGCTGGAACATATGTTCCTGTAGGTTCTATCATGCCAGGCAGGTCGATTGTAGAACGGCAAGACTAAAAGCAGCGACTCAAGGTCTGAGGGCGGAGTCGTACTGCTGACTGCAGAGGGGTGTGACAGCAGTAAGGTGTTTCCCTCGGACAACCAGCATCTGCAGCGATACTGCCTTCTCACAAGGAAGGAAGGGGTTAGAAAAGGTCGACCCGAAAAACGTCACACTCCACCTTACCTCACGGATTTCCGTCTCCGGCGGTAAGGCCCTTTGAAGAACGGAGCTAACACGTCAAAAACCTCTCACAAAAATGCCGTGCACGACCGGCCTCAAGCAGTTGTCCCTTAGGCTCTGCAGTCACACTCCCAGGTCGTTAAGGCTAACATTAATCCAACCCACTTTTCAGGTTCTTCAAGAATTACCCTTCCACGGTGTGAGCAGCCGAGAAGTGACACCAGCTCCTATACCTGTGACAGCACACGAGACCAAGTTGGTCACATTCAAATCCTTCCTACACCTCCTAATACCTCTCTTATCTCTCCAACTAACCCTTCTCACATCGCTTTATCACCTCGCACCGCTAGGGCGAACGATTCGACTACACCGAATGTCATTCCTGGTCTCCTGAAACCACGCTCTAAACTTCATGTTGGAGCTTTCAACGGCCGAACACTGTGCCAAATAGAACAGCAGGCTTCCTTAGCTAAGACTTTAGAATCTCGTGCCATCGATATGTGCTGCGTCTCCGAAACGCGCATACAGGATCCGAGTAGCGTCATTCATTTGACATCAACGTGTCAAAATAAAGAACCAACTCGATTCCCACTTCGTGTATCTGGAAGCCCTGATTCTGCTTCCCGTGGCCTCGCTGGCGTAGGTATAGCATTGAGTCCTAGGGCAGAACTAGCCCTCTTAGAGTGGATCCCAGTAGACAGTCGTTTGTGAGCTGTCTGACTAAACGAAACAGTAAGGACTCGGAAAGATAGCAACACTCGTCGTTGCTTCTTCGTCGTCTCTGCCCATTCTCCGACTGACTGCAGCTCAGATGATGTAAAAGATGAGTTTTACGGAACGCTTTCCGGCCTTCTCCGAAAAGCTAGGCGCTCGGATGTAGTAATAGTGGCTTGTGACTTTAATGCTCAAGTAGGTAAAATAAGCGAAAGGGAAAGACACCTGGGTGGATCTTATAGCATCGTGGCTCAAAGAACAGATAATGGCGACCGTCTGTTGCAGCTATGCTCAGATAACCTCCTGTTTCTTGCAAATACTAACTTTAAGCATAAGGAAAAATATCTTTTGACATGGCGACCCCCTAATTCGTCCCAACGTTGGACCCAAATAGATCACATCGCTATCAGCTATCGATGGAGGGGCTCGATAGAAGACTGTCGCTCGTTCTGGAGTACATGCTTAGATTCAGATCATGCTCTAGTGCAAGCGCGTATTTGTTTGCGTCTTACTGGGCGTAGGAAAGACGCTGCAAGTAAACCTCTTAGGGTCCTACTTAATGATAGCCAAGCTAAGAATATATTTCAGGAACAACTACAAAAACAGTTAGGCAGCCATGTAAGTGATGCCCACCCCGAAGCAGCGTAGAATGATATCCGAAAAGCTGTGGAAACAGCAGTGATATCTGCTAGTACGGTAACCCGTAAGGTTACGGAGCAACACTGGATCTCAGCAGCATCTATCGCAATGATAGATGCTCGGAAACTCATTCCACCTGGCTCTGAACATAACGAAGAGCGGAGTCAGCTTAAGCGCATGCTGATAAGAAGCCTACACAATGATTGTGAACAGCGATGGGAAGCGAAAACAAGAGATGGAGAATGCAGCGGCAATAGGTAATAGCAGACAATTGCTCAGACTTGTTAAGGAAACCGGCATTACGGAACCCGACTGTTAGTGAAACACTCTCAGAGAAAGACGGACATATTATACATTCTCAATCCAGGAGATTGGATCGATGGGCAGAACACTTTAGGGATCAGTTCAACTGGCCTTCAAATGCAATTCGATTTCCCACGATCTCCAGTCGACCTGAATGGCAAGTTGATGTATGTCCTCCAATTCTTTGCAAAGTTGGAAAAGCTATAGGAAATCTGAAGCGTGGGATAGCAGCAGGCCTTGACAGGTTTATGCTTGAGATTTTTAAGGATGGTGGTCCAGCATTAGCAGTGAGATTGACTGAGGCCATAGGTAGTATCTGGGAACTGAACGCAATCCCGTCTGACTGGTCTCAATCACTGCTTGTGCCAGTCTATAAGAAAGGACAAAAGTCCTCTTGTGAAATCAGTTTGACTAATATAATGTCTAAAATATTAGCTTCAATAATACTTCGACGCCTAACTAAAGCTCGTGAAGAGCAGGCTAGAGAAAATCAGGCTGGTTTTCGACCTGGACGTTGCTGTATAGACCAGATATTCACACTACATCAGGTCCTAGAGCATAGACACACATTCAGACGCCCCACAATGGTAGTATTTCTCGACCTTAAGGCGGCATTCGACTCTGTTGATCGTGAGGTTCTATGGCAGTGTTTGTCACTGAAAGGAGTACCAAAGAAGTGAATTAACCTTATAAAGGCTCTCTACTCGAACACAGCTGGTCGAGTGAGAGCTTATGGCGAATTGTCATCAGAATTGATTACCTCAAGTGGTGTTCGTCAGGGCCGTCCACTCTCTCCATTCTTGTTCAACTTTGTCGTCGACGTACTTTTAAAGATAACACTTTCCTCGTCTAGATTTCCATGGGTTAAACTTCTACCGGGAGGTTCACTTGTTGACTTAGAATATGTAGATGACATAGTTCTATTTGGTGAAGACGCTGATAAAATGAAGTCTTCTGACCATTCTTAGCAACAACGCAAGCATGTTCGGGATGCGATTCTTCCCCTCGAAATGTTGCTTCAGGATTGGGTTGCATTGACACCTGAACCAATGATAGGGAGTGAAGTGGTTGAGTGTGTCGACCGCTTAACTTATCTTGGGAGTCTCATCAGCCCTTATGGTCTGGTGTGTGACGAAGTCTCAGCACACATACAGAAGGCTAAACTGGATTTTCCCAACTTGCATCGTTTATGGCACAGGCGAGATATCCGTCTACCGAACAAAAAACGGGTTTACTGCGCAGTAGTTCGTTCCGTCCTACTTTATGGCAGTGAAACATGGCCGGTAAGAGTAGAGGATATTCGTAGGTTACTAGTATTCGATCATAGGTGTCTTCGAAGCAATGGTCGTATATCCTGGGACAATCGAGTAAGTAACTCAGTTGTTAGGAAACGGGTATTAGGTAAGGATGGCAAATCAATTGATGAAGTAGTGAAACTTGATCAGTTGAGATGGCTGGGACATGTGTTACGTATGCCCAACGACCGACGTTTTATGGTGTAGGAGTAGGTTGGAAGAAAGCTAGGGGCGGCCAGACGAAAACATGGCACAAAACATTGAAGTCACTGACAAGTGGACTGAACCATGTTGGTAGGTGTAGACTACCTGGTTGGAGACCGCGAGATGATAGCAACCGAGGGTTAGAGACCCTGAATGACATGGCTCAAAACCGTTTGCAATGGCGCAGGTGCTTCCACTCTTTGTGTTCTCCAAAATTCTAATGTTCTGAATTCGTCATGTCGCTTTTTACCTCTTTTCAAATTTATCTCACTGTATTATACTCATTGAATAACATCTTCAAATCCTAATCTTTCCGATTACTGCTTATACTCTTACTAACTCTACCACTACGGGATTTGAATCGACAACTGCATCTCTGTGCTAATGTGGTATGGAAACTTGAACTGATGTATGTATGTACGAAGTTCTACGTTGTTACTAACTGATTAACTGAATCACAACAGTTAGACGTGTCACTTGTTTAGCACAAGAATAAGGTCAAATAAGTAGGCCTTGTGATTGGCGCTTTTATCACGTGATAATTAATGGGGGCAAAAGACATAACACGACGCTTTATTTAAGTTGATATTTTTTAGGAGTCCAATTAACTTTATTTATTGAGTTCATCTAAGGACTTTAAATGAGTCTATATTGATGATTGAAAGTCACCATAGTACAGCGAAGGACGGTTGCAACTCAAATCTTCGAAGTCTGAATCCGAGATGTGTAATCATTTGAGATTTGGAAAACTATCTCTTAATTTCTGCTTTGGTTTTCAATAGTTTTTCAACTTACTGATGATCTAACAAAATATTCAAATGAAATCCCTTAAACTTCATGAAAATGAAAACATTCTATTGGTGTAGGTTCATTGACCTATCAATTAGCATTATCGATAAAAAATAAAGCAAACAGTCTACAGGGCTGTGGTAAATAAACAAACGCGCAAATTATAATATTTGTCAATAAAAAAAATTAGATAGCGCTACTTAAATACTCCACGCACTCAATCACTCACATGTACGCATAAAATACTAAGTGCTACGTTTTGCATAATTAGAATAAATGAATACACGCACAAAAAAACATATTTTGCATAGTAAATAAAATATCACCAAATACACGCATGCATTGAAGAAAGAAGATATATAATTAAGTTACAACAATCTATAACAAGAAATAAATTAAAACAATTAAACTTGCCTAGCAAACGTGTTAGCAACACCACGAACAATGGTCAACAGTCGAAATATATGTGGATATATATGTTATATGTGAATATATAAGTGCTTTGATCAATTGAACTGTATTGAATATGAATCCATAGCAAATAGACACCATCGCCGGACGATGTATTTATGAGTATAAAGGTATATACACATATAAATAGATAGATGGATATATATGCACGTATAGAAGTATATGTGCAAAACTGGAAATATATAAATAATTTAACAGTGTAATATGATTACAAACAAACATGTGGGCAAACACACCCATACAAGAAAATATTCACAAACCAATTGACAACATGTAGATGGGATCCAAAGTATTTTCTTACACTCAACTAATTAAACAATTGTTCCGTTGTAATAATACACATATGATGATGAGAAGAGCAATGACGACAATAATAATTGTGATGAAGAAAATTGTGAAAATGATGAATAAACCATATATTTTAATATATAGCTGTGTATGGAGCAAGGTTTAACACAAACTGACTTATACACGTATATAAGAAAATTATCGATCAATCTTTATTCATTAACAACTTTGTTAGCCAAAAAATCTAATTTATCTAAACATCTCTAATCGTAAATAAAAATGAGCGAAAAACAAACAAACTAAACAAAATAACTATTTACAATATTGAAATATTGCTTATAGCAAGAAAGAAAAAACTATGCGTGTATATACACATAAATAAATCACTTATTGTAATAATGGTATTATTATGTGTAATTCAAATGAAATCTCAAATTAATAATAAAAAAATAATGTCATGATTTGTATTTTTTTTTCATATTAACTGAATAGAAAATAAAGACAAACAATTATATCTAATATATAGAACAAATGAAAACCGGAAAAACCCACTCACCTAATTTATTGACAGTTTTGATTCATATTTATTAGAGAAATAAAGTCGAACAAAATGTATGATATGTGTATAAAAAGAAGAGTATACACATAGAATAAAGTTATATTGTGGCATTTATATAATAATTAAGAACAGTTTGATATATGAAATGATGTTGTGAAAATGTTTTCTCTTCAAATGTCAATTTCGTTGATAATTCGCGGGAAAAAAACTAAATTTTTTTCCTCTATTCAGTAGACACAAGTAAGAAATATACATTTCTATTGAGAGTGTTTGTAGGATTCATATAATGATGTAAATGTTGTTATGTAACATTACTACAAATACGAAACATATGTGGGTGTGTATGTGCGAAAATTTAAATTTTACATAGTGACATAGAAGACAGAGTCTCTTAGACATGTTTGGAGTTAATTATCTATAAGAAGCTGACTTAGACTTAAGTTGGCACTAGTCATACAGTTAAGCGTATCGGAAACTAAGTTATCGCAATCAGAGAGAGAGAGGTGTTATCAATGATCTATGTAGGTTATAACTGACCACCTTCTCTACAGAATTGAAATGCTTAAGATGACTGATCAATTAGTAGTGACAAGTGTCATGTTTGTCTAATCCATTGAGTGCTGATCGAAGAATTAACCTATCGAATGTATAAAAGTAGAGCTGTGGCTTAGTGATGAAGATGTTCGATTTTAGGCTATTCTTAAATCGCAGATTCGAATTTCGGTTTACTCTAGCTCTTAAGCTTAAAGCGTGACTTTAAGCCAATTACACGAATCTGTGTTTCGTAGTGAGCAAATAATAATGAGTAATTAAGTGTAAAATGATCATGTACATATCAATAAAAAGGTTTATGATAATATGTTTACAAATTGTTGACTTAATGGCTCAAAGAGCAACAAAACGTCCAAACACTGCTCCACCTACTTGGATTTGAACAGCCATGAAACATCACTAGTTCACACACAAATGCACACAAAACATCGTTCAAAGCCGAGTGTACATGAATACCTCCTTAGTGAATGAGTTACAATTATTTACAGAGACATTTGTTTAGTACCACATAAAGTTTTATAATAGATTATTAACTGTTTTTATCGGACGTAATTGAAATATTATCATTATTTATGGACGCATTATTAGCTGATCAAAATATGAGCTACAAATTATTGTAATTCATTTATTTGACAACTGTAATCTCAATGTATATATAAAAGCTTTGTACGTGTCAAGGTCATTAAGATGTTCAAACTGAAACAGATAGATTAGAGTTTAAAAGCGCGGTCGGATAGTAAGTCGAAATTTGCAACGATTAAATTAAACTATCGCGTTTCAAATTAACAGTAAAACTCTTAGACTTAATGGGACACCGATAAATAAAGAAAAAAAGAACAAAACGGCAAAAATAGCAATTGATAAGACTACACTCAATCATAAAGATATAAAACAATTATAACTACAGACCTCACATCATTATGAATGATGAACATGATAATCCATCAATGCCGGTGTGCCTATATCTATTCAAAGGGTTACTTACCATCTGGATAAATGTTTGATAAATCACTATCTTTTTCAATTTGTTTATGAATATTATTACTATTATTAGTCGTATCGTCTGTACGATTTAATTGAACAGTGCGATTAATTTGAGTAGGGACGACTATTTCTTCATTGACTGGAGCTATAGTGAAAATAAAACAAAATTTTAGAAATATAAAGTATATTCGGATAAGGAAGAAGAAGCTAAAAGCATTTGACGCGTTAATAAGAAAAGTGAACAACAGAAATAAACGGAACAATTGCCTCCAGTGAACTCTCTTATCTACGGTTTTCAATCATTTTTCATCTAGAATTAAACTGAGATTTCAATTATTTTCAAATGTACTGCCATTATCATAACAAACTTTTACTGTACAACCTTTTTTGGGCCGCAAACAATCTAACTGTAAGTAATTATGTTGTGTAACTTCGGCTGAAACTGAGTAACAGTATCAAAGTGTTTTATCGTAGCTTGGGAGAAATATTCAAATCATTGGACTGACATTCAATAATCTACATTTTTCATCTCTAATCTAAAACCAGAAAGGAAAGTTTATCCACTGCTGCCTGATTTTCAACTGTTCTTGAACTGGATAAAGTCAATGAACAATGATAACTGTCTTCAGACGTTGTAGTCAGAGGTAATCGACAGGTAAACCTGGATTTAGGTTTTGTGTGAGTTGGCAATCATCAGAAAGCTGTATTTGTAACCCTGAGGGAATCAAATTCTCTAAAACCGATATATTTACAATTGATCGATCAATGAGTAGTGGCCAATACAGTCCTTTAGTGTTGATTGGATCCCATCGATCAAATTGCAGTGTCCATCAATCTAAGTAACTTGACATCAAATCCACTATATTTTGATGTTAAGTGATTGAAGATAGTCGGTAGCTTCATGATAGTTGGGATTTGTTGGTAAAGCATACGTAAAATCTTGAGAATATCGATGATCAATGCTGGACTTGGGAAAAATGTTTACCGTTTCAACTTTGCAAATCATATCATACGTATACCCTATAATAAGTTCGAAGTTCCGGTCGACTATCTCCGATTGCTTAATATAAAATCTAAAGTGTAGAAACTGAAGGACATTAAAATAAGCCAATTACTGATTAATGAAGAATCAGTGCATTCATGTAAAAAGTAGTTATTGTTAAATAGGTGAGAAATTGAATTAGTGGTTGGTGTAAATAAATTAGTCGAAATCGAAACAATAACTCGTAGTACATGATATATGAATTTGACCTACTTCCTCAGTTGAACTATTGATCGTAACTTTTCATATTTTATTATTCTTATCACTACTGGTGTTGTGGGTACAAACCAATTTATTGTTTTAACAAAAAATCACACAGTAGCTTAGTAAAATATGAAAAACATACATTAAACACATTATTTGCACATCATTGACTGCTTCCTAGTTGAAATATTACCACGAATGATAATAGCCAGTCATGGCGAAAAAATAATTATATTATAATTTACAAATGAAAAAGAGAAACGATGCGTTAAACTCTATCACTAATAAATATAGATACTCTGTAATGAATAACAACAACTCACGTCCAGTAGAAGTGGAATTTATTTTATCATCTTCTATGGTCGATGAATGTTGACTATCAACCAGAATGTTTTCAACTCCTTTTAATACATCATATTTGTCTTCGGGAACATCAGTAATAGATTTTCCCACATATGGTAGTGACCCTGAATAAATTCGACCAGTGGTCACAGTAACTGGTTGTATAATTTCTTGCTCCACTTCTTGCTCAGATTGTTTAGAATTATCTACATTGCTTGAAGTGGGTAGTGTATGAATTGTTGATGAAATCGTCTTTGTAATCACTGGTGTTGTTGGTATTAGTGTGGTAGATCCGGTTTGTGTGCCATAACCCGTATCAACTGATTCACTTAAACCACCACTGCCATCTTTTGAATGAGATCGATTTTCACGATTAATATTTAAATTGGGCGAGACGGCTATTCAAAATAAAAGCGAAAATAGCAACAAAAAACAAATTGTAATAGCTAAAACTATGTATAGACATTACTAGCTGATACTATATTTCGTTTCATCAATAATACACAGAATTTTTGAAGAGTACATACTGACGCGCCTTTAAACTGAACACAACATGACCCATTTCACGGTCACCCATAGTGTATCTAATCCCTTAGAATTAGTAATGCTCGTATACAAGTTGATCTACTTCAGATTTATATGAGGAAATTCATTAGTATCATTTCAATTTTTATTCAACGTCATTTGGACTCGATTTTCTCAGTTTCTTTATTTTAAGAAGTTGATACATTTTTTTCAGTAAATAGGGACTGTTTCGCAGCAAAATCTATACAAATTATATTCATTATCCGTCTGACATGAGCTGCATATTTTCATATAAAATACAGAAAATTATTGATATCGTCAAATCACTAAGAATGTAACAATGGTAACAGAGCACTTTGCAAATGTTCGTACAAATATCTGACAAACCTTTTAAAATATACTTGGACTTGACTGCTATTAATTTTATCAAAAGTGACACCCCCCAAAGAAAACAATCTTTAGTCTGAAACATGTAAATTAAGGAGTATTCATGTCACTATTAGTTCTAAATGAAACATTTTTTTATTTATTCATATGGGTGCTTGTTGGACTAAATATATGATTTGCAGTATGATTGAGCCATTTACCTTATTTTTTTATTATTAAAGAATGAAATTTCACAATAAGCAGGTGCTCTTATAACTTATAAAAAGAAGTAAAGATTAATAACCGAGATAGATGATTTTTTTAGTAGGATTTCGTTCGCCGACAAAGCTATTCAGTTCACAGGATGAAACTTCACCAAATAAAATCGCTCTTCAATTTATTTTGTTGTCAAACACACTTTAGGTAGATAATCTTTGAGATAAGAATAGGTGTAAACTAAGGGTCTATATAGCAATCATCTTTGAGATGGAGGAGAAGATTTGTAGCTCGGGTGGATGACTATGATCTCTGAACTGGATGGTTCGTCGTGGAGCTTTCATCGTTCTCCTGAACGACATCATCAGCACGCAATTCAGACAGAAGTGAGACGTTCGAATTTCTCCACAAAACTCCATCAAAAAGCAAACATCTTTCAATAACTCCGCGTCAACTGTCACGTATGAGACAAAAGCCTTCTTAGATAATCTGATCTAGGACACCGACCTGTTGGTTGAAATCACAGAATTTCGCCTGAATGCTTCCACAATTCGTCTTTAGTTTTTGCAACAACTGTTTAAATCAGTTAATATTTTAAATAATAAAGAATATACCAAGGGACTGAAATTATTTCTTGCCTCAACTAAAATATGTCAAAGAAAATAACCTAAAAATGCAACAAATTACCATTCAATGAACGTAAAGCAGTAACCCGTTCATCAGCTGTTATTACAGGCGAAATGTTAGTCATACAATATTCCAATATATCTTTACGACCGATAGCTTGTAGTGCTTCGGCAAGTTGCGTACCTAGGAAGAGATAAAATAGTAGAAATTTATTTACAATGATATGTATATAAGTTAGAACCCGAATGGCTTGATACGATTGAGAGTGGGAAGAATCAGCTCTTCCTCTCGAAATACTCTCACATGGCTACGTGCATACAAAAACTGCCAGGGAGGTCCTACTCATTGCCTTCTCGTGGCATTACTGTTGTTTACAAAATTGCGTGTTATGACCTTGAATCGCTTTCACCCCGTGATACTTGTTATGACTTGACCTTGGTCTGTCCAGTCTAAACTATGACCTTGACGCGTTAGGCTGAGTGGCTTAACCTTGAGTCTAATACGCGTGAGTTCGATTGGGGGTAGAGAGAACTATTCTAAATCCTGATTGGTTGGCAAGCACGCGAGTGAAAGAAGACAAGACAGTTGGAACACTAAACTCTGGATTCTCTGAATTCGGATTACTACAAAAATGTACATGAATAAATAAGTGCATATCTTGACCACGACGTACAATAATTTGGAAAAATACAGTTATGCCCGAAACAGGGAATTAGGGTAGAAAATATAGTGCAAAATATAATGTTTAAATTACAATATTTTTGGAACAAAAAAGGGTATGCTAGTGAATGATACATAGAACGAAAGCTCGTGTTATGTAGAATAAGATAGGGACAAAAATAAATATAAGTGTTTTACAGGTTTTGAATGAAATGCAATAACGTCCCAAGAAAATAGCTTTCGTAATTGTCTGGGCTTCTTAATTCCCCGTTCGTAACATTGCGAGGACAAAAAGCAAATATCTGGCACCTTAACCAGGTTGGTGGATACAGAGGATTCACCTAGGGGAGTTGGAAACCCTGATTTCAAACCAATGGTGCACATGGGCTTCGGGATCCTGAAGGAACCAATGGTGTATGAACCTATTGTTGGTCACCGGCTACCATGGCAATGCACCTCCTGACGTTTCTCCACTGCCTTGTGAATTAGACTTTTAGGTCAGACGCTCGGGATATGGGCCGATAAGAAAGCCACCTGTTATTAGTAATGGTATCCAGGGCGTGCATTTCATCCTATTCTGTATTCCTTATAATTGAATGTACGTTAATCCAATTGATGTTATATATATATATATATATATATATATATATATATATATATATATATATATATATATATTGGATTTGCGATATGATGGACAATAATTTAAGTCTGATGATAAATTAGGTATCTTAATTTCATCAGTGGATAAATGGTCTATAAAATACATGTCTTACAACCATTAGTGATGCTTTGATAGTGATCCTTAATCATGTTTATTGTTATGTTAAGTATTTTGTCGATAAGTTGTGTTATACTTCAACCAGCCATGGGAACTAGTGACTCGAAGTGAATCACATGGAGAGTGGGCTCTTAATCTGCGATTTTCTACTTATATTAACGTATATCATTAAAAAAAATACATATTTTGTTTAATTGCTTACCCGAAGTTAATTCATTCCCATTACGTTCTTGCCACAACAATAAACTAGTATATGCATATTCTTCTTCAGGACGATTAGGCAAAGAAGTAATATTATACTGATCTTCATCAGACAAGCCTAAACATTGAGCTAATATTCTCCAATCTGATTTTAAATGATAAGCAACTTGTCGTAAATCAAGCTCAGATTTAGCTAATGGCTCATCGTAATGATCTACTTATTTAAAGCAAGAGATGAGTAAAAGCTGATTTAATGTAAAACGAATACAAATTTGTGTACATAGCTTTAAATTATAATCTTGTAATGTGTAATACTTGGTTGATATCACTCGACTGTTCATCCTGGAATGCGTAGGGCGGAGTCTGAGCATTCAGAAACCAAGTGGCTCTAACACTAGACTGCCGCGCCATAAATCATAATAAATTTACTATAATGTACACATTTACATTATTATCAAGAATATCTATAAGCTTACACACTTTGTGTAGTAGAAAATGAGAATGGTCTATCCTGTAATTGGTAATTAATTTTATACCCCTCACTCACTCACTCACTCACTCACTCACTCACTCACTCACTCACTCACTCACTCACTCACTCACTCACTCACTCACTCACTCACTCACTCACTCACTCACTCACTCACTCACTCACTCACTCACTCACTCACTCACTCACTCACTCACTCACTCACTCACTCACTCACTCACTCACTCACTCACTCACTCACTCACTCACTCACTCACTCACTCACTCACTCACTCACTCACTCACTCACTCACTCACTCACTCACTCACTCACTCACTCACTCACTCACTCACTCACTCACTCACTCACTCACTCACTCACTCACTCACTCACTCACTCACTCACTCACTCACTCACTCACTCACTCACTCACTCACTCACTCACTCACTCACTCACTCACTCACTCACTCACTCACTCACTCACTCACACACACACTCACTCACTCACTCACTCACTCACTCATTCACTCACTCATCTTTCAACTTTTAAATTAAGATAAATAAAGATCTTAGTGAGTGGTCCGAAACTACTCTTTAATATACTGTTTTTTTGGCTGTTTGAATCTTCTCATCGGTGTTTAGGACTGGGATTGATCAGTCTCATATTGGCATGTATGCATCCTGTGTAGAATGCCTCGATATTGCCTGAATCAAAATTCATTAAGTTTGGGAATATAAAAAGATAATCCAAGCAATGCACAAAGTGAATTATATTCCAAGAACTTTAAAGTTTAATACATAATATACTGTTAATTTGTTATGTTCATTTTTAATGTAAATCTCAGTGAATATTAATCAATAATGATTATAATAGTCAATTGCGGATACCCTGCAGCTTTGAAATGTGACTGTCAGATATTTATTTACCATATTTACAATGTTATTTTGTCAAGAAGTACTAATTTCAATTTTATAGACAGTTAAATCACTTATAACAGCTAGAAATAACAATAATTGGTTACAAATATAATAGATCTTAATTTGAATTGCTTAAAATTCTTTATACTTTCTGATATGCTAAAAAACACCAAATACATTTAATCAACCATGATTATGGAAGTCAACATAAATCCCCCTAATTTAAGATAATTAAACCGAACACTGTTACAGAAACGCGGATGAGTTGGTAAATTAGTTTTCATCGATCAGCATAAATATAGATTGCCACAAGCTGTTGTATCAAATCAGTACAATGAATTAAATTAACGAGATATATAGCGAATATGTCAAAATAATGGTAGTAATAATACTGTTAGGTCGGCTTCCGGAGAACTTCAACGGAGCCTCCAGAGGCCCAAAATGGAGTCGAAGGGCCCCAGCCAATCAGAGTATAATGGAACGTTCGAGAATTCCAGCATGGCGTGCTACCATTGGTCGGTAGCATAATATGACGTTAACGGATTGGCTGAAATATGATGTTGATTTAACTGACGCCAACATCTATAAATACCCTTGGTTTTCTGTACTAAAATGAACCTTGGGATAAAGAGTTTTCTCTCATACTAGTGTCTTCTCTCTGGAGTTCAGGTCGCTGTGTAGTTCTAGTCTGCGGGTTACGGGAATAGCTTAGGAATCGTATATAGCGTTCAACCTACACGACTTATCAAATACAATCAATAACGTATTACTCAACACCAATATGTTATTTCTAGGATAGTCTTGAAACAATAATAAGATAATACGACCAGGAAATAAAACACTTTACATTAGTACTCACCTTGTTTTGACCATGTTTGCGGCAACGATTCATTGTATGTGGTGTATTGACCACCATTTTGATTATATTCTGGAATATAAGGTGGCATATCATCAATATCAGTTGTTTTTAATACACCATCAGTCATGTAATCAGTAAATTCGTCTGGTAATTTAGCCTCTAGAACTGTTGCCGGTTTTACAGGTGACCTATGTATGAATAAAACAAATTTAAATACACATGTGCAAAATAATAAATTAACAGAAAAAAAATAAAACATTTGTATGAATAAGTACACAAGTGTGGACAAACTATGAACAAATGAACGATGAAATTAATCGACCGTCGAAACAGTTTCAAATTATCATTTATGAATTTATCAGGTAGACTCGTGTACTCGGCTTAAAGCCTCACTATAAGTGTAAGAGTTAGTGATACCATTCAGTCGTCTAAACCAAAGTAGGTGGAGCGGAGCTCAAACTCGTTACTTGGTGGCTGAGAATCGAACTCCTTGATTACTGATACATCACTTTACAGGTATATGTGTATCACATTAAGTTGACACAGAAATTACCATATTAGTGCTCAGACTAAATTTATTACTCGTTGTAACAAAACGTCATACAGAACTTATGACCTACTATCACATTCTATTCAAATTACACTTCAATTTATGAAAACTGTAACCTAAAACATTTTAATAAGTAGATAATAAAAAGAAAATTGATCAGAAATATACAAGAATGAAGTTAAGAAATTACAGTTAACTTGATATATAGAAAAAAAACCAAACCAACTTTCTATGGTAAACAATGACGTTGATCAAGTATTTATATAATCAAATGCTTAAAAGTCTACAAAATAAAGCCATCGAATCACATACGCACATGCATACAAAGAAAGGGGGAAAATACATGAATCCCATCGAAACTAGACACAACTAGTTAGTTAGAATAAACACATAAACTAGAAGAAAACATGTTCATAAATGATATTAATTTTGAAGAGAAATGACGATAAAACGCGATTCTTATGCTCAATCATAGTTACTCGTAGACAACGTAAAGAATGACATAGATATGCGTTGATCCAAGTCTCCATATCACAATAGCACGAGATAAGATTAACAAGATAAAATAGCAAAAGAGGTCAAAATAATAGTAGCAGAAGTGATAATGACAAATAATAAACAATGAGAATGTGGTACGACTGGAAAATCCTTTTTTTTAAAAATAGTCAAGATGATTCTCTGAAAATTCACAAGTGAATTATTTTATATTTTGTAATATAAAATAGTCTACCAATCAAAGGAACTGGATAGAACGAAGGTCGAATCAAAAACGTGAGAACTGATGAGGTGTTGGCGATCTACCAATTTAAGCCAGAAATTTAGCGTGCAAAAGCGATACGTTCAACCTATCATCCTTCCTTGGCTCTAATTTCGTTCTGCAGTATGTCTTGGTCTTGTTTCTTCATTAATTAATTAATTAATGTCTTATAATTTCAAACCGTAATCGGTTATTGTTATCCTTCAACAATTATTCATGACTATGAGCAAAGATGGATGGTGGCTAACAAAGGAATATAGAACTGGCGTTAACTCCTCAGTAGCTGAGTGGGTTATTTATTTATTTAAACACATAAACATTGGTACAAGGAGACACGAAATATATATGCACGGCACAAATCATTTGGTTTGTGTAAGGGATGGAATACTCTCAGGGTATCCAAACCGAAACAGGTGATTTTCTTAGGCGGCCACAATTATCTTTCATAATTTAGACCCTTAAATTATTTTCATATTTCTAAAACCCTCTGATTATTACGCAATCTCGTCTGATATATGAAGTCTAGAACTACGTCATGATGCAATCTTTTCTGTCCTTCTATAAACAGATATTTCCCATACAAGTACAAATACGAATGTACAGCTTGAGCAAGTGATTCAGTCGAAAAAAAATTTCTTCGCTGAATTCTTTATTTTTATTAACTTAAAATTAACAAATATTTTTAGGTGTGCTATCATCACTATCCAAAAAACATATCTGGTTATGAAAACTACATTCATTGAAATAATTTGGTAGTGGTAACCTGATATCAATAATACTAATGAAACAGTTCAGAATGAAGTTAAGGTCTGTTGCTATTTATAATTTCTAAAACCCAATTTCCATTGCCATGACTCATCGTGTGTTATTTGTAGTAGCAAAAATAGATAAAAATAAAATAATTTTCACAGGAATCAGTGAACAACAAGTTTTGATTAGTTCATCTCTGAGAGTAGCTATCATCTTTTATGATATGTCATATTACTGGAAAATATATGAGAATGTATGAATACAACACAGAAATTTCTAAATTTATGGAAGGTCTAAATTTCATTTAAATCTTGCTTACAGTATTCATTACTAACTAATTAATCAACCATGGAGCACATGGTAAATGTGTTGAATTGAAGAGGATAAGTTATATATTAATGCACGAAACTATAAAAATGTCTAATTTGCAAAGCAATAAAATGACGAGTTAAAAACATGGCGATTTCCAGTGAGAAATACTAATTTGTGCAATAAACGAAATTAAACAACAATTCATTTACCCAGCAGATTGTAGTACAGCTCGAGGATGACGCATAAACGCTAATTTTCCAACAGCCGGCTGTGATAAATCTTTCACACGTACAATCATATTCAAACGATTCTCACGGAACGCATGCATTCCCAATTGTAATTGTTCTTCAGTTTTAGCAACAGGTACTAAGTTACCAGCTGTTTCAATCCAATGTGGATGATCATCAAGAACCTATTATAAAGAACAATGTCAAAAAAAGAAAAGCAGTAATAATAACCAAACAATTAATCAACTAATAAGAAGTCAAAACATTCAAATACACAACAAAAGTTTATTTAGATATCAAAATTCATTGTCATTTACCTCAATACATGGTCCAGTGGCTATTAGTTGAAATCCTTCTTGTAGTTCAAGTGTTTTCTCTGCCGAATCATCAGTAAGGCAAAGACAACGTAATTGAGCTTCTTCAGGATGAAATCTACGAGCATACACTATAAACTGCCCAATATAAGGCACTGCCAACGATTCATGATAAACACGACTGGCTAATTCAACAACTTCAGTAATATTAGGACAATCTACGAGCCACAATCTATATTTTTTTTAGAAAAAGAAACATTTAGTAGATGAGATCACACAATGCTTCCAGTAACACAAGATGAATAAATCATAAAAATCTATCTTTGAAAAAAATATGTTAATAATTATAGTTATGGATGACAAAGTAGGCCTGTAAAACTCTAATTAATGTATTTTAGAAATCGATTAGAAATGTAGTGATGATCAATCAATTGTTCCCTGAAAAAAGTTATCAAGACGGTGAATACACATGAGTCGTTAAAAGTCATATATGTCAGTTGACCGAACCTAGCAACACTACCACGAGTACTCGAACGAGATCAAAAAGGAAAATTTCAAAAATTGTAATCTTGCTAATTCCAAGGTGATTGGCTATACTACTAATGTGGCGTATGCTAGGTATGTCGACAAGCATAAGTAGTATGTAACACCAATCAGAAGTGGGATGCCTGGTAGCAGATGGGTGAGAAGATCAAATTGAAGGGGACGGGAATGTAAACAGAGAGTAATTGCAATAGCAATGGAGGAACGATGGAGTTTGAGACAATTGATAGGAGAAAGAACTCTGTAATCTTGCAGCAAATAATAAATGGGTAGTCCCCACCAAGTTTTCGTTGACTACACTACCACTATTAATAATAATCAAACTTACCTTCATGGTTAAAATAATGTGTACACATTGTGAATGTTAGTTGTAATAATCTTGTTCGTAAGGTTGAATATACCGAATGTGATTGGAAACACAATCGCTCAAACTATCAAGTCACCACATCTCAAAATGGAATGTGGCAGAAAAACCTAGACAATTAGTTTACAACTTTTACTGGACAGTACAAAATCATGGTAATATGCACTGTTATATTGGATTACGCATATTTGGGAAACCAATGAGGCAAGGTTATATATTGTATAATAGTCAATAATTTATTGAGTAGATGAATTTATGTACATATCCATTAATTTATTAAATTAAGTCAGTTACCTTGCAGATACTGTAGATGTAAATGAAACAGAAAGATCGTGTGCAGATAACGGAGAACTGCCAGTAATATCTTCCCAAACAGCAGGTGATGTCCCACCCGTAATCGAGCACAGTAATCGAAGACTAGGTGAATCGATAGTTGAACGAGATTTAGTGTCAGCAACACCGCTAGAGGATGACATAGCTGTTTTTGGTAATGGTATAGTCAAGGTAATTGGTTTATGAAATTTACGTCTGCGTGGTTCAATTGTTACAATCGGTGATACAGAGACACGTGGACCAAGCATTCTTGTTACAAGTTCATGATCAACTGGATGTACTTGTAAACCAACACGTATACGTTTTTGTAAAGCACCTTGAGGAAAACGAACATGTACGTCTGGTACAACTGTAGATGTTAATGTACCACCTTCTGGACCAATTAAAATTAATTCTTGCTTGATACGTGTAATAAGTGCAAAATATTGTGGTAGATCATATGTTAAAATACGATGTATTGACTTAGCACGTAATTCTTCAAATGATCCAGCGTAATCTAAAATCAAATTTAATTGTATCATAAATAAAATGTGGAGAAAAGTTTGGATTGGTTTTAACCAAGTAAAATATGAAGTATTAGTGTATTAATGGGATCATGATGTCACTTGAAAAAAAAAGTAAGACCGTGATACAAAGTAACGTCGACTAAATTACAATGAAACGATAAGGTTAGACAAGATAAACAAATGAGTGTAATGACTAACACATATTACAATACTTGAAGGAAAGTACAACAGAATTGAGCTAACACGTTTGAAGTATAATAACGAATTTTCTGCTGCAACATTAACTCTAATTGATATGCAGTATGAGAGTTTGAAACAGTTAAGGATATCACGTACATAGTCTAACTGTTGAATCAGAAAGGATATTTGAGAAATATTATTCACTTACTGTTATACTGTGTTTCCTTATGACTTGGTTAAGTACAAGTTCTGATTTCTTAACTGAGATGACTCAATTAATGCACGTAATCTAGTTGGCTTTAAGTTGTGCATAGTAATACATTAATAATAAAAAAAGGTTTGTTGTATTTAACTTCTGATTAACGATTGGGGAGACAGAGAAAGCGGTGTTTAAACCAGTAGGATCAAAGATCTATATTTTAGGTCATAAAGGTATAAACGAACCAGTAATTCGTGACCTTCATAATTTTGTGACCCAACTAAGTGGATATATAAGGAGGAATGAAGGTTATAAGACTGAGATCATGTTCCGATTCAGTTAATACTTAAACGTAATTGATACAATAGGCAAGTATAAAATGTGCCAAAAGTCACTTTAGTAGATATAGATCTAATGATTTCAGAATTGATTTGCTGTACCAATTACATGTAACGAATTTTTGAACAAAAAAACAACCTAACGAAAGAGTTTACCAAAATGTCCATTCAAAGTGTCTTGAACAGCTTGGTCTGTAGCATCCAATGGATGCTCTTTCCATGTTTCACCATTATCTGAACGGAGGATAACAATCTCACGATTTTTCCCATTTAAAAAAGCATAATGTGGTATTTCAAAGAGAACAGGTGAAGCGAATCGTATACCAGCGGGTCCGATTTCAAGTAACCTGCACGAAATAGATTAATAAATGAGGTTACAAAAAATAAATTTTTTTACACTTTAGTAGTGATGTCTGAAACAATCAGAAGTACTAATGATGTCATGCTAAAATACACAATGCAACAGCTGAGTATATATGATTTCCTAAAATGTTTTCACTGAGTCTAAATCCCGTTTAAGAACAAGCAAGTGGTTATCAGGACTCAGTAGCTAAGTGGATAGTGTGATGGCATTTGAAGCAAACGGTACTAAATTAGAGTCTCGGAGTGAACATCAACTTTGAGATGCAGACACATCTGGCTGACGAGTCCCAAATATGACGAAACCCGCATCTTGGATTCCACTGCTAGCAGTTGTCCATCTTTGCTTACATTAACTGTGAATTAAGACAGTATCGAGGCAATACGCGCAGTATGCACATATACCTTTCTAAGCAGATTAAGGAGTTGTGGTTGTAGTAATTTTGATAGTTGAATTAATGGGTCGATATAAGCTAAACCATCATTGGAAACCTGGAAGCAGTGAACGACCGTTTCGTCCTAGTATGGGACACCTCGGCAGTGCACATCCATGACTCTGGACGCGCGATTCGAATAATTTTTCAAAGTAAAATGATTTTCGCGCTATGATAGGCACACAACTGTAATCCGAAAAGTATGAAACCGACTGGAACTGTTTAGTTGTGTTGTAAAAAGACATCCTAAAAAGTTGAAACTGACTCACAAAACATAACTGTGTTATTGGAGAAGTTAATCGATTTTAAATGAAGTACAAACTGGTGCGAACATATGTTAACGTCCACGTATCAGAATAACGAGAGAGGAAATTAACAACATAAGAAAAAGAGGGCGAATTACAAGAAGACAAAATGGAGATCTAAATATCAGAAATATAATTCAAGTATTAAATATCAAAAGGTTAAAGTCAGTAACATCGACATATTTAGACAAAGAATGGCAACATACACAAAGTAACTATGATGTTAAGGATTTAGACAGATCAAACAAACAACATTTCTTACGTTAGCTATCTTCAAATAACTGTAATGAATATTATTTGAAGAAGGATTAGTATTTCAGTGGATTAAACTTGGAACTGAAAATTTTCACAATGTAGTAAAACTTGTCAATCAATAACAATAAACTATTTGATCCAAAAAAACCTTAATTGTGAAATTATTCATTCTTATATCCAAGTAATTGATAAGTAACTTGTTTATGTGAACACTGCTTTATTTCTACTAAAGAATAAAACTCACCGACAGGCTAAACCATCACCATCATTCATAATTGGTGGCGAATTCATGCGATCAGGATGAACTAGACGACAAACAATACGAAGTGGACCATTGATAACATTTGGAGGAATAAATATCCTAAGATCAGGATAACGTCTTGCTTGAATTAGACCTCCGCGAGCATCCGCAATAAATGAAACTAAAAATCTGTTTGTCGTTTTTAATGTAAAGCAGTTAAAAAAAATGTAAATATGAAACAAATAATGATCATGTTGAACATAGTAAACAGATCAAAGATGTCCAATTTAAGAGTTAGAATGAATACTTCACATAAATCTCAAGTAAATCTTAATAAGTATTGTAGTTTAACGGACAGACAAATACAGTTCAATTCATTTATTGGACAGGTTTATTCTCTTTGATAATGATTTAAAATTAACTTGTAATAGAACCAACAAACTTCTCGAACTATACACATCCGAGTATGAAATTGTCAGCTGAATTACATACTGTACAGCTCTCTCTCTCTAATAAGAACTGCGAAGAACATATTTAAACTTTGTAAACATTACATAATAACTGCTTAGAATTTACTTTAATGGATCCAAATGACATCAGATTGGACGATCACAGACTCAATTTAGGCATAGTTAAATGTCTTAGTATAATTCTGGTGAATTCTTTCAAGTTAAACTATAATTCAAAGAAATTTTTGGCAAGAATTCTTTCAGACTACTAGCGAAACAAATGCTGCTGTTCGTAGTGTATATGGTTTACTAGGACTCGGAAGGAATTCATCAGAAAATTCTTCAGAAGCTTGGAAAAGAGTGAAGATACTTAGTAAAAATTAGCGTTCGGTAGAAACTTCCTCGAGATATCTAAAACCAACGGACTATGTATCATATTCTTATTGGATGATTGCTGATTTAGTTATTGATTTCTCAGAATACCAATGTCACATATCAACCCGTAAATATCTTGGCGTTCTGCATCTAAACTAACCATAGAAATAAACCTCATATAATTTTCGCCTTATGTCCTGTATTCCAAACTAAAATGAAGATTTGTAAAGGAACTAGGAAGCGCTTAAAAAGTCAGTATCGAATGTTCAAGCACGGGATATATTTATGTCATTTGACTGACTCGACAGTTACGCAATATATAAACGACAAAAAAGTAGAGTATATTAAAAAAACTTTAGACATCTACATTATATATAACCAAACATTTGAAAATCTACCCTGTATTAATTGGCTTCTTAATAACCGCCATATTGTCTACTTCCAAATCCCAATCACCATCAGGTTGACCACTTTCTCCGAACATTTGAACTTCAGTCTAGAAACGAATTTTGTTTTGTTTCAAGAAGGAAAAAGATACAAATATCACGAAGCTCCTCTTCATTTATTCTATTTTACAGTTTTATTTAACAAATAAAACTATATATGGTGAAAAATTAATTGAATATCAAAATATCCTCAACAGTTAATACTGAAGAATGAATGAAAGTAAACTCTACAAATTCATATACAACTTTAATTTTTCTGTAAACAATCTATATGTTAGACAAACGATAATGATATTATTTTCAAATGAAAAATATACTTTGTTGGATGGATATTAAATTTTATATCTATGATAAAATTGTTAGTAAGCTGAGGTAAATTTAGAAAAGTAAACCTTAGTCAGTCGCAATGTATAATCTGGTACGTATAGACATAGGTTCAAGTTGTCATATCTCATTAGATGGGACTGTTAGGGGAAATCCCAGAATAGTAAAGGAAGGAAAATAAGAGTGGTAACAGAAAAGATTAGATTTGGAAGATACCATTCAAGAAAATACAAATTAGTGAAATAAAAATATTATAAAGAATTCTTAGCTGTTATATATGCATAAATATTTTGTCCTGAATGAATGAATAGAGTTGAACAGGAGTATCTGTTGTAATTTAAATCATGAACTGATCAATGTTAGACCACCATTAAAAACCTGGAAGCACTGGACGCTCGTATAGTCCTAGTATGAGACTACTTAGCAGTCCTGCACGCGCTATTCGAACCCAAGGCATTCAACCTCGCGCGCGAACGCTTAACCTTTAAACCAATAACTCGGCATCCAACGGTGTTAACGGTTGTCCAGTGCTTCTAGTTTTTAAATGGTGGTTGAATATTGTTCGGTTCATGATCTCAAATAAAACTCAACAACCTTCACGAATCTATAACTGAGAAGTGTTAGTATGAGATACTAATCAGAGTACTATGGAATATTTTGATGTACAAATGACAATAATCAACTTTTATTTTAAGCATATGACAGAAAATTGATGAATTTTCATGATATTAATCATAAAACTGAAAATAACTAGTTCTATTATGTTATGTTTATCATCAATAGTCCAATTAATCATGAAATCATTCATAGGATAAAAAAATATTACTATCATTCTCTTAATAATGAGATACTATCATTATCAATTAGTATAGTATAGTATATTATGGACGGACACAAACAAATCCTTTACATACAAATTATTGATATTAGCTTTCTTTCTCATTCTCTATAAACAAATATTTATTGTATGAGAACGGAAATAAACTTTATCTAAATGATTATATCGATATATTTTCAGCATTCTTTTCACGTGTAGGAAAAAAAAGCATTGAAACAAAACAACTAAGTAGATAATATTTTAATTATTTAAGAAAACAACACTGATATTATACTACAAAAATAGAGATAGAATTCACAGAAAAGTCCAATTACGCACAAACAATCAGTCAGTTATAATTAGGGTAAAGACTAACAATAATGGGCAATGCTTCAAGTTCTTTTATTACATCAACACAGTAATCCAATTAAAAAACGACGAGTATCAAAGAAGTCAATTGACAGTGAAAAAGATTAAATATTGAACATATGAATCAAGAAACAACGAAAACATTTATAGAAAAGAATAAGGAAACTCAAGAAAAGGTGAAGATAAAGTGAGAATGCCTCGGCAGTCAATTTAGAGCTCTGTCACCGGACATTTTCAACTACAGGTCGAAGTTATCGTGTGGATCCTAGTCAGGCCAGCTATCAACTACTAATATGGCTCAATCAGAGAGCTCTTACTGACTGATGCTTTGTTTTGGTTTAGCCAGGGTTTAGCTCTCTTACTCTATGAATAACTGTGCATCGCGGTAAGCAATGGTCGAACATATGTAACGTATATCTCAGACAACTCAGTCAGAGAAGATTTACAACCTCAGCAACTGGTCGCTAACCTTTCTTAGAACCTCATTCCAAACACATCATTGTTTACTCAATTGTTCCCTTCAATCGAGTAGTGTTTTAAAGACAACTGTAAGTAAATACATGCACGTCTCATACTTCCACATGCAAAGAGTAATACAGAGTAAACTGTTGAGTATTTTATTCGTTGCTTGATTAACAGACGGACTATTAAATAAAGTGAAAAGACATTAAACCGAAATTAACATTTACATACTTACATTTTGCACAGATTTTGGGGAGATAGTTTCCAAGACAGAACTAGTTTGAGTAGCGATAAATTCATTTGTATTCTCATCACCTGAAAATTGGGGTGGTCCCAGCAGCAAATAGAAGGAAATATTGATACGGTATGAACAATTCAAGTACTGAATTCAATAAGATATACAATACATGTATTAGATAATTAAAAAAACAAATCAGTATACGATCATGCTAGCTTAATAGGTAATATAAACGGACCAACAAGTACAAAAATTTGTAATTTGAAAATGTATAATTCACTTATCAATAGTTATAAATTGATAAACTGACATGAAATACATAAATATAAGTTATGTTGAACGACAGTTTATATGCACACATACATATATGCTGAAAAAAAGTCTAACTGATATCATTTTGTAGTTTATAACTATCCAGTAATGAAAACCCACGTATGTCTATTAATAACAAAAGAGTTAGAATAATCCAAATCATACGTACACACAGCTATTACGCCTCATGCATTAGCTGTAGTATGGATGCTATTAAAGATATTATCTGATAGTCTTTATCCACAAAAGAGTCGAATGAAGCGTCCAAATCTTTGACGAGCTTAGTTGAAAAAAACAGCTATTACTTAGCTAGTGGAAACAACGATTATACAATGGTAGAAATAATATATTTGTAATAATCATATGACATAAAAGAGACACAAAACTAAAAATCTAATTGTATTTCAGGTTATTGTAGTCTTTTGGAATGGAAAAAACACACAAAAACAACATACATTAATGAATCATCATCAGAGATTGCACAGTGTACATGAATACATACATGGAATAAATAGAGGTTACTGGAAGTAAGTAGGTCATTCCACCTGGACTTATCAACAAATCATACAAACCATTTTGTTAGTCTAGTCGATGTTGACGAGAGTCAAAATGTAAGCTTCATTCGTAGTTTAAATCATTGAATAGAAAACCATTTGAACAGTACAAAATGTTCATTTTTGTATTGTTTTTTTTCTAAGTTTTACTCATTGATGTTTAGGACTGCAATTGATCAGTCTCTTGTCACCCCATTGTACAGGCTAGTGATTTTCTGGACTTAGTAGTTAAAAGGATAACGTGATGGCATTTGAACCGAACGACACTGGGTTCGAGTCTCAAAGTGAAGTAGGATCCAGGTACATCTAGCTAAAGACGAGTCCCAAATAGGACGAAAAACGCGTCTTGGATTGATTTCACTGCAAGCTACCATCCATTTTGCTTGTAGTACAAAATGTGTTAAATAGTTTAATATGAAAGTTATTTTTGAATTACTTTAAACAGTGTAATTAATTCATTTGGTTTTAGATTGCATTTAAACGAGAACAAAATTGTAATTAATATTTCATGGAATCATAGTAAAGTACTACATTTTAATAAAACACTAAACAATCATCATACTGTATACAAACATTTTTAGTGATGACACACAGAATAATAAACTTTTGATTGTTTCCTATTTGATGGAAAATTAGAAATTGGATAATGGACAGGTCAAAACTGTAACTAATAAGAATAATAATGGTGTTTATTGATTACAAACCATTTAAAGCATGAAAAAAGAAACCGCCGCTGACTAACGAGATTAATTTCGCTGAAGAATCAAAGTGAAAAACCATGTACACACATATATGCTAGTTGACATACAAACATAAACGCTTCTTTGATGTGTACTCTATCGTGTGAAATGCTGTTTTCTATTCACTCAGTAACAACTACCAATCAATACATAAATAAATAAATGAACAATAAACAAAGAAAAGAGATTTCAAGAGAAGCAGATTATTAATATCCTGTTGTTAAACACAACTATAAGAGTCATTAAATCAATTTTTCTGTTTTGGCACACAATCATTAATAATAATAATAATAATAATAATAATAATAATAAAAGTACTAGAAATGTCATATGCAGATACAAAAATAAATAAACAGAAAAGTTAATTCGATGCAATGTTTATCCGTTCAAAATCACCATAAACTCTTACATGAAATGCACCAACATTGTTATTTGGTACATTAAAATTGTTATAAATATTAAAGAAATTATTATACAAGCACTTAATGGAGAAAAAAAAGAAAGAACGAACCGAAACATAAATGGACAATTAATCCGGAAAAAAACATGCTAATACATTTTTTATATAATAATCATAACATCACGAAGCAAGCGCTAATTTGGAATCCTGAAGGGAAACGAAAAAGAGGAAGAACACAGAACACACTGTGCCAAGAATTGGAAGCAGACATCAAAAAGATGAACAGAAAATGGAAAGGATTGTCCAGGACAGAGTTCGATGAAGAATGATGGTGGGCGGTCTATGTTTCTCCATGGGGGTGGGTAACAGGAGTGAGTAAGTAATAATAATAAACATTTTCATAATAATAATCAATTCATTAAATGAGTTTAACTATGTTTGTAGATGATGTTTAGATTGCAAACAGTGTAGTGGAATATTAGCTGTACATTTCATCTCATTACGAACTTGTAAAAATTATATTATATCATTATATTCCCACTGAAACAATAGAGTTGACTAGTTTCAAATAGAACAAATCATGAGTGTCAGACTTAACTACTAAGAAAAAATCGAAAACATTTTACTAAAACATGTAACTGTAGACAACATTTAGACACCCTCTTGGTCTGCATATACTGTTGAATAAAAACAACACTTGATTTGTGTGTGGGCAGTGATACTGCCAGGGTGTCTAGACCGAAACAGATGGGGCAACAATTGGAGCCTTCGACCTAAAGGTCTGATCCACGAGGCAGTGTAGCAAAGTCAGGAGATGCAGTCCCGTGGTAGCCGGTGACCAATAATTGCTTTATATGTCATTTGTTCCCTCTGGATCCAGGAGCTCATGTGTACCATTGGTTTGGAAACAGGGTTTTAAAACTCCCTTAGGTGGATCTTCCAGATCCACTAACCTGGTTAAAGCACCGGACATTTGCTTTTCGTACTCTCAATTATGTAAACAACACCCTCGCCGCGAGAAGGCAGTGAGTATGACTTCCGTGGCAGTAGGTGTATACGCGTGGTCATGTGAGAGTATTTCGGAAGGGAGAGAGGACTCGGCTGTACCAGGGCAATTTTGTAAACATTACCAAGTATAGTAAAATTAGGGTCATACCGTTAAGCACATAAAAACTGTGGTGTTAACTCGAGTATGGTTAAAGCTTCTACAATATAAGGCACGCTTGTATGTATATCTGTCAGATTACTTGACTAAATCTCGTAAATGAAGTCAAGCAAATTATCTAAACCTAAAATTCTTGGATGTGTTACATTTTGTATATAAAATAGAATTGATCCACTTTAATTTTTGGCTGAGTCACGATGAGATGTTTTTAAATGCAAAAAAATCAACTAAATCAGATGATGATGAAGAGTTGGTCGCTTGAAACCAAGCTAAAGTAGGCAAGCAGGCTCATCAAATTATTACTCTTAATCAAAAACGTCATATTGAGTCTCAAAAAACATTTGATCAATGTATCAAAGAAAGTTATTGATCGAATACCTTTTTTTCATTTTTATCAAGTATAGCCTATAGTCGTGAAATAAATGGGAGTGAACTGTTGTATATAATGCTTATCTTTTAGAAAAGGATTTCTAAAAACTGGAAACTAGAGTCGCCATTCACTTAAACCCGTTCCTCATTTTAAGTTGTAAATGTCAGCGAAACAAGAATACACCAGTATTAAACGGACAACAGAAAAATCAGTGCAAAAAACAATTTTATTCACCTTTGCAAAATTCACACCACTGTATTAAATCCTATAGTATGTTAAAATATATATACTGATAATGATCACTAATCAAATCATGTATATGTGCAGAAATACAACAAAATACAATAAAAAATCCCCAATAATTATAGATACAGAATAAAAGCAAGCATAAAGACGTCCTAATGAAATGGCACCTTGAAATAATATGTAGAGTCATGAAAAAAACTGTTGCCTATAGTGAGGGAAACAATTTTTTCAATGATTCTACAACTAATCACATTCACGAAAATTTGGACTGAAGTAAATTTCTTGTGTAAAAACAGTCTGTTGATGCATGTTTATAGTATGATGAAATTTTTAAGAAACAGAACCATTGCTGAAGAAATTTCACGCATTAGCCTTCAAGAATATTGTTTACAACAAGCACTACATTACAAGATAAAACTATCATTTAATAGTTGAATTCATGAGACTATTGGTGGAGGCACATCGCTGAGGAGTTCCATACTTGGAAGAAACGGCCATCCAATACTTCCAGGTTTTCAATGGTGTTCTAGCTTAAATCAACTCATGCATCCTTTATTAAATAACTACAATCTTCACAAACTCCTATTCTGATAATAAAACTATCAATAAAAGTTTCACTTTACATGAAGCGTAAGGCCAATATTTTGTAAAATATATATACAAAAGCTGTTTGTCATTATTTGCACATCACTAACATAATATACGATACTATAAGTTTGAAAAACTCGACGTTCCTGAAAAGTTTAATAGACTATTCTTTCGAGAAAATGATTTCATATAATCAAGAAATTACAAAAACTTTAAAAAACACAACTTTTTATAATGAATATAACATGATTGGAATTTTTTGTATGAGTTGTATTAATACCTGATCAACTGAACTTATGTATGTAAAACTGAGTTGAAACAACTGATTAGATGATTGAAAGATTAATGCCATGCTCAGCAGACAATCATTCAACAAGTAATTAACAGCACCATTGAACAACACTCACAATAAAGACATGATAAAAAGCTCAGTATATAAATCACTAACATTAGAGATAAACACGAGAAATCATGTTTTTCATGCATACATTTGGAATCGTTATAACATTCAAATGGAACAATATGTGGTTAGATACAGCACATACAAAAATACATAAATATCCATGTATATCAAATGAATTTACACCAAGCACTATATATATATTACACGAAAAGAAACAACGAAAATTTTACAATAGGATTAACATTGAAAGCGGTAGATCGCAATATAGTGCAATAAATCATACCCTTTTGACTAGTTATACGATCCGAAAGTGTACCTTGAGGACCTAGATTTGTGTATACAGTTTCAAGTTAAATAACAATTTAAAATGTTTATTTCTGAATATACAATATATATACATAAACTATTGGTGGGAAAAAACCCATTGCTGGTTGAAAGATTTTAAAAATATTCAACTTCAATTTAGAAAGGTATTCTTCAGATGTTCCGATTTTAAGACAAAAACATTACAATATATTATAGTACAATGTCATTGATTTTCATTTGGCCTTTCAACGCTTTAAAAAAATCTCAAATAGGTTAGGTTAATCTCTTGTAAAATGATAACTCCAATTTACACAATAGAAAATTATCTATTCACAATTCACTAATCCACATTAATTCATGCCATAAAATATTATAATGCCCAAGGATAAGTGAGAAAAATAATTTATTCGTTATATGTTACAGTGAAAATGTTTGATACAGAGTAAACAAGAATAAAATGTAGTCATTGACCTGTAACAAATTTAACTAAAATTATTTTAATTAAGAAAATATGTTCTCAATATTATTTTAGGAAAAGGATGGAAAATCATTTGATCAGTGGGAGATGGGAGGGTTGATAGTGGACTAGAAGATGAAGAAAAAAACCTGATAAGAAATGGAAGAACTGTTTTTAAAGTTATTTTATTTATTTAAACACATAAACATTATTACAAGGAGGAACGAAATGTATGTGCGTCACACAAATCATTCAATTTATGTAAGGGCCGAAATACTACCCGCGTGCCTAAACCGAAGCAAGTAGGTTTCTTAGGGGGACACTCCTCGAGTCGTTAACCTAGAGGTGAAATCCACATGCGGTAGAGTAACGTTAGGAGATGCAGTCCCATGTTAACTGGTGTCCCACAATAATTTAGTGAATGAAATTCTAAACTGTCATATCATTGAATAAATCATCGTTGTAATTTAAGTTGTGTAAAAGAATAAGACAACAAAATTGTAAATTACATTATCATGATTTACTTAAGTTGGAATGTGAACACTAGTGCAAGTGATATGACATTTCATGAAATGAGTTATAATAATAATCGGCTGGAGGTATTTAGTAAGGGGTTATCGATCTATATTTGGTAGCTAGTTGGCAGTCTTGTAATTTGTGAACAATATTTATTGATTCAATTCGCTAAACGCATCAAATATAAACTTTATGGAAGGCTAAAAAGCAATAAACATATGGCATTTTACAAAATATAGAAAGAGACGTGTTGCTATAGAATCCAGTAAAAATTCTTAATTTGAAGAATTCAACTCCTTTATATCAATATTCATAGTCAGGTTTTTAAAAATTGAGCAATCACTACAAATCGTTGAACTAGGAATACATTGAAAATTGACAAAATATTTTAGAATTTTGAGACTTTATGAACTCCAGGAAACTAGCATAATTTGCTAAACTAAAAATAAAAAAAATTAGTAATCTGTTTGTGGTGTTTATCTCTATTCTTATTAAATTTGGTTGAAATATTTTGAAAAATAACAATAATATCAATAATAAAAGAACATGGTGCATTGTTTCGAAAGATATAAGATGACTAGAATTATTTTAAACTGAATACTTATGAGAAAAAACCGTTAATCTATTCAGAATGAGTAAAGAGATATCACAACAACGAGAAAATAGTAGCGAATTCATATATAGTCGTACGAGGTAAGATCGAATAACAAAGTATTTAATTTCTTCAAAATGGAAAAAAAGGATTACTAACTTCATATTGACATGAAAAGGAAAACATTTACCAGATGAAATGTCAATTCTACACAGTTGAATTCATCTGTATTTATGCTAATTAAATAAAGTTGATAAATTGAAAACAACCACAGCGATTAGAAAAATTCGATTTATTTTGTTTTATCCAGAATCAATTATTTATGTTGTAAAAGAAGGGAAAAAAGGCATAAAAATTGATAACTTAAAAATAAAATGAAAAAAAAGTCTTAGTATTGAGCATTGAAGTAAAGCATTTAAGCGATTAAGTTAACCATTTACTTGTTACATTATTATGGAGCTTTCCTAATAAATTATTCAAATATAGTACTGAAATATACGCAAGTAAAATGAGTTTAGTTATGTACTCAATTTGTAATTTAAACAACTGTTCACTGTTCAACATAAATATCTGTAAAATAAAAGGCTAACAGGTATAATTCATTTATCAAATACAATACACTGTGAATCCCAGTTTTCGAATCATATCAAGTTTATGTGGGCGCTAATAACAGAACTATATTGTCCAAGAAATTGTAATAAGTCAAGCAGAGTTCGAACATTGAAAACTGAATTCTTCAACCTTAAATCACTAATATCATCATGGCATATCTTTAGTAGTACGTGTTAACGTACATATTATTAGAAGCAAAAGATGAACAATAGTTAAATAAACTTAAGTAATAATTAAAACATCGCACAATGTAACCGTTCTTAACTCTTTAAATGTGCTTATTTTTTACAACTATTCATATAAATCTTGCATCACAATAAAATACATTTGATAATTAATTTCGTATTAGAAACATGAAATGTGTAGTTAACATTGTACAGTCAAACACAATAACTCTGCTTTACGTGACCTATATATACTGATAAACTTGTGACACAATAATATATACACAAGAAAGAAAATATGTGAATGTATCAGTGATCATATGTACCAATTAAGTTTAAGCAAATATTAACACAGTTGTGGGTATTCACAAGGTCATCCATACTTTTTTCTATAATAAATCAATAGATTATGGCGTTCGTTGTATGTAGTCGTGCCAACTTGCTAACATAACTATATTATATATATATATATATATATATATATATATATATATATATATATATATATATATATATATAATACAATGAAGATATACATCATATTAGTCAAATTGAGAATGAAATCGAAACTGGAATAAAAGTGTTTCATCAGTAAAAATACTGCTCTTACAATACTTAGGCACAGCTTTGGATATTTAAAATTTAAATATACATTAACAGTCAGTCCCAGTAAATTCTTCTGATACAGTTTGAACAGTTGTGTTACATATTTTTAACTAATTATATGTTCATCGTCATACCACCTAGTTAGTTAGCACACAAATGCCTTGTAACGACCGAGGGTGTTGAGAGTCCACTCCCTCACTCGAAATCCTCATATCAAGCCTAATCCTAATTTGTTTTCCCTTCTCATATTTTAACGACTTCTCCCAATTACACCATCTATTATTTCTAACTGCACGTTATTAAAAATAATTGAGGTGGATTACCAATTTTATTCAATATAATCACAACAGTGCTCATACAATAAAAATGGAATCAAGCAGCATAGAAAAAACCCAGAGACTTATGATTCGTATGACGAATTACCTGTAATTAATTCATCAGTTGTATATGTAAACAGAGTATGCTGGAGAAAAACTAGCTAATCAACAGATAGCAATCACAATAAATAAGAGATCGGAAATACAGTTATTAATAGAAATCATGAACCGATCAATGTTAGATGACCATTGAAAACCTGGAAGCACTGAATGGTACTGGGTTCGAGTCCAATGTGCGGTATTGTGGATAAACACTCATGAGGAGTCCTAAACTAGGACGAAACGCTCATCCAGTGCTTCCAGCTTTTTTTATTGTGTTTAACATCGATCTGTTCATGATTTCTGTAGAATTCAACAATCTCTACAAATATTTTTAAGTTATCAGAAAAAGAACTCATAAATTACGACTTATTGAATTTCGTATGTGGTATTCGTCGCATAGAGAATTGGTTTCAACAAAAAAACCCCAATTGAACATATGAAAATTTTTTATCTGAACTAATCTTTTAATACAATAGAAATGTTTGGTACATACTCTAAGGTGACTATACAGTAAAATGAAACAATTATAAACTTAACAATTACCGTACAATACACAATCATATTTATAACAGAATTACGGTTTTTAAAAAACAAATAAACCTTGATTTTTTTATTTAAAAAAAATTTAATTTTTATTGGAATGTCGATCACAAAATTCAATTCAAAGAAATGGACTGTTTCTATAACAGCTAACAACAAAAGAGTATGGATGATCAATTTTAAAAGAAAAGAAAATTCTTACTCAAAGTGGAATGCATATACTCTAATTGCCCCCAAATATCATCATTCTCCGTTTCAGCTAATATTGTACTATCAAAAGCTGAATTGAACAGACCAGTATGACCTGGAAACGAAGAAGACAGTAATAGAAAGAGATAAATACTGACATAGACTTCTCATTAATTTTAATAATTACAATATTTCACTGAAAGTAATCATCAGAACAAATAGAGCATATAAATATTTATGTGGTGAAATCACTAAAAGAAAGTGACAATCTGAGTAAAAACAGTGGGGGAGCAAGTACATTATTCTAACGACGCTACGTAATATCAATACGGAGAAAGGTGGATAATTTTCTATTTTCAAACAAGTGTTATGGAGGGAGCGTTAGATAAAACAGAAGCAAATTTCAATTAAGTATATACATACCATTAAATGTGTTCAGTTTTATTAATAAGAGCAGCAAAAACGTAAATTGAAATATATTGTGGACTTATTTAAAGTTGTAATGGATAAAACTAAAAAGCAATTGAATGTCCAGTAGTAAGTTATTTCGTCTTAATTTTTCAACTATGTAATAATGCACCATCATAGTTTAATACAAAGGTTTTATGCACTATGAATAAAAGGAATAAGCAGCAGCTTGAAAGGTGAGAGGTGAAGTTGATTAGGCCATTCCCCATGATTTGATTGACAATATTTCTTATGACATATGTGACACGAATGTTCCATTTGTTGGCAGAGAATAACCGGAGATAACAGCGTAAATGCCATCCCCCTGCATATCTACATGATTTGTACAAGCGCTAGATTAAAAAAGCCTATGGAAACTGTACTAGTTTTTAGAACAGAATATTACTTAAACAGTAAGAACCATATTGATAAATTGCATAAAAGCTAATATGTTTAATTATTTCCAATTGATGATATAATGTTAAAAATGAATTGACAATCAATAACGAATAAACTAATGGGTATTATGAAAAAAGTTAAAAATTTAAGTTTTAATAAGGTGGATTCTTTTTATTATCGATTGAACTAATGGTTCCACCAGTATACTAAAACGATTTCTTAATTTGATCAAACAAAATGTTTAAGCTTAAAAAGGGAAATTAAACAAGCGAGCTCAATTCATTAAATTATGATTACAATAAGTTGAAAAAAGAGTCAAGATGTTACCAAGGTAGCGATGGCTGACAACCGACTGTTTTGAAATAAAAAGATCAGGTTAAAGCCTTCTGATAGATTTGACGTCTGTCAATTTAAATAACACGGAGTCGGACCCGCTTATTATTAACTTCAAACGAGTTATTTAAGTCATTGCCGTACTTCGTGTGTTGGTGATTGAATTCTCTACAATCGACAACAGCCTCATACAAAACTTATCTTAATCACCTTGATTGTTGTTATTGGTGAGTGCATCACATTAGATGATATTCATTGTAATCCCCTCCTTCGTTGTTTTGAAAGATGCTTTTATGATCCCAGATTCATGAGATTCCAATCTTATAAGTGCTTTTCGTGCTTCTTTGGAAAGTGTCAGTGAAACTTCTGTGTGCAAAGCATCATCCTTTTCATGACCAGAGTACAACAGCACCTCTCCCAGAGATGGTCTCTTCTGTTCAGTCTCTGTTAAATTGCTTTCATTTATTCGAAGCACCGATAGCTTTTTTTCATTAATGCAGCTACTTGAATGGTCCTATCAGTCACCCTTGATTGTGTACCTTTGCTAATTGTTGCTCTGGTTGTTAGAAAAGGCATAGGCCTCATGAATTCCGAAGAATTTCAGTTTTCACCATGAAGAGTCATAACTCTGTAAACAAAGGTCCCTCAACTGTCAGGAAAAAGTTTAAGTGGTCAAAAGTTTTTTTTAGTTAGCATTTTCTTAGCAAGGTTGTTTTCTACAGTATATGGTTTCTGACCCCAAGTCCATCCACGTAAATTTAATTTGATATCTACAATCAAATGCGATTAACTGACGAGTTTCAATATATGTGTGGTTATTTTAATCTAGATCACTTCTAAGTTGGAGGAATGTGAATACCAAGTATAACGACGGATCATAACGTGAATGGAATAAGATAATCAAAGTGGTTTCCTTAAAATAATTAAAGGTAATGCGTAAACTGAAATGAAGGGATATCAGAAACACTTACAAATGAAATCATAGGGACATGAGTAATAATTAGAGAGAGGAGGATATTTTCGAATAAGAAATATAATAATAATAATAGGTCAAGGCCATGGTAAAATATGAATAAGGCGAACTTCTTTATACGCACAGTTCTGAGTTGATCGCGTTTTTGCTATTTTAAGGAGTTGGATACAAAGAAATCTAAATAGACTTAGACTTCTTGTATAAACAACGTTAGAATTAACCTGTGGATTGGTAGAGAGAGAGAGGGATCGATAAAATATTATAGTATCGAATTTCTAACTGCTTTCCTCTCACCGGTGTAGAATTCCCCAGTGATATGTTCTTGTACGCGAGTTGAAAGGAAGCGCTGAACAAAGTCTATGTGCTATGCTCGAAAGGAGCAAGTGAACAGGTAAATGAACACAGAGGTAAACAGACGAAGAATTTTATCCTTTACATATACATAAACCAAGTTTCTACTAGTGAACAGTTAGTTATAACTTCAGTTAATAACTTAAACATACAATAAAAAATACATATTATAGTTATCGGTAAGATAACACTTCCTTGAAATTCACTTCGTTAAAATATTATTAACAAATAAAGGAAAAAAGATGTTAAATCACAAATTACTCACTCTTTTGTTCAGTAACATCAGATGAATAATAATGATCATCTTCATTTGATTTTAGTTTCTTATTAGATGATGATAACCGATGTGAAATTGATGGTGAAGGTGCTGAAAATTGTTGAATTGTTTTATTAATATTGAGTATTGATTATCGAAACAGTAGTAAAGGAGAAACAGATAGAAACAAAACAAAAATATAATTCCTCAAATCTAAGAAATCCAAACAATGAAATATTATTGTTTAGAATGGTGATGATGAATACTAACTGATCTCAGTCGAGGTATACCTGAAAACCAGGGAGAACTGAATAGCGGTTTAGTCCTAGTATGGCACCCCTCAACAGTGCGAACCAACAATCCAAGAGATAGAACGCAGGAACATGAAGCCTCACAGGAAATGAATCAGTTTTCAACGGTACGAGTTTAATTTCCGTCAGTTTCCAATGTATTAGACGTCATTTAATGCGACTGGTGAAAACTGTTCCACTTTTGACACGAACACATACTTCATTTCATTTTTGTTCTTTAGCTACGTAGAGGGTAATCAACACTCAACCATATTATAATATCAGACAACTGATTACTTCATCATCAAAAACGATGATACAACGTCTCTGCCATTACATTTTCATAATTGATTTCAGTGTGAATTATATAAACAGGGTATTCCAACTAAATAAGATTGATTTGGACTTACAGAAATAATCCTTAAATAAAGTTGGTGTATCGAACATATATAGCAATAGAAACAAAAACTAAACAAGGACTCTTATTCTACTAAATCGAAAAACATTGCCAAATAAAAACCATGATGAAGTGATGAATTCTAAGATTCGGTTTTCAACCATTTAGCTATTGCGCATAAAATCTAAATTCCGACATCTCCAGGTTTATGTAGCTGGTTATTATATAGAACACAAAAATGTGTAATGCAACAAATCAAGTATGCATGAACCTAAGGTTGCCGATGAGTTTCATATAACGACTATAAACGAATACGCGTTCATGAGGAAATAGAGCTATTCAATACTCTGGTATATTATATATATAGTGCATGGTATATCAGCATTTTATTACATCATCAGACTTCTTTACTTTGTGACGAATTCAGTAAATAACTAATTCTTTCCAATTTTACTCAACTGTTGGATTGCAACATACAGTTTTTTGGTGAGTAGCACACATTCGAACTTATTTGGGCTCTTTTTTTCTGGAAAAACATCATTTCAAAATGAAATGACTGAAATCCAACCTACCAAGCCTATGAGAAAATCTATATACATATACACACATAAAAATGTTTAAGTAACAGTGTATTCACAAATTAGAGTATATTGTTAAATGTGAATTGAATATTGAATGCGTGTTGAGACTACACATTTTCATTATTCAGAAAGGTCAAATTTAACATATACAACAGACACTATTGCATTCATCATAATCAAATTGCTAATCATATACATGTGTGAATATTCAGTAACTTAATTAATGTGATCATTTACATTTTGATTTCCTTTGACCTAGTTAACCTGTAGAAACTACGTATGAATCATCAATTATCTCCGTTTCACTTCATCTATTTTGAATGTTTATCTTATTGCATTATGTTTATTTTCACTGCAATTCAATACCTTATGAAAATTCATATTTCATCCCCTGTCTTCTCTATTTGTACAATAGCTCTCTAGACTATGTTGTTTGAACGAAATATATTTGACTGAACGTTTACAAGTAGTTCATTTAAAGTCTTTATGTCTTCGAATAAATTAAACGGTAACTTTTTTTAAAACTTTTACTTTAATATTTTTTTTGATGATATTTGCATTCCGCCTTCAAGCTTGTACCATTCAAGAATAGAAGCATTCAAGTTTACGGGATGTATTTAAGTCACATGTTCACAATAACGGTACTATTATTTTGAGAAAAATGACGGAGAGGAGTAGTGGAATCCCTATCAGGAAAAAATACTAATGTTCCAAATCTTTCTTGTTTCTCAATGATTTTATATTTAAAATTATTCAGTAGTCAAAAATCTATCTTCCATTTGAAAAATCTTAACAAAAGCTGCTTAGGATAATTTATCAAAAGTCTACTATTTCACACCTATCGTCTGTATCTACACAGTTTGTATAATTCGTCTATTTTTCTTCTCGAAAGGACTAGTGTAGTTGTGGTCTGGTGAAAAAATAAATAGTACACAAGGAGAGTATTTTTGGTAAGTTAAACAATTCCTTTATTTCTTCCAAACAAAACAACGCAATTGCTTCAAGTGACGTAGGTCTTACATACTGACGCCAACCAAACATAAAAAGTAGTATCTAGTCTTAACAATCATAACAAAAATCCTTCTAGTGACAATGACGTCAAAAGATTTGTATTCACTGTATAATTTGACTAAACAGTAGGAAATATGTACATATATAGTTTTGTGAAACACGTATATAATACGCATAAACTAAAAGTACGGTGAAGCTTTTAGACATCATGGCTGTACTTTAGGACATGTTAAACAGTCAATTATTTAACTGAACGATGCTACGTCTTGAGTCGGTTGGGATCAACATTCTTTTGATCTATATTTTCTCGAGCCAGCATTGTGTTTTAAGGTAAGTGGTGGTTAGCAATATGTAATACATACTACAGCTATCTCATTTAGGAGTTTAACAAGGTCATCAACAGATTTCCTATATTCATCTAGTACCATATGCCTAATCTCAACATTGTTCACTCGATCATCTCACGATGCATAAGAAACTTATGACTAAATAAATGCACTCTAAGCAAGCTTTTTACTTTCACAGACAATATTTCACACCTGAAGAGTAATAAAGAGTGAAATGCTGTGCCGTGCACTCTCCATGCCGTTAACAGACAAAGATCTTCTCTACGCCATTTGCAAAAGGCAAATGAGTTATTGAATAAGAGTCGTGAATAAATAACTGAGAAATAAAATGACTGAACAGCCGAATTATAGTTCTACTTTCAAGGAAACAAATGACATGGTAATATTAGGATGTAGCGTAATGCTAAAATATAAAGAAATTACCAAATCTCAGCTTAGAAAGTATATTATGAACATTGTTCCAGTAGCGAGTTCCTACAGTCAAATTTAATTATTCAGGACATAGAGAAGTGGTACAAACTACCTATTTATTCAATACTAATAAAATTACCAAAAACAACATGTAACATGAAATGAATTAAAATAATCAAAGTTCATTTCTATACACACTTAGTTATATAAACAATAATTAGAGCATATTCTAAAGACCATACGAATAAAATATTTTCAAATATCTATACACATCAGTTAGGCCATTTCCTCAGAATACCAGGTTAACATGACTATCAAGATAATAAAAACATTAACAGTTGTGAACAAATAAAAAATTAAACACACTCGTGATATTGATGATACCTAGAAATCGACCGGAGGAGTCAATTTGTAAAATGTTTCATACAGTGAATCTTAAATATAACATACCATAGGTTTGTTATTCATAGTTTAGTAAATGGCGATGATAATTAACCGGTATTGATGTCTAACTTCAATTGATCCATGATCATGTTCAATCCTTCATCCATTGTCTGAGGTGGATAATTGTCTCAAACAGGACACGGGTTGTACTACACTGGACACGGTTTCTCAGTAGAACACCAGGAAATATATTTTGAAGCTAATCTGGCTAGTCCTGGCTCAGTGTTCTAGAGGTTAAGTGTTCGTACGCGAGACCGAAGGTTCTAGGTTCGAATCCCGTGTGCAGGATCATGGATGTGGACTGCTGAGCTGTCCCACACTAGGAGAAAACGGCCGTCCAGCGCTTCCAGGTTTTTAACGGTAGTCTAGCTTAGATGGACTCATGAATTTAATTGTTAAAAGATGTCTCTGTTATCGATATTATCATAGTAATTATTAATTTATTATCAACTTAATAGAATAATTGTCCTCCGTTTCAACTATTAAGTTACTTCTCTTGCCGTGATGAATATATGCTTTTCTCTCCCATAACCACTGAATTACAAAATATTAAGCAATTGATTTTCATATCACAATTCACTCTGCATCGGTATGCTAACAAATATACAAATTATTTTTAGTTTTATAACTTAACACGTATCGAAACAATTGCCCACCACTGTAAATGAATTAAATAAAAAAGAGTTCTTCCTTAAAGCAACTTATATCACTCAAAATTAACAATAATTTATATGAACATTATTATGTGTCTGAACATATCTCAAACCGTTTGGTATGATGAACAAATTTGTGAAACCCATCACAATATACTGAGTGAAAAACACAAATATAGCGAGAATTACGGCGTGAAATAGGAAAGCAGTGTCGATGAATAACAAGTGGATAATAAATAATTAGACAAATACTGCAAATTTTCATCAAAAACTAACATATGAATATTAAAAATTGCTAAATAACATACCAACACCATCTTCATCTAATTCTGTAAATGGATGTTCACGCATAAAATCTGGATGTTCTAACATTAGCGTTTGATCAAGTTCTTCATGTTCCTCCTCCCAACTGACAACAGTTGTAGTGACAGTTTTTAAAATATCAAATATTGTGACATAATGCTGTTTACGTGCTATATGTGCTGGTGTCAGACCTTGCTATAAAGAGGTGTTTAGTGAATAGTGATGATCATGATATGGCAATATCCATTAGAGTCCAACGTATAGAATGAAATGTGAAATGAAGAGCAAAAGAAACACACAGAAGCGTGGATTATATACATATCATTTAAACCAATATGACAATAACGCTAATAATAATAATAATAATAACCACAATGATAAGTATCATCATTATTAATTTCCAAAGACTATATTTTCACGTCTCAGTATATATAACGACAATTCAGAGGAAATCCTCTTTATTCCTATCCAACAATCATTATAACGAAACTATTTTCAACGGAATGTAGATTTTAGGTTATTTTAATAAAAATTTTAAGGAAGTTTACAATACAAAATAGTACCAGTTACGAATCTGTGATATTGTGATACGACCAATAAATTAAATCTAGAGAAACTGTTCAAAAAATACAGGCTTCTAGACGTACACAGTATATGCAATCCACAAAAATCTAATCACACACAGATAGGAAGAGTATGGACTAATTAAGGTTAATTGACGCTATTGAACTTATGTTTGTCATATTAGAAACAAGAGAACTATGGGAAACTTTTATGGTTTAAAAAGTACCGTGCCAATTACATTACCAGTAAATACGAAAATTTTCCAAATGACTTCACATGGTTATAAATTCATTTACCGATGGTATTGAATGAGATTTACCATAAAAAACTAGCCTCATCAATGACCATATATGTATCGATCAGTAGGTTGCTTTGAGAAAGATGTGTTTCTACGTCAAATATAAAATTGATAGAAAACTAATTGGATTATTGGATTTATGTGGTGAGAAAGGTTATGACTATGAAAGTCAATATCATTTATGCATACTTCAATATATAATAAGTCCATACTTAAGGTTAATAAAGTCAGTTTCGACACGCAAGAGATTTACAGGGCAGCTAGCGATAACATTTTATACCGATAAACACCAAGAAAACAGTGTCAAAATAAAGAAATAAAAATTGTTGAGAAAAAAAGCAGAGAGGGAACAGCATGATACAATTAAAGAAATGAATAAAAGTGAATGAAAACATTATAACATAAGGAACAGTTCTGATAAAAACGTTATCAAAAAGACCGCTTTCAGTTAAGCTATTTCTACTCACTTTTGTGAAGGATATGTATTCTGTGTCATACGTGATAACGTTTCACATCATAGCGTCTTTAGGACTCAGATCAGGAAGTCATTATAGACACGCAGATGATAATCATTGACAATTTGGCATAAATTATGGTAAATCAGCAATTAACATTAGAAAATATTTCAAAAATGTACAAAACATATGATCTAGTAATTAATCTATTATTCTCCAAGGTGTGTGCATTTTCATACTGAAAACAGTTAAGTGATTGAATGTAATTGATCAGAAACCCTGGAGCTGGTTACCTAGTTCATATATGTAGTCCTAAGAGAATCGAACTGATGTTTACTGTAAGAATTTCTTGGTTCCGAACCACTTGAAAAGTATTACTTGACGAGTGGCAACTAGCAATAAATCCAAGTCAAGGATTACTTTTTGGTTAACTCAAACTATCAAATATTAAAACACAGTCCGCGCAATATTAAGTCGTTAAAACTGGTGACTCCATTGTAACCTGATCAATAGGACACGAACATTAATAAGGACTATCCAAACATACCATTCAGTACTCGTAATTAGTCAATGAACTACTAACATCTATCGATCCATCTCAAAACAATTCCGGAAATAGTGCGAAACTATTGTTTACACTTAAATTTTTGTGAAATGAAACTCATACAATGTCTTGATGGTACTGTCAAAGTATTAAAAGAATAAAAGAATTTATCACCTACCTGATTTCTAACATTACTGTCAGCACCCATTTCTAGGAGTAAACGAACCACTTGTGAATGACATTGTTGTGCAGCTAAATGTAACGGAGTAAAACCCATTTGTGTTCGTTGATTAATATCTGGTGCATCGGGTAAATCTAATAAGTAGCGTACCATGTTAATTTGTCCAAAATGGCATGCTGTATGTAACGGACTGTAACCAGCTCTAGTTAGAGGGCTAACTTTAGCACCAGCGGATTTTAAAATTTGTGCCACTGACACGTGATCTTCTTGAGCAGCTAAATGTAGTGGTGCAAGACCATTCTGTGAGAGAAACAAATACATTTTTTTTAAGAATAATAATAAATTTATTCATTACAAAAATTTCGCAATATTGCAAGAAAATCCTACTTAGCATACATTTAAGCTGTAATCATTTGGAAATATATTTTACGAATGTTTTTGATAGTTAGTATCTGCCAGCGATCTTGAATCACCAAAGTTTTCCAACAATTCAGCTGCTACAATCATCATCATATATATATCGGGGCATAACAATAATGAAGTTAGTAAACTATGTGACGACCCTCTAATCAAGCACTGCTGGTTAAGTCCAAGCTTATGATGAACAGTTGTCTGAATTGATAACATTAAAAGTCTTTCGTCAATGTTGCACAGCATTGCCTCTTTTACTTAATTTTATCATAAATATACTCTTAGAAAACACAATTCCTACATCTAAATCTTCAGCGATTGATTAGTGACCATGAAATTCGCTTCGTTTTGTTAATATGGCGTGACAATATGAGCTAAAGCTTATTTATTTATTGATTACAACTAGCTGACTAAATATTGATTAAATTAATTAATCTTTTCTTATTCAGTAATGTGTCAATAGTGAAGCCTAAATAAAATTTATAATTTAAAAGAATATTTAACTCAACATACTTTCGACTGATGATTTGGATCAGCTCCATGTTGTAGTAGTAATGAAACCATATCAGTATGACCTTCTTGTGCAGCTAAATGTAATGGTGTAAACCCACTACGTGATGATGAATTTGCGATTTGAATTTGGTCAGATTCATGAGCCAATAAAAGTGTAGCAATATCTAAATGATTTTGTTTAGCTGCCATATGTAACGACGTATAACCATTGCCAGCCTTAAAGCAAAAACAACAGGTGTAAACACATAATTTATAACAGCATTAAGACGTAGCAGTAAAATAAATTATTAGATTCAAAGTTCAACAGTCCCTTAAAAAAATTATCGATAAAGAAAGACAGAATAACAATCAAATGGATTTACCCAATATGTAAGGGTATGATATTATAGATTATTGCTTAGTCATTGCTAAGTGGCAAAAAGCACTGTAATCATTGTCTGAAAATTAACGAAACCAAAACAGAAGTATTTTGGTATTTATTTTTTGAGTAATATTCAGCAAAATCGAGTAGTTTATTTAGCAACTGAGATAAATTTATCAAGTTTATATAAACACTAAGTATATCACATGAATCGGTTGGCATCTTTACTGATTAAAGCTTTTTATTGTCGCTGTTCTGACAAAAAGATTTGGACAATGTGAAGTGCCGATATGTTGAAGTGGTTTTAACTGCCACTCATTCATAAAAGTGGATCATATGCTTAAGAGAAAAAGAGACGTAATTTCAAAACTACAAATCCGAAAACTTCATCGAAGATTAAGGATATATGATCAAAAAAGAAATGAAACAACAACATCGCTCATTTATAAATTTGATTGATTTTCTATTCAAGTACACACATTACCAGCTATATTTCACCTGAAGATGAATAACATCCAATAATCAAACAGTTGTTTCATCCACGTTTAATTGAAAAAATAAACGTCGAGGAAATACATCATCTACTTAACTTTCCCAATGATGAAGCTGTAGATTAAGATATGTCAAGTGTATGTGGCTACAATACGACTAATAAAGGGTTGTTAACATTTGGAGCATCATCTGATTGATCCGAATTGTATAATATATTTAGCATAAAACAGGGAATTAATATTTGAATGGCTGATAATAGTAGACTAACAGAATTATTCTAGTGCTCACATATAAAGCAATAAATTGATTTATTCCAGTAAATTATTCACAAGGATGAGATTATGAAGTTATTTTGAACTTGAATGTGTGGGCATGCAGTTCACGCATGTTGTAGACGTTGATGAGCAATGATAAGTGAAGCGATAGCAGCATTAAGTGAAAAGATGTAGTAGTAAAAATGAACAGTTTACAAACACGAACTGGAGAATAGATAATTCCAAATGTCAAATGTTTTTGAGCGATTGTTCAGTGATTAGGGAGTGTGACTTACAGCCATTAAGTCACATATTAGAATCTGGCTACATCTGTTTCGAGTTGATCAACAGGATAGTATATCATTAGCTTTCACAGTTAGTGTGGTTCGAAGTCAGGTACATGAATCCGAACTTGTTAAATTATTTAATAAATAAAATAAGGTATAAAGAAAAAAACCAATGATTATTTTGTCTGTTTGTTTTCTAATGGGAATCTTTTTGAATAAATCAATATTAAAGAAAAAAGCATAACATTAGCCTATTATTGTTTTTCTGTTTCGAACATTCGACAATTTTGACCAAAGCATTTTCAGTTCCTACATTGTTTCACAAGCCAAGTCATTAATCAAAGTGTATTAAACTGAGTTAATTACACGCACATGCATGTACGAACACCTACAATATATATAACTAACTCAAATGAAATATATGGTGGCTTAACTAAGATATTATCACGTGGATGAACACAGAACACATGACTAGTAAAAATAATAATAATAGCACACGTTATGTAATGGATAAAATCAATTGAGTGAACAAATGACGCCCAACAGAGCAATAAAAGAATTGATAATATAGATATAAATACCGATTAAACTATGATCCCTAACATGTATGCTCTACCTATTTGTAAATAAAAAATTTCTTTTCAAGAGAAATAAGAAAACAGCATAGAATGCATTGTAGGTTACTAGTGTGTGTGAGTGTGTGTTCATGCATTTTAAACAAGGCAGTAAGTAAACACACAAAACAAGAACAGAATATGAATTTGATGATAATAAACTGGAAAAAGAATTATGATTGCTTTTTTCAATGAAATGTCATTAAATTGTGTTTAAAAAGAGGGGATTGGGATAGTTGACTAGTAGTAGGAAAAGACATTATCTGTTATTTTTATTCCATCATCAAATATGAAATTACCTGAAAGAATTTACTATAAGTTTGTCGATCTATCAATAGTCGTCATTATTCACAACAGCACCGGATATCATACACTGTAAGATTCTTTTTGTCTGCTTATTTTGTGGAAATTCTTGCAAGGATATATTTAATGAAACAATAACACTCTGTCGTACCCTTAAATGAGGATTTTTATTATTTTCGATACCTTAATTTTCAGATTCTGTTTATTTTCTGACACCAGATAAGACTGTTATTAGTCGTTTTACCAGCAACATTGATTTTCTTCGAGTATAATTTTATAGACATGACTTCTACAAATTGTGTTATTTTGTACCAATAGATTTAGGAACCTGGCAACTGCCATAATACTTATTTGGATTATTGCTGTTAGAATTGGGTTGCAGTATAACGTTAGCATTAATTTCCTAGATTGTTGGGGGCATATTTTTACCTCGTAAAGTAATTACATCATACTCTTTAAAAGTTTAGTTGTACCATTTACTGGTTGTGTGTGTGAACGATTGAACTACTTCATCCTTAACTGAAAGAACGGCATCTGTTGTTTTTCATGAATACGCTCCTTCTTTGATAAGTAACTACTTGAGAACGTACTTAAGAAGTTTATCTACTTGATGGATTCTAAATTTAATCATACAGACTTGGTTAAATAACTTAGTGGGTATGTGGCCTAGTGAAATTATTCGTTTAGCTATTTCGTATAAACTCTATTTGCCATCATTTATTACGGCACAGTTGGTTACCCTACTATAATAACAAGTCACTACTCAAACTATAATGAGATGGATACAATAATCAGAATGAAACGATAATCTGTAAATTGAAGCCGCAAGAGTTCCATTATTAGGTTGCAGGTTTGATTGGTTATCCACTTTGTATGGTTTAAATACATGAAGTGTTACTAGTTGAAATATGTTTGCAGTTGAATAAATAGCATATTGAAAAAAGTAGCTGCGTACTATTTTTAAGGGCAGTCTTATCGTTTCAATTTAATCTACATAATTAACAGCAGTTTACACTTTAAAAACAGGAAGGTTTATAAGTCTTTTAAGTTTTCAATGTACAGAAATAAACCAATAAGGATTTCGGATTTTTCAACTTAGGGTGTTTTATATTAGAAGCGAAACCTATTATTGACCACATAAAGAATTTATTTTTTTTATATATGCGAACGAGTAAAATGAGCGACACAAAAATTAGGAGACCGTATGTATCGATTTTTATTTTGTTTAGGGATCTATTTGCTACAGGAATCCCTGTTAATAATTATAATATCAAAAAAAAATAATAATTTGCTAATATTTGATGTTATTCCTAGCGAAGATTAAATTAAGAGTAACTTCTGAGATCTATTAATGGACTAATATTATACATATATTCCTATTGTAAAATTGTTCAGTAACTAGATTGTGTATATTTATATTCCTCTTATTATAAGCTTCATTTTGGCCTATAATTTGTTATTGAACGATTTACTGTTCTTAAATTATACTCAGTTTACTAATTACTGTCTCCTACGTTCACAGCCACTTTTTGGCTTTATTACGTATGTTATTTCCTATTTTATGGTGCGATGAGTTCTGTTTGGCTGGTATATAAACCAAGTATGCCAGAAATAAACGATTTGCATAGTGGAGGCTGCTATTGATGTTCTGGACTCAACTGGACGAGCTACACGAGCAAGTGACCAATAAGGACACTAGGCTGATCAGACCGGTCGAACATCATTGGTTTGGTACAGTACGACAGTGAATAAGTCATATTTTGATTGGTGAATAAATTGCGCGATAACTAGCCGAACTTAGTCACAACAGTTGATTTTATAGAAACCTGTTCTTGCTGATTTACGTTTTCAAAACAAATTTTCATTAGAGCACCAAGTAGAAGTTACATGATATTCATATGCTTGGGCTGAGTAATTTATATAACATGATGACACAACAAATATATTATACGAAAAGCTGTTGATATAACAGTTTGAATTTCTCACTAAAACCTTGGTAATATATACAAAAGTTTGGTTAAAAAGATTTATAGGACTGATATCCCACAAATAAAAATAACAATAGTAATATTATTATTATTAGTGGTTGTTGGGGTACACTAAAAGGATCCTCAAAAAAAGTCCAAGTGGACCAGAAAACGCTGAGAAATTTAATCAACGGTGCAAAGAAGCTTCCAAGGAACAAAGAGAAAGTGAAGACTCCCAAGCCACGTTTCCGATTGCATACATCCCTATGTTGTTACTATATGTAGTACGTTTCAAGAAACTTCCAGAAGCCCAAGGTCGCCCAAAACTACATAAATGCCCTGATTTTCTGTAGATAAACTAATCACGGAGCAAAGCGTTCTTCTAACAGTTCCCTCCCATTATCTCATTGTGTTCAAGTTGCTGTGTAAAATTAGCTTGATGTTATTAGAAGCAGCTAGGAAATGAGATTGATTATTCATTTAGAAGACTTATCAATAATAATAAACATTAATTTATTAAACTTACTCGACAATCTACTTGTGCATTATTATCCAATAATAATTGTACGACAGGTAAACGATTATAATGTGTAGCAATATGCAAAGGAGTTAAATCATTCTGACCGATAGCGTTAACACTTTTCGGTTGTGCTTGAATTAATTGTTTAGCTACTTTGACTTGACCACGTTTAGCGGCTAAATGAAGAGCGGTGAAACCTTTCTGTGTGTTTTTGTACACATACATGTAGTAAAGCAAAACAGAAAAAGAAAATAAAAATAGTAAGGAACAAAACAAGCAATGTGAAAAAAATTTCAAATTTGTATATTATATATATATATATATATATATATATATAAAATTGAGAAGACGAATAGTGAATGATCGGTGCTTTAACTGGTTTGGTAGATACGCAGGATCCATTTACGGTAGTTGCAAAATCCAGATTCCAAATCAATGGTGCACATGTGCTCCATGATCCTGAGAGAACAAATGGCGTATGAACCAATTATTAGTCACCAGCCACCATGGATTCACATTTCCTAACCTTGATCCACTACATTGTCGATTACATCTTCAGATAAAAGGATCGAGGAGTAACCCAATAAGAAAACCACCTGCTTCGGTTTGGGCGACTGGGTAATAATATCCCAGCCCACATAGATACTGATTTGTGTGGTGCATATATATTTGATGCCTCCTTGTACAAATATATAAATAAATAAATAGTAAGACATAAAGATATATCTATGCACTCTACTTAAAAATAACAGGCAATAGAGATTGGTAAAGTGCACTCATAAATATCACAATACAAAATTACAAACCCATAACAGGATTTCAAATTATTTTCAGAAATACAAAAAGCACTTGTGGTGATTAGAATCAAAAGTGTAGAGGTGATAAGAAGATCAATGTACTCCATTTATGATTACTTGGTCATGCAGGATTAAATCCCATTTCTTTTAATTTGAGTTTAGGATTTCGGCAACAGTAATATACTAGGCCTTAAACTTAAAAAAAGTGTCAGTCAACGTTTAGTGTAGAAAAAGTGTACTTCAGACAAATGAACAATACTAACTAGTAATAATTTTCAAAGTAAGTTTCTATTGACATATTTCATGGATTTTTACTGAATTCCTGAGGAGAGTCTTTTAAAATTAATGAGTTAGTTAACTGAATGTGAATGACAGGAGAAGGAATGAACAGTTAAAAGCAGAATTAAGAGCACAATGATGAAAATGTATATCAAAATTCATAATTGAATTTATAAAAGTTAGTGGTAACCAATGCGAAATAGGAAAATAAGAATATCGAGCCCCTTTGTGGCTATTGCCGATCCCCAACACCCAAATAAAGAAGGAGGGCTGGGCATAGGGTTAGCGACCCCATTACGTAGAAGACTAAATCGCAAAAAAACGCTGACCAGAAAAAATCATTCATATCAAAAAAGACTACTAACCTTCGTACGAGCGTTTAAATCAGCACCAGCTTCTAACAATTGACCTAACAAATCATGACGACCTTCTTTAGATGCAATATGCAAAGCTGTATAACCATCACGAGCTGGTAGATTCGGATTAGCTTTACATGATAACAATACATTGATTAATTCTGGTGTCCCAGTTAAACACGCCACATGCAACGGTGTTTGTTCATCCTAAAACAAAAAAGACCAATGGGACAAACGGTTTACAAATGGAGTTATTCTTATTACTACTAAAAATGAGAAGATTGTATCTCTTTAGATGGACATAAAATTCTTAGACAGCTGATGCTTCCTGTTAGATTCTCCCAGTGTCACAGTCAGAGACATTTGTTTGGAATTGAATAAGCACTTTATCGATTTCCACCTACAGCTAGAAGATATCTGTCGCAGCCCAAATTTCATAGCAACACCCATGACTGCAATACTAGGGGAACTGTAATTCCATAAGGACCATCAGCTCCCTTAAGAATGTCAACAAGGACCAAAGCTGTGTTTGTAATCCCCAATTTAATCCGCCAAATTATGCAACTCGATTACTCCATGGTATCACATAGAACTATTCAAACTAAAGCATAATTATTAAAAAAACAATACACAAACACATATAAATACAAACAGACTAATTTATTCGGAATAAAACATTTTCATCTACATCATCATGAATACGGAATAAGATGTGAGATAAGTGATTTCATCCTGAAGAGCGTTTTATAACCATTCACCTTGATATTATCTACTTTGCAATCGATCGCTTATTTTTTGATAACCGTAATGACATGAAAGACTAGGCAATATGATTACACAATCACTCATTTGTTATTTTTTCCCCATTTCGCTTCACAACCAGAATTTATGATACCAGCCCCTTCTTTATACTATCTCTATTTCAACACGCACATACGCAGCAATGTTAAACATCATACTGAACAGTTTATGTCTGTTTGCTGTAGTTCTTTTTCAGAATCGAGTTCATTGACTAAAGTATATGTAAATTATAACACGTTAATATTCATTGTAATTTGAAGCCATCTTCGGGTGATGAGAGAAGCCTATAACTTCCAATCATATCTTTTAATCAATGTATACTGTAGTTTTTTATGAATGAAACATTGAACGACCAATTTAACAATAACAATACTGATCACGACAAGTATAATCTGCCTTGGTATAAATTTATAATTGGCTTCAAAGAAAGAATATATAGCTAAATTTTTTTAAAATTCCTGTACATAAACCAAGGAAACTTTTTCTGTCAAAGCATCAAAAGAGTCAAGATGTCGATCAGGATTTGAAAAAAACAATTTCCCAATTAAATAAAACATTTGGGATAAAAAGTGGATACATATAAACTGTATATATGTACGTAGTATATTACAATGAGAATAGTAATTCGACAAATCAAAGATTGTAAGTCACGTCAAAGACAAACTAGTGAAGCTAAAATATGCTTATACAAGATAAATGATCATAAGTATGCTTAAGGGATCATGTTTAACAGTGAGTTAAAATCTGTGTGTGGATTGAGGAATAATTAATCTAACTATAAACATCTCATGTCAGCAAATCATGAGATTAAAGTAGGAGAATTATCTAATAGTATGAATTTACAAGAATATTAAAAATGGATCGGAAATGAAGGTAGCGACAATCATATAGTCGGTTTAAATGCGAGGCAACTGGTTAGAGGCGGTAAGTAGGAAATTCTGGATACAGTGTTATATTTTGGGGGTGAGTTGAGAAATCCTTAGAGTATATGTTGTACAGCAATGATCATTCGTTTCAACCTATATGAAACCTTATAAATAAACTAATATATTTTTAATATCCCAGTGAGTAGAAAAATTAGATTTTCTACTAATTGGGATATAACAAATATATTATTTTATACATAGCAACCTACCCAATGCTCAATTTGTTCAAATTATCAAGTTTAACCCTGATAATGATACCTATTATATAAAACCTTATTGATCTGAATCATCTTAATCATGTGCATCAAATGTATATTTGATACAAATGAGATTATTATTACTACTTCAAATGTACAATGTTTCCTTGTTTATCTCGGATTTTACATCATTCATTCATCAAAGTCTTCGTTAAAGAAACAATGATTTATCGTGCATGACTGTCTACACTTAAATCGGTTGCTTTCTTGGAAATAGGAGTATGATTTTTTGTTTGTCGAAAGTAAATCTATCAAAAAACTCCAACAATTTAACTGATGTATTATCGACTCCATCTCATAAGCAAGTACTTTGCAATGTTTTATTCCATGGATAGTTTACAACTAGCATTGTTGAAGTACTGAGAAAACCACCAAACAAATGCCTTTGTTATCCTTGAGTCGATTACGCGTTGTCAAAATAATTGTGACACTTATACAAAGAGTGTAATATCAATGCATAGGATTCTAAAATCATTACGCTCACAATGTAGCTCTAGGTTTCGTTCTAGTTGAGACTTGTCAATAAAGAATAATCGGGATCCTAGAGGAATTGGTGCTTTCTGTAGGATTCGAACCTGTATCACCCGGCTTCAGGGTAAGAGATGTTGTCAAAGAGTCATTCAGATAGTGACTACCTTTCTACAGTGCTGAGATTTTTGCATCGATTAGTGATTGCGTAGTAACTGACATCATATTTGTCTGGTATTTAGTGATGATGGAATTCCATCGATCAAGTTTTGCCTGTTATTACCAGACTAAGTGACTCTTTATGAGCAGTTGGATAGACAGGAAACCTTAATTACTCTTCTATTCATTTGAGCTATTTTTTCTCGACTATTTATAATTAGAATCATGTTGTTGCACTAATTGCTTTGACTTCCGGTACCTTCATATAGTCAATGGATTTTCTGTGGTGTATTAATTGTCGCCCGATTGTATCTGACTAATTCCTGTATGTTTTAGCGAAAATAAACACTGAATAACAATTGATAAACAAAGACTGTTATAACTTATTCATCTCTTCATGAAATCGATTTCAATTGGCATTATCTTTGGAAGTATTGTGATTAGCCATTTTCCTGTGTAACAGTTTTAAGGTTTTTGTGAACATTAAAGGTACTTTTTTTTCATTTACTCATGACTCGGGTTTAATTCACCAGCTGATAGATCACGGTTATTGACAGATATATAAACATGGTACGTTCAGAATGTGTGCAGATAGTCGATAATGTATTAACAGTAAGATTAATTATTTCATTGTAGATCACGTGAAAAGGAATATATAATGACAATGTAGAAGTGAAGAAAAAACTTACGAGTGATTTTTACAATAACAATACCCAAAAGAAAGGACAATATATCATGAGGATTTGTAATAGTTTATTTGCATAATCTGAAGTTAATAATACTCGTACAGATACATATCCTAACGTAAATATTTATTCCATTTATATTATGGATGGAAAAATGAAAGAAACTTGCAAGCGTATGATACTTGAACGTGCAGCTCTCAGTGGTTGTAAGCTGACTACTTTAAACACTAAACCATCACTACACTAATGGAGGGAGAAAGAGTAATTCAGTGAGACAAACCGCAAACCTAACAAAAGTGTTTTCTGAGGAAGATCATGAGTAAAGATTGAAGAAAGTAAAGAGAGGAAACGACTATTTAAAATTGTGTTAATTAAATTCGGTTTTTCATTTACTCTGATGAACTGGCTTACATTAAGTCACGAAACGTCAGAAATACAATTTTTTACTCATTGGGATATAACAAAAAATATATTTATTATCAGCTTTCTAACACTGTTCAGCTTTTTCTAAACTATCATGTCTAGCCTTGGCATTGATAGTTAATATCATGAGTTCATTTTTTGGAAACAAATTAAAATTAAATATAACATTGATGAGTTCTTCACGTATCTTGACTTAAAAGGAAAAACAAAGAGTGGTCCGTTGACAACCCTATCATAAACCAGAGATACACGCAAAACACACGCTTAAATAATTAACAAAAAAACATCCATCCATGAATTATTCAGATGATTAAACGTATATATATATATATATATATAACAATGCTAAATGATAATGTTCCTAACGTAACAACCAAAGAGGTTATCGAAAATAGTTCTTGCCAAAGGATTACTTTACAATATAGAAGCAGTAAAAATGCGAAATTTGAAAAACTTTACTTCGCTACTTTGCAGATAGACACCAATCAGATCACATCCAAGGTTTCTTCCGACTACCTCAAACCAACAAACATTCCAAAATAGTGCATGTCATGTCGATTTATTTAGACTAGCAACTACATAACAACTTGGTCAACGGGATCCGACTAACACTAAAAGACCAGGTAAAAATGATATTGATCACCACAGTTATTAATCAATTATAAATATCACAGTTCTCCAAGAAGTCAGTCGTAGCTGAATGCTAACGTTTCAGATTATCAAGTATGGTAACCTGAGTTCGAATCCACGAGGGAAAAGCAGTCCCTGTAACATTATAGACATATATTGTTCAAGCGTACCAAAAAGCACAAAACCTAAGTTCACACTTTTTTGTTAACTTTCGCCAAACAACTAGCATCAAAAACAAAATAACTAGTAATATCCTAATAAAGATAATGTAACACAAGGTTATAATAACCAAACCTAATATAAAAATGTGTTGGCGTGACTTACTCTAGCTTTAGCATTTACCGATGCACCATGATAGATAAGTGTTTCAGCAACACTGACTTGTCGATTACGTACAGCTAAATGTAATGCTGTTTCACAACGCATTGTAGCTTGATTCACATGTGCACCATGTTGTATTAATAACTGAACAATCTCTGGACCACCAATAAATGCTGCCACATGTAATGGAGATAGGCCAGACTATGGTAAATCATTGTAAAGTAATTCAAAAAACAATTTAATTTTTTTAAAAATCAATAGAGTTAGTGTTATAAACAAATCAACAGATTCATAATTTATTATGACCTTTAATACAACATTTAACTAGATTAATCAGCAAAGGTAATATGTTCTTGTTCAAAAAAGGAATTACGTATAAGCGACTTGTAAGCAGAGTTGATCAAAGAGTCAGTCATAAGTAACATAGAACCTACTATATACATGTATCGGATTAAGTTGCCACACAATAATATATAGGTAAAACGAGATGAAAATATCAAGGCAAATCCCAGTGCATTAGATGTAGAAGCAGTATCAATAGTAGTAGAATACATTAGATATAGGATAATAAGACTCAAGAAGAATGAACTTGTAACATAAACACTTAAGTAGTTTCTAAAGTCAAGATTTAACGGAATACAAAAAAGTGAATGCGTTTGTGCCATTGTGACCGATCCTCAGTATATGACCTACTTATCAACACAGAACGATCCCGCAGTTAATAACGTCAAGGAATGATATTATGCCATCATCTACAACCAAAACCTAGTAACCTATAAATCCCCTGTTATAAAGTGGCCATGAAGTTTCACAGCCGTATAGAATATTAGTACAAACTGTAGTACAGAACGGCTACCTCGGTTATGCATATTAAAGTGAATAACAGTTTATGTTCAGGACTGCCTGTTAAGCGTCTTCGATCTCCTGATTAACCATGATAGATGAGTTTGAATGTAAAGAAGTGAAGCTTTTATTAACTGTGAACACACCAATAAAATGAATCATTTATAGAAAAAATAGTATACAGACAACGGATATATATTTTTTAAAATGAAAACATTTAAATCATATTCGGTTTATTACTAATTTCTGTTCCATTCACAACTTTTTTTCCTCAGATTCAATACAAAAATCACTAGAGTAAAAAATAATGATGGATACACATTATATATATTACCATACGGTACAATCAACATTCATAGTATTTTATTGAGTTCCGAGAAAAACCATTCCTGAAATGATGTCTGGTTGAACATTAAATTTTAAAGTTATTACTCGACGACTATGAAATGTAAGGTAAACAATCACACAAGAGCAGTTGAAATTATTTACTTTTTTAAACAAAATTGAAGTAGACACAGGAATCATTGAGTTTGGTTGGGCAATCTGGTAGATAATATTAGGTGAGGAAATGTGTGTTATATTGAGAACTGAGTAAAGTCAGTAAATGTAAACCATTATATTTCGATTCACTGACTTACAAATGTGTTATGCGTGTTTGCTTAGTTGAAGGTCGACATAATCCAACATGTATATGTGTGTATTGCTGCCAAATTCCAGTAATGATGAAGAGATATTGTTTTAGTGTATTACAGTGACAAGAAAATTGTTCAACTATCTAGTCAATCAGTTAGGGATCAATGTAGTATATGAAAATACGTACTTCTTACAATCGAAGTGTAAAGTATGACTGCAAAACTCCACAGGAACACGTATCTAAAATGTCCAGATGACGTGAATAACCGTCAGAAACAGTGCGTATATTGTTAGCTAACTGAATGATGGCAATAATATATTAGATAAGTGATTATTCGAGTATAACGAACTCGTGATAAAACGACGTTTCCTTTCATTCCATAAGACACAAGATTATAAACAGACTACCTTTCGTTTTCTATTTAGTCCCAGAATCGGCAAATAAAGCACTGTATGAAAAACTACAAATTTCGATCAAACCACTGAAAGTTATTCTAAAAATTACTGGACCATGGCAATTTAAAATGTCATGAAGTCTACAGATTAAAATGAATCTATAAACTGAATACAAGCGATGTTTAGTGTATTTATATTTGAAAAGCTCACTGATTGCCGATTTCCTATTTCTACGCAATACTATTATTACACTAAGTATAGAGTATACATACTCGTTAAGATCTACGATGATAAATGATTGACAAGTGTGACCAAATAAAATCATGAGATCAATTCATTAAGTGATAGACTGTTGGACTAATGCAATAAACACGAAACATGGTTGGATACGTTGATTGACGTGGTTTAAAATCACATTAGCTCAAATGTATTCATATTTTTCATCTTGATTACTTAGCATCCCATCATATACATTTTTTCATTGTACTTTTGTACAATATTTTCAACGTTCAATCATTATCATTATCATCTTATTTAATGGAATAACTTATATTAATCCAATATATGATGATAATGGAACAGAACTTACTTCAGTAGTCATATTGATTTGCGCACCATACTGAAGAAGTAGTTCAATAACTCGAATTTTTTGTTTCTTACAAGCAATATGCAATGGAGTAAAACCATTCTGTAAATACGAAATATATATAAATGAATAAATAAAATCAATTTATTAGAAGTAAAAAGTAAGTATACATATAAAGCTTGTAAACATGATATGAAAATTAGACCCGTACAAAGTGATAAACAAACAAATATGATCAGTATGGGGATTTGTGAAGATTGTAGTAATTTTACAGTTTAATTCATGAGTCGATCTAAGCTAAACTACCATTGAAAACCTAGAAGCATTGGACAGCTGCCTCGTCATAGCATGGGTTTCCTCAGTAGTATGCATCCACTACCCCGCACGTGAGAATCGAACACACGAACTAGAATCTGATTCAATGTTTTATCTTCTTAAACTATAAATTTGATGAAATCAATAACCTTAAAACAAAGACAACAGAATATTTTACGTAAAAAGGAGCTTGGTCACTGAACAGTTATTTTGTGAGTAAACTTTCTTCAACTAATATTAGTAGTTATTTGAAATTTCTATTAGACTACTGGTTAACTGATTGATGCTTTAAACGATATTTACGTACTGTGATTTCAAGGGCCGATGTAAACATCATCATTAAGGATACCGTAAATAGAGTAGAATGAAACAGGTCTCAAATTTTTACCATTAGCTATAATTTAGTTTAGAATTAAAGACTACTGTTGTTAATTACTAAAATAAATAAATAGAATCTTAGACGAAAGATAAATGCAGTGATACGATAAACCGGATTACTGACTTAACAGTACAAATGAACTGGTAACTAAAACCAGATCATTTGCCAGAGGAGTTTTTTATTCAAATAGAATAGTATCCTGATATACAAAGAGTTACACATAGGAATAAACAAGATTGTCAAATATCATAAAAGATTGAAGAATGTCAGCTAATTCACTACTCACACAGCAATAAATTCATATGTCGGGTTTAATTCTTGATCATTAATATAAGGTTACAGATCCGAAGTGTTTATTACTGTTCATAATTTAGAGAAAGTGAAAATATACAAAAGAAAACTAAACGTATCTACCATTTACATTCTAGAAAAAAGTATGCGTGAAAGTAAATTGTAGTAAATCAGTGTTACATAAAATGAAAAGCCTACCAAAGCACGTGCATTCACATCACATCCATTGTCTAAGAGTACACGTGCCACTTCTGTATTACCACAATGAGCAGCCACATGTAGTGGGGTCAAAGAATCCTAAAGGAAAAATCATGAGGTGAAAATAAACAGAAAAAGTTTTATTAAAAACCAAATTGATGATTTACACAGTTCAGTGTGTTTTACACTAATATACTTAAATTTAAAAATCTCTGGACTCATGTATTGATTGATATAATATACATGTTTGTTCTTAACTTGTAGTTAAGATCATGGTAGGTATTGACAAAAATTTATGTCGGAGAGAAGCAAAAATTAAACAGAGAACTATTTTTGGTAGAAAAAAATCTATATATCTATTATGTAAATTTATTCAGCAACTGGGTCATGGTATTCGTAAGTCACCTTTCGTTAAAGTAAATGTTGCTATATAATCTCTCTACTAAGAAATTACAGCTACTTGACTTGATCTGGAAAAAACACTCAAATATTATACATGTCGGCACTTATTATTTGCGATAAAATATGCAGTCTCCAAATGCCCCGGAATGACCGAGGTTGAAGAGAGTTCACTCTCCGACCCGAAATACTCTCTATGTTCACGCGTACACAACCACACTCAAGGAAGCCCTGCTCACTGCACTCTCGTGTCGAGGGTGTTGTTCACAAAACTAAGAGGACGAAAAGCGAATGACCGGGGCTTTAACCAGGTTGGTGAGTACGGAGAACCTATTTAGGGAAGATGGAAACAATTATTACAAACCAATTATACACATGGGCTCCACACCCATGAAGGAACAGATGGCATATGAACCTATTGTTGGTTACACGCTGTCATGGGACTACATATTCTAACGTGGCTATCACTCGCGGTGAATTTAAACAGTAAGTTCACAAGAATTTCCCATTTACGCATAAAGCCTCATTAACTGACCATAAACAAAACAGTTTAATAAACACGTAAGCATTCGATTCAATCAGATGCATCAAAAGAACTTGAAAATTATCTATCTTAGAATTTGATCAATACATCTACAAATAAACAAAAAAACTGGTTCAATTATTCTAATTCCTGATAAACATTGTCTAATCGCTAAATGTTCATCTAAAAGACTGAACAAACTATTTAGTAATGTATTTTTTTAAAGCGTAACAAACTATAAATTAAAATTTAATTACAAATTGACAGTCATCATTATGGAAGTCATTAATTACAAGTAATTTTGGTAAATAAATTACTCTTTTTTCTTAAAAAAATACAAACATTATCAACGTAGAATATGCAACATACACAAAGTGTATTTAATTAATTTTGAAGGAAAAAATAAATAATATTTCACCAGCTTTAGTGATCTGAATTATGCGCTGATGATGTAGCTCAAAATGAAAATGAAAAACTCAGCGAATGAACCATTTAGCTAACACAATACATAACCGTTGAAAGCATATCAATCAAGCTACAAATCTATATCACTACAAAAGTCATACTGTATTCCACAGTCGTGACTTATGACGTTGAAAGAGAGTTGTGTAATATCATGAGTTGAAGCTAAACATCCAAACGACTGGATGTCTGTTTAATGGTCAAGCACTCATTGAGAAGCCTAAAGATCTTGAGTTTAATAGTCTGTGGGGTTGTGATGTTAAGTATGAAATAAATTCAGCATTTATTCATTTTACAAGAAATCAAAATGATGCAGTGATAGTGAGGAAAATCGTCAAGCAGCAGTCCCAAATAGACAATCAATGTAGAGTAAACTGGCGAACCAGTTGATGAAGTTGTGTAACTTCATAAACCGATGCAGTTAAGACATGCGTTGCGTATACTAATCCACTCCCTACATTAATAAATAATGTTTGTTGATATTGGGCTAGGTTGTAAGAAAGTTAGTGAAGACCATGCCAAAAATAGTCAATCCGTGAAGTCTGAAAAGTATAGTACCCCCAAACCAATTGGTTTGATTTCATATGAAAACTAGTCATAATGGACTAGATTCAGTCATTTAGTTGACAATAAAAATAATAATTTTTTTTAAAACAATACCGAAGCAACAAAATTTACTCCTTCCACTACGTCTTCATTAAAGACTCACTGAAAAGTTACATAGGAATCACTCAAAATTAACATTTATATTTTGGCAACAATAAAACTGGCATTAAGTTATCGTGCGTACAAAGGTGATCAATAAAACATTACCAAAACTTCATAGGCACATCCTTTTAATGACCTGTTATTGTGACACCAATTAGATGGGGCGATGTTGTCAACGGGATCACCACTTTAGCAGCCATATATATGACTCCATTTGGATCGTTTCAGATTGCTATCAAATAAGCGATATCGATATATACATCCTGACTATTCTCATATATAATCATCGACTTAACTCGCGTTAGTATATAATGAAATTTAATAAGTCAAGTACGAGAATGAGTTTCGAATAAGTGTATTTCATACAATCGTTAATCCAGACAAACTAGCCTTCACAAATAAAGTGTATCTAGAAATCAAGTGCACGAAACCACATTTGTCAGATGAGCTTTAAAAAAACACATTTTTAAATAAACATCACGACATAATCACTAATTGCTCTCTGACCTATTACCAATCCAAAGAAAGAAATCGATTGAACGTGAAACGATAACTTTTTTAAATATCCCCATACACAAAAAATGTTCAAATTCATTGCATCAGAAAGATATATTTAAAAAAGTGTGAGACAAAAATAATGCATTGACATTTCAATGAAGTCAAAAATCTAACAAAAACACTTAATTGATAACTTGGTAAAATCACTTCACAATATTTCTTTTTGGCATTCATTTGGAGTTTGCAATGGAAATTTCTATCTTGCCTTACATAATAGATAGTTTGTAAAGACATGTTGAACAATAAATATAATTAACATTCTTGTTATTAATGACATAAACATTTTAACTATATAGGAGAATAACAAACACAGTAACAACAACAATAACTTACTCCTGTTCTGTCAGCTACACTAGCACCACGCAGAATCAATACACGAGCAACTTCTTCATTATTACCTTGTGCTGCCATATGCAATGGAGTTAATCCATTCTAGTATAGATGAAATAATATTAATGGAATGATTACACAAGTGATTTAAAACAAAGTAAGTCGAGAGATTTGATCTGATAATTTCATGGAAATTGTTTATTGTATAATCAATACCTAAGAAAATTATGTAACACTGTCAAACTGACTTTGTTAGATTCAGTGACAGCCTTAGATTAATATGAAAATTGTAGATAATACGTAAAATTCACTTATATAGTCATTGGGAAGTCGATTTGATCTGAAAACATAACTGCAAAAATCACTAGCTGAACTTTTTTTCAAGGTTACGAAGTAAAAACTGAAACAATTCAAGATAACTACTCCAAATAAAAGCCAATATCTATTCACGAAGACTGACGGAGAAAAATCAAGTTTAACGCGTTGATAAAATAGAATAGATGGACATTCTCAAGATTACTTTGGCGCCGCCCTAAGGTCATCCATAGTTTTTAATCACACCACAGTTTCTACAGATGTAATAATTCACAGTAAATAAGATTTAATTTGATAGAATGCCTATCGCGTAACATAACACAAGCAAAAAAGTATTTTCGTTTTACAGACTCTAGCAATTGAGTCATCATCAATCAGTATTTTCTTTTTTCTATTCTTCAGCGTAATGCAGTGATTGAAGACATTGGAGATTAGAAGTGGCCCTTTCGGACAACGTTATAAGTAAATTATTTTCTGAATCAATTGATCATGTCACAGCAATGACCAATAAAATAACGTAGACTGAGTCGAATCACCAACTCTTCAGTAGAATTAATACTTAATATACATTACGAATAGGCCAAAATAAAATGGTTGTGTGATTCCATGTTTCTGTCACCAGTAAGGGCGAACTCAGATGGCCGACATAAATAGTTCGACGACTTGTTTCACACCAAATGTTTATAAAGGTAATGATAACATACCCTTGTTTTAGCTGAAGGATTTGCACCAGCACCCATCAACAGTGAAGCTAATTCTGCATGACCAGATCTAGCTGCACAATGTAATGGTGTTAAACCATCACGTGTACGACAATCAACTAAGGCATTCGAATTCAAAAGTAGTTGGACCATTCCACCACGACCCCATTTAGCAGCCACATGTAATGGTGTGATATTATTCTATCAATAACAAAAAGATATAAAAAACCGATGACGAGTTTGAACGTGAGAAAAACTTTCCAAAAAGTCAGTTATCACAATTTTAGGTTTTCATATTTACTGTAAAGATTTTCAACTGAATACAAACACACAGTAAAAGGAAGTGTATTTTTTTTATAGCGTCCACGTACAGACAAAACTAGCAAATGCTTTTCCACACTAATACTCTAGAGGATACGTTACTCTAGATTCAACACTAGGTAACGGGTTTAAACTCCATTTTAAGTACTATAATTCACTCCACTTTTATATACGCCTATTAACCCACGTTGAGTAACAAAAGCCGCCGACCAGGCTTCTCCAACGTACTTTGTCCTCCACTCCCCGGTACTTGAATTCAAAACTGCATCAGATCCTCTTGCTTATCGATGATGCTGACAAGGTACTCGGAAGTTTACACTTCTACAGCTTTTCCATCAATTGTGCTTTCGTTGGTGCTCATTGTGTTGTATTTCATCATCCTGCTTTTCCCTTGTGAATGTTAAGACCTACTGCTGAATAGGTTGCTGCTACACTCGGTGTGTTCACATGCTTTTGTTGCTGTGTGTGAGATAGAGGAGCTAGGTCATCAGTGAAGTTCAAATCGTCTAGTTGCATCCAAGTTGTCCATTGTATTCCATGCTTCACCTTAGATGTCGAGGTCTTCATAATCCAGTCAACCACCAGAAGTGAAAATACGAGTTTTAACAGCCTTGTCTGACACTGATCCTCAATTGAAATGCATCTGCAATCTGTCCTTCGTGCATGACTTTACAGTGTAGTCCATCGTAAGAATTCCGCATGATAGTGTCGATCTTCTCAGGTGCACCATGGTGTCGGAGAGGATTTAATAAAGTCCTCCTATCTACGCTGTCAAACGTTTTTTATAGTCAAGGACTTTGATGTATGATGACGAGTTTCATTCAACAATGATCCCTAATCCGTAAGTATTATCACAATTAGTTTGGTTCAAAGTTCGATACGAAACTTTATTTCCGAAATCAGTCAATTCACGACACGGCTATCGAGTATTAAATTATTAGGGAGGAATAAACATTGTGTGAGATTATGTACTGATTTAATGTGGCTTTCACTCACTATAACATACCTTTGTATCAAATGAGGTTACGTAATAATCAAGGGGTTACAGAAGAATAGAAGGATGAAAAGAATTTACGAATCAGGATTAGTAAAGATAACTGTCCGTTTGACAGATATGAAGAAAAACGAAAAACATCAAGTTATATTGACTGAGTATCAACAAAAAAAAGTGATTTCTCATATATTCACTTCAATGTGCGATTGTATCATTTTGATTGAATTTTTTTCAGTATGACAAATTCTTTAACTCATAATCAATGGAACTGAATCAGTATATGAGTGAATGTATTTAAATGACTAATAATGTTTTTTTAACAATAAACCATTGTTGCAAGATTATTATTCAAATAGCTGGGGGTAAAGAAGCCGTAATATCTAAGTAGTGAACTTTAGTTGAGAATTATCACCATGTTGAGGGAGGAGGTGGAGATCTTTGATGATTTGATGAGACAAAATCTTCGATTGTTTGAACTGATGAATAGAATTTCAATCGGTAGATGAACGCATTGATAAGATGCGGTCGAGTGATGGATACTCATGCGGCCGTATTATTGATTTAAGCCTTTGAATGATTAGAAATCAAAGGTAAGAACAGTAATCAAGCGAATAGATGTTTTGTGTAATAATATAAAATGCTTATATACAGAATATGAACACAAACTAATACACACACTTCGTTATAAGAGAAACCCAGTTAGACGTTTTGCAAATAGAGCTAAAAAGTTATAGTCAAACGACACCACAAAATGAACTAGAGTTTATTTATATGTTGGTTGAAATTAATTATCCACAAGGTTTTCTGAAGAAACACTTGCAGCACATAATCAACAGGAAGATAGTGACGTCAACAGTTAGTAAGAAACCTCTCTTCCTGAAGCTATGACTTGATGGAGACATAGATGGAGATGTGCTATGAGATAGACTATTTAGAGCAACAAATAAAACGTTTGATACAGCTAAATTCTGTCTACCGTGCTCCGGCCGACCTATGGTGATTCCTCAACTAAAAGATAAGATACCTAGTTTTGTCACATCCATGTGTTTCTACGAATTCATCTGCTCCTGTAGAGAAAGGTATGTTGTGTGAGAGATAAGATACTATTCGGGCACAAAAACTGATGCAGGTAGTTTCTTTAGGGGCCATACATTGAGCCTGATCCACAAGGCAGTGAAGCAACGTTAAAAGATACAGTTCTATTTTCGTTCTGTTCTAAATTACGGCAGCGAAACGGCCAATAAGAGTAAAAGATATTCGTAAGTTACTAGTATTTGATACAGGGTATTAGGGAATGATGGTAAATCAGTTGATGAGGTTGTGAATCTTCATTGACTGAGATGGTTGGGCAACGTGTTACGTATGCCTAAACACCGATCATCACGGCGCACAATGCAAACCAGTGTTGGTGACGGTTGGAAGTAAGTTAGGGGCGGCCGAACGAAAACGTGGCATCAGTCATTGAAGTCACTAACTTCTGGTCTGAACCATTTTGGTAGATGGAGACTACTTGGTTGGGGTCCGTGCGACTATCGTAACCAATGGTTGGAGACTGTGGGTGACATGTCTCATAATCGATCACAATGGCGTAGGTGTATACACTCTCTGTCTTCTCTCAAATGACGAGATTAAAATCGCTTCATATCTTTCTTTCTACGAACTAATTCTTTCTTCCTCTACTATATCCTTATATGCAATATTTCTTTTATATATTAACACCATTGAATTAACTACTTCTATGAATCCGGTGTTCATCTCGCTGTGCTAATGAGGTATGGCAACTTGGACCGATGCATATATGTGCTTGGTCCTGTGTTGTAGATGACTGACTGAGTGACTACAGTTTTATGGTAGCCGGTGACCAATAGTAGGTTCATACGCCATTTCTTCTATCAGGATCCTGGAGCTCATGTGCATCATTGGGTTGGAATTACGGTTTTCCAACTCCTCTAGGTGGATTCTCCATGTCTACCAACCCGGTTAAAGCGCCGAACGTTTACTTTTCGTCCCCTCTATTTCGTAAACAACACCCTCACCGCAAAAAGGCAGTGAGTAGGGATTCATTAACAGTGGATGCATTATTATAAGTGTAAAAACTACTAATAAATAAGGTTGTACGCGTAACGTTAAGACTTCCTCTTTCTATTGTTGAAACAAAGAAAACTAAAAAATAATTTATATGCATTGGTAGAATTTGAAATGGATTATACAGAGGCAGAGGGGGGAAAATCAAGATAGATGATGTTTGAACAAATGTATTTTCATCATCACTGTACGTGTCTTGTTGTATGTAGTTAAAAAAGGAAATATAATTATCTCACAACACTGACCAACAATAAACAAATCTAAAAGTAGGATTTTTTTAATGAAATGAAATATCATGTACAAAACAATGAATAAATTGAGGAAAGTTAATAATCTTCATCAGAAACAAATTTTACGAAAGGTTAGTCAGCGATAATGACAAATTAAAACGTCAGGATATTATAAATGTTCAAATTATTAGCAACACCAATTTGTAGAAATGAATATAAAAACAATAATCTACCTTGGCTTGAAAGTTTACATCTGCCCCACGTTCAATAAGTACACGTGCTACAGTCACGTTACCATAATGAGCAGCAATATGTAGTGGAGTGAAACCAGGCTTGAAGAGGGTAGAAAAAAAATAATCTGAAGATAAAGATAATTTATTTCACCATAATATCAAAATATAGTACTGTTCTCAACGATATGATAGGTGTGTTGGCAAAGAAGTGGACAATTATTTACAAACACTGTCTGAAGAAAGGAAACAGTTCAAATTTGAAATAAATCATGTGGACTGATACAAATGGCTCAGTAAGGTGCTAAACAAGTGAATAATTCAACACATAACTAGAGAATAATACAAAACATTATTGTTGCTATATTTGTAACGAAGCCGAAAAGTCAGTATTTCAAATTATGAATCAGTGTAAAGTATAAATTATGGGCTTTAATAACACATTTATTAGTTAAAATGATTATCAATACAATTTCGGTTTACAAGGATAACACAAACTTTTCAGTTGATTAACACATTATGAAATAACCAGAAAAGCTTATCTGATCATTATCACATAGATAGCAGTAAAATAATAAAATTTCTTAAGTTTGCTATGCTTCGCTGATCTTATATGGAATGAACGAAAGCTTTTTCTATTGAAAACTGAAAACCAAGTTACATGCGATCCACGATCGGAGACAATGGTATTTTTTCCACCTAACGTACTACATTTAAAAACATATTACTTCCCACAAAGATAAGTTATATACAAAAAGGAATGATCTTTCAGTGAGAAGATACAACGTTAAGGCATAAATAACCGACCGAATTTCTTGACTTGAAATTTTAAAAAAAACTATCATAGTTCGAAATAAAACCGAAATGTGACTATCGGAAACTATGATTTAAGTGTGTTAGGATCCGAGAAACATAATGAATGGTAACTTTGGGATCCTTTTATGGGCCAATACTAAACGTATATTTTTATCGTATAATTGTTAAATAACTAAACTATTCATATTCATGTTTCTCTTATTATAAGCTTTATTTTGACCCATAAACTATTATTATACATTTTACCATTCGTGAGTTATACCCAGTATATTAATTACTGCCTCCCTTATTCACAGCCACACCTGGCTAATTCCTGTACAACTGTTGTTTCATATTTTATTGGTACGTTGTGGTATGCTTGATTGGTATATAAACAGAGTATGTTTGAAATACATAATTCATATCGCAGAGGCTGAGACTTGTGTTCTGGGCTTAAATGGCTGGGCTAGACAGGAAGCAGGACCAATCAGAACTCTAGACTGCTCGCACGTGTTTTACGCGTCTTTGATCCGATCGATAAGTCACTGCTCTCTAATCGGCGGTCACAATTTATAACAAAGTGACAAAACCAAAATCCGGTAGCAAGTGATTCGTTTAACAAACCAACAAATATCAGTTATTGTAAGTTACATTAAATATAAATGAGTGATATTCATATAAAAAACATGAACGATTTCTTTAAAAAGTCTGAAATGATAGATAGAAACTGAGCTCCAGATAGACAAGTTTCAGTTTCCATTGGTTGGTGAATTACCTGATAAACTTTAGACCTACAAAAATTTGCGTTCACTAAAAACTTTCCTCAATCAGTTGTCATTTTTGTGTCCGTTCACTAGGGAGTGATGTTATAGCAATACAGTTTTCCTGGTTAGTCATTATCTACTTATATCAACTTGGGCGATCGACAGTGGGTGTAAATAATTAATACAATTTTCTCCCGTTACAGCAGTCTCGAATTTACAGCAAGATTACGAAAACTTTATTAGTGAACTAAATCTATATGCATTTGTTTGGACCAGGTAAAACACCTATGAAATCCAAAGGTCACATAGTTTACTAAGGTCATGTACAGAATTATCGAGCATAGGGCAAAAGCCAAAATAAACAAAAATTATGTGACCTTAGACGACTTTATATTATTATTATTATTGGCTTTATTCAATATTATATTTTGGTAAAATATAGAATTCTCAGTATAGGTTATTTCAACAAGTTTCTTACAAACAAAAAACAGAAACAAAGACAAAAAGTGTTTTAAAACAATCTGAAAGACTGTACAACTTTTCAAATTAGAGACATGTTAAGAATGCAGGTTATTGACTAGATTAACTCTAACAACCTGTTCGTCACAGAGTATATTTGCTAGGTAAGGTGTTATAGAACTTTTATACTTTTGCTTGAGTGCTTGGATTTTAATGTAATTACGTCTCGTTCTACCAGAAGATATACAAGGAGAAAGATAAGAGTGAAGGGGACGGTTAGCATCTGATAAAATAACACCTGTCAAGAGTTTGCATGACTTTAGATGTCTATCCACAACCATATTAATTATGACCTCGAAAGATTCACCACACACCTTGTTAACTGCCTTCAGCACTCTCCGCAATACAGCAGTAAAGTCTTTTCTCAAAAGCCCGGGAAAGAATAATGGAGAACAGTAAAGAATAGTAGGTAATATGCAAGAATTGAAAAATTGTAAGAGTAAATAACGAGTAATCCCAAGAGCATGCAACCTCTTTATGTAATAAGTCGGACGGAAAACCTTCTTCGATAACAATAAAACGTGAGAAGACCAACAGAGATCAGAGGAAAAGGTAACACCAAGATATTTGACCTTCGACACTGTGTTTATCAAAGAGTCTCCAATGACACAAGCATTATGGGATCTCAAAATGGTGTTTAGATGCCGTTCATGTCTCATGCTAAAGTCAACAGCTTGACATTAAGACGGATTAAGTATAAGACCATTACCAACAGACCAACAATCAATACGAGACAAGAACTCATTCATTTCTATGGGATGTAAAGAGGAAGAAATAGGCATACATACAGTGAGATCATCCGCACATTTCAAAAAAGTGTTTTCTGTGGAAGATAGCAGATCATGCAGAAAAAAAAGAGAAAAGAAATGGTGAAAGAACAGATCCGTGCGGTACACATTCATGAGACAGTAGAGACTTTGAACACTTTCCTCTAAATACAGTGTACTGGTCCCTTACAAAGAGGTAGGAACATAGCCAATTTGTTATCCAGCTGTCAGTGTTGACGCTGATTAACTTGTTAAGTAAACGTTGTCTTGGTACAGAATCAAAAGCTGAAGTATAGTCCAGAAAAGCGCATCGAACATACTTCTGACCCTTTTCTAAGTTGAACACGATATTGTGATGCAGAACAGCAACAGTATCTAAGGTGCTTCTTTTGCATCTGTAGACAAACTGATACGGATCAATATGCTCTTTTATCGCAGGTTGAAGTGAAAGTATTAATAATTTTTCCATTGTTTTGAGGAAGGGTGGAGTTATTGCAATAGGTCTAGATTTCACATTATTATCACCAGATACTTTCTTGGGTACAGGGATTATCTTCATCTTTCTCCACATTTTCGGTATGAGATTAGATGAGAAAGATCTGTTAAAGATAGTCGTGAATGGATAACATAGGACATCAGCACATTTTTTCAAAAGGTTTGGGATACCATCAGGTCCTAAACATCGGGATGAATTAAGAGACTGGAGACATTTTCGGACATCAGTTTCAGTGAAACTATTAACACAGCTATTCTTTAAACCTGTGGATGAATGGAGCATTAAATAAGATGACTGACGTACGAAAGACTTATTTAAGTCACAAACATTCAGTTGGTTATCATTCCTAATCTGTCTGTCACCTGTAATTTCTTTAAAGTTTCCACATACTTGGAGAGTTTTTGAGTAAACATAGAGTTGAGACGCCTAATTTCTAGGTTTATCAGACCATTTAGCTTACGAACTTCATTAGAGTTTTTCTCCTTTTACATTCTTTCTTTCAAACTCCGTAGTCGTTTTAGTTGTGAAGATGTGAGTCGATCAAAACTTATAAAAATGATACTAGACAGTCGTCCTGTAAATCAACGAACCAAGATTCTTGAATAGTGATGACACCACAATTACGATACATATTTTGAATTAGTAGGAAATGAAGATAGTCCACTTTGTTGATTAGTGATCGGCAGTTAGAATTTAGCAGCTCGGGAATCGACATATGATTAATGGTCATTCTCTTTAACCCATATTGCCAACCACCACGATGTCTTTTATAGTACTTCTTTGTAACTTGTGCAGTGAAAGGTCGTAGGCTTTTCATAAACGCGCCTGTATAGGTTATGCGATTAATGGACATAATGAGACGTTAAAAACAAAATGAAAAAACAGATAACTTGTTGAAACAATTAGATGGCAGAAAAAAGTAACCCAGATATTCAAGCAGGTGTCCGTACATATATATAAACATAGGTCATATTTTTTTAAAGGAAAAACAAAGCCCAAAAATATGGTGATAGTCGTAGGTAAATACATAACATCAAGTTACAATGAACAATAGTCATAAAAGCTTTCCATTAAGTCGAATACACCCATTAGGTCAAAGAAAAATTAGTTTGGAAATCCATACAAGAACTTAAATATTACAATCGCATATACATGTGACAAATTAAGACCCGAACAACAAGCTAGAAGTTTAAGAGTTGATTTTATGGGATCTTGTTTAGTTTGTTAGTTATATTCGCTACAGAAGCACTGAATAGCGGTTCCGCCCTAATGTAGGACTCTCAAAAGTATGCCCCTCGGCTTTTTCAATGGTAACCTAAGGTCATCTAACGACGAATATCACATAAAAATTGTGTTTGTAAGAATAGTAAACCAGTTTCAAGCGAATAACCATGAATGTCATTAAACCAAAAACTCAAAGTAAAAATCACATACTGATAATCACGAAATCTAAATAGGAAAATAATATGGAAGACAACTATGGAAAAATGAAATCGCTAAAAAGGATTATTTTGTTCTATTAAGAACTTAGGGAATGTAGAAAGTATGCAGGATTGACAGTAAACTTGGCCAAATGACTATAGTTCATGAAATTCTTTTAAGAACTGAATAAAAATTGTTACTTTTCATCATTCGATTACGTGATAAATTATTTTAGTTTCCATAATAAATTTATTCCTTCTATTCTCGCATCTTTTCTAAACTTTAATCACCTTTCGCTTATAATCTATCCCATGTTACGGTTGCTATCATGTAAATTCGACATCGATTTTCATTCTCTAGAAACGTGTCTCTATGTCTTCCGGGATTCTCACATATGGTAAAATATAAATATTCATCCACTTTACAATTCTTTCAACTTCATAAAATGATATAAAGTACACACACTGTACATAATTATTACTACTATTGTTTCTAGTTTGTAAGTAGCTGAAAAGAAACCATACTAAGTAAATAAAATCATTTTATTCTCCTACATTTACTGTTCTTAGTTTAGTCAAGTTTATCACTGGAGAAAATCTCATAAAATTGAATGCTTTTATAAAACCTAGTCATTGTTAAATCTGGTACAAGGTTACTACCGCTTCAATTGCTATAATATATTACCAAGACAAATGGCAAAGAGAAAAATAATAATACATATAGTACTAGTGGTAATAAAAATGAATATACAGAATAATTTTAAAGATAATAACAAGTGAGATTGTGCCACAGACTGATTTGGAACCACATTACTTAAGGTCTTCAATCGTTGATTATGATTGCCGTACAAACATCACTAAAACTAGATAGTTTGTATGGTCCAGATCAACGGTCAACAACTACATGGACCAATGACGTGTTTTGGCTCTGCCTAACTTTCTGTTAGCTTAGTCCTACTCCAGCACGTTCAACGTGTTTGAAGAAATTATTCAAGATTCCAGTCTGGTAATAAACCCCAAACCCAAGTTGATTGTCGGTCGAGATTTATCGACAAAGCGTACCTGCAATCATGATGGAACGAATGGTTTGCGCGGCGTTCGAACCAACATTACACAGTGACAAATAACACGACATCTATGTTTAGGCGGTTCAGGTGACTATTTTCAAACTTTTAACATCGAATCACTAAGACTAGTAGTCAAACTGCAACTTGATCAGCACTACATACATGACACTGGTTACTATTAAGTGATCAATCAATAAAACGACTATATTTTTGTTGTTTCTGCTAGGTTTTCTTCAGTCAAATCATAAATTTAAAATGGTATTAAAATATTAGTCAGAGAGAGGACTTTCTGAAATCACATTTGTATTTCTTTTAAAAATCCATTTTAAACATTCCTCTATAAGGCTTAATTAGATGTTTTATACTTGGTGTAATTTTGATTTTACACTTCACTAGCAAACTTGATGTAACACAATGTGCAAGTTTAGATTTACGTAATCTAACTTCAAGTTACATTTTGTGAGCTTTAGTGATAATTTCTCTGAACATAGTGAGATTTGAACATGGAATTGTTAAACTACCATTTACTATTCATATACTTACTGTTTTCATTATTAGTCTTGACGTGTGCCATACATTCCTCATAATTATTTTAATACTAAGAACAGATCATTATTATGATGTAATGAATAAGATAGAAGTGTGAATTATTAGCAACTAATCTAATGATCGAATAGCTGGTATAAAGAAGCAAAGCATTAATTCTAATGCAAATGAATGATATGAGTCCTCCCACCATCGATCTGTAAAATGACTTCGAATCAGTTTACCTTTACATCCATTAACCTTTTTCACATTAGCGTGTTATCTTTTTACACGAAATAACCTATTTTCCTGGACGATCACCTTGTTATCTCATATCAGTTCAGTTGGGAGCTTTATATCAATGATTCGGTCGCCCGAGCAGTTATCATTATGTCATATGGTATTATTGCATCCCATCTATCGGTCTTATCATTGGATTCATTCATTCAAACAACCGAAAACCCGATCATCAAATCATAAAAAAACTTAACTTCATAACAATGATGTTTTTGCAGTCACAAATAATAGTTCTGTTGAGAAAAAGAAACGTAACTGATTACCTTAATTAAAATCTAAATACTGTGGTGTAGACCATTTCTACTCGTATAAACTAGTTGCTTAATACGATTTTAATGTCATGAACCTATTCCAAACGAAACTATATCTTATAATATTGAGAGAAACAATAGGGACAATATAACAAGAGGTAGTGGGGAAGAATAACCTAAAAAATCTTAGGAATAGAAGGAAGCAATATGAAGAAAAAACGCTTATAGAAGGTGATTGAGACTAGAAACGATAAAGTTAACACAGCAACCAATTTCAGCCATATAACTGGTTCCTGCCCTATCATTTATTTAATTTGACACAACTTGATATTTTCCTGTTATTGATGCCACACACCGAGACATAGGTGCATCCAGCTGACGAGTCCTGAATAGGACGAAAAGTATTTCCAATATTCCACACCTAGTTGCCAACCAACTTTAGAAAAATTCGATTTTTAATTTAACTTAATAGCCAAGAGTATAAGTTTATTTGCTCAGATTTAAGTCATAAAATTCCTCTCAGGTCAACTGACACACTATCTTGGTTCACCTACAGCAAATTAGACAGAAACGGAGGTTAAACCTGAGAGCTGATTATGCACCAGCCAGTATATCGATCTAGAAATTCCTTGAAAAGACTACATGTCATGAAATGAATCAAATTCTTTAATACACCACCAAATCGAACAAAAACATTAGTAAACGATTATGTAATAACACCAAACGTAAATCCAAAAAGTAAAGTAATCACTTTGCAAAAGAAAGCCAGAAATTAAAAGTAATTTCAATACAATTAGAAATGTATCATAGACGTGACTCTCAAACCAAACAGTTTTATAGTAGATAGGGACAAATGATAATAATCACATTAACCATAATTCATCGGATATTCCTCATATAAATTTCAATGTAATATAATGTGTAACCAGCTTTGAGTTATGCGTTCCGTGTATGAATAATGCTATTGTCTAGAGTGAAAGTAAACAGAGTCGGATTTTAATTTTCCATCTAGTGATTTATACCCATTAAGGTATGGCTTTATTTTTGATGTAGTTATTATCAATGTTATCGATTGTATAGTTTTACATTAAAAGTGAAATATACAGACAGAATGAATTTTACACGAGAACTTGGTCAGAAAAAGTTTCTACACAGAAGACACTTTTTTAATAATTATTACACAGTAAGAATATCAATCGATACTGGACAACAAAACTGTTTACAAAAAGCATTTCGTATCATTAAAAATCCATCTGTCAAAATTTAGTAAAGTGGAATTGTGCATGCATTGTCTAGATAATCACAGACACAGAAAAATAGTAGCTAGTTCAATCAGCTAACAGTCTCTGAAACTGAGTTTAATATTGTAAGCCAATAATATATGTAAGAAATTATTTTATTTGCTTTACATTACCACTGAGTTTACATGTTTAGCAAAAAAATCACAATGGTAAAGAAATTCCTTTTTTTAATTGAAGTTAATTTTTTTTAATGGACAGAAAACTGTGTTGTCCACATTAGACTATTTGATAAGTGTGCAAGACAACATAAAGATAGTTTACGTCAAAGACTGTGATATGCCGGACAGTCGTTAAGACCTAACTTAAAACTAACCAAAAGTCGGGCATCCAGCCCAATCAGTGATTAAATCCAAGGTCGCAAAGCCTCGTGGCTAGCGTGATGACCTTACAGTACTGACTCGAAAGCAAAAGGCCTATATTATTTTGAAGTTCAATTCGCGATGTAGCATGATAATCATCAGTAAGTAGCTGCATCACACATTACATTGTTAAACTCCACATGTCATAGCTTATCTGGAGAACTTTCTGGTTCTATTATTAAGTTGGCCACTAGTGACCACATTATAATCAATAAAGTTGGGGGAGTTCGTGAAGAGTTATTCGCTATATGTACTCGAATACTTATTAGGATGTATGGGGAAGTTATAAAATGTAAGCTACATGTAGCTCATTTACTTCAGGTTGCATCTTAACAGTATCAAAACCAAGATTAGAAATCAAGCTCTTCCAGCTCTTGTACGTGCATTTTTAATTAAATTCTGAAAAGAAAACAGTAAAACTCACTTGAGATTGATGATTCACGTTAACTTCTGCATTGTTCAATAACAAACTCACAGCATTTGCATCATCTTTTCGTGCTGCAATATGTAGAGCTGGCATGCCACCTCGACTACGTGAATCTCTTTCTAGAAGATGTGCCACAACACGATCATGTCCTTGTTGTAAGGCTACTGCTAAAGGAGTGAAACCATCCTGTAGAAGAAAAAAATGAGAACGAACAACAATACAATCGATCTCAGTTATTACAACACAGAAGTGACTGATAAGGGAATTTAGTGGACGAGTAATCTTTCATTTTAAACAGAATGGAATATTCACTTATGTTGTTTTAGTAATTCGTCGTCGCGTTCACCTTTTCCTAATTAGTCGCTTTAATGTAATTCACTAGCCAAGTACTCATTTATGTATTTGGCATTGAAGAGCATTATGTGAGGGGCTAGAAATGCTGCGTGACTGCTTAAACTGACGTAGATGGGAGCAAGTTTGATCCTGTGACTCACTGATTGAAATGCAACTAGTTTAACTATTAACTACCGCTGTACCACTTTATCTACTGACATTTTATTTTGTTATACGTATTCAACGGTTAATAACAGGTTATATATATGGTAGAAGTGTATCAAAGCCTGGTTGTAAAAACCCTGTCTCCCTGTAATGTGTGTGCCCTTTCAAGGCGTTTTTAGAGATTTGATGTGCTTATTACCAACTGCGAAAACATTGCAATCAATCTTCATGTTTTAGATTTATTTAGGCTTGGTAATTACAAATAATAACTATGTACTGACGCGCTGTTATAAAAGGCCTACGATTACATGTGACGTGAAATATCAGAAAACAGAAACCCTGAAGTTGTGAGAATTTTCTCTTCACTATCTATCCTGTGTAAAAACAAGAGACGAATATATTGTGGTTCATGCATCTTATATACAATAGGTGGAAAAATTTATTGGTAGCAGCTATTCTGATAGAAAACTCATGATTTAAGATGGGTGGCAGATACTAACGATTAAAAAGCTTTATTAATGGTACTTTCAAATAATTGCAATGGGAATATAAGCTAAACAGAAACTGTTATATCAGAACGAAGACTGAAGGAATGGTGACCCCTAAAACTGATTTACGGATAACTTTTATATGTAGTCTTATTACATAATTATTAGGTAACTAGATTATATCTAGGCATTCCGTCTATCTTAAGCTTTCGGTTTACTCATAAACTACTGTCATACGAATTACTATTCCTAGTTTCTTGCAAGTCTCACAGTTTTCCCCCTATTCACAACCACTTTTGACTTGTTTATGTATAATTGTTATTTTTCATTTTATAATATTGTGCGGTTCGATATGTCTGCATATAAACCACGTCCGTTTGAAATATCGATATAGTTGAAACTGGTTGCTATTCCTGGACTAAAGGTAGGGCACAAAGTGCTTGCGAATAACAGACTGATGGCAACTTAGCTGCATACGCTTAAGGACAATAGTACTGCTCAGGTGTGTAATATGCTATAGAGGAAATAGTAGACGCTGAAATAGAGAAAAATTGGAATAAGTATCTGATTGGTGACTTGGAACGAAATACTGGTCAGTGGTCCTTATGAAATGACAAAGTATTGTTGCAATATTACGAAAATTAGTGATAAGAATTCTTTACTAAAAGAAAAATTGTTAGTGTTGAATTACACTGGTTACTATTAGCATCACTACTAATATTCTAGTCTAATAAAATTTAAGGGGTGTTTCCGTACATCAATCAATAGGTCAAATATCAACTCATAAAAATCAAAATAATACAGACAAAAAACATCTGTGCAAGATAATGAATAGGAGTGTTAGGGATGATTCGTTTGTTCAAATCAAGGTATAAGATAAAACCAGAAAAATGCATAACTGTCCAAGAAAATGTGGAAGAAATGATTGATTTCAAAGTCAACTTTTCTGTAGTAATAACAACAACAATAATAATAAATCTAACCAATGTGCGACAGAGAATTTCAGCTAATATTTCCCTAAAATTTATATTTACATACAGGCAATAAATTCTACACTAGTTTATATACCTTTGAAGTAAATGACTTTAAATCAGAAATATTTAACACATGAACATTCTTATATGATCATATATAATAGGCATTTTCTTTAAGAAAAAAAGAATCATAACATCTTTCATCAGTGGTTATCGACTTTTGGTTGGTCTCATGATAACAAAAATATTAAAAATTAGGTGAAAGGAAACCGATATTATTTATCTGCCGAAAATCCGCTTACTTTATTCGGCCTTTTCCTAATAAATGATGAGAACAAAGTACCATTGAACAAACTTACTGACTACAGTTTAAATTATTGGGAAAAGGTATGAATGATGTTAATCACAGTAGTAATAATAAACAAGAATTATACTTTTCTTCTCTTATGCTTTAACTCACTGCACGCTTAATCTAAGTAAGAATTGAATCAGTTTGTTATAACACTACTGGAAATCTCAGATAATTGTGGGAATGTTCAGTTTTTTTATGCACAATTTCAGAAGTGTGTGAGGAAAAGACGAGAACTTAATATGAAAAGTATGTAGACCATTGAGTAGACAACCAATATTTCAAAAGTTAAGAGGTGAACAAGTGTAAGATTATGTTCACTCAGTTAAACTCTCCATTGATTCAGTGAGATCCCCACTTGACTTTTGGATCAATTCAGAAATTTTTCAACTTATTATGACATTTATTTACATTAATTGTGTGAAGTTTGCTCGGTATGACAAACTTTGAATGATTGTGATTAAATATTTGTATAAATGAGTGTAGCCAAATAATTAATAATCTTGCGTCTCTCTCTTCCTCATTTTATCTCTAGTTAATGGGTAGAAAAAAGGATGGGAAGTAGTCTAGTTCATTGTCATTGACGTTGAGGTTGGAAATTACACAACATAATTACAAAAGAAAGATCAATCAATATGACAAAGCCAGCAATATATTATTTAATAGTGAACTACATTGTGACATGGGATGGAGAATGGTAGTCTGCAGCCTACGCTCCATTGGGAGTAACAGGCGTAAGTAAGTAAGTACGTTGTAACATATAAGTTATAATTATATGACAACAATGCGCATCGATCAGCAAACGCTAAGATGAGACATACTATCCAGCTGCTGCGATGGAAATCAATGAAACAGATTTTGAATCTAGTAAGTTAAACTAATCCAACGCATTTATTAAGTACAAGTTTATTTAGCTTCGAGTTAAACTGTTACTATGGTGATTAATTAGTAATGTAACATGCCTGCCAAAGACCAGTTGAGTGCAATGGAATTCTAACCAACAGCAAACCATTAGATGGAAGAATACTTAGAAGTTTCAAACCAATGGTTTAGACATGACTTTAGGAGCTACCGGATCCACAGTTTCCTATTGCAACAATAATAATAACGATTGAAATATGACCGGATTCTTTAGCACAAACTAATTACATTACACGAAATACTTTCACAAAAATAGAAGAGAAAATTCTATTATCCCAGCAAACAAAAATTACCATATTTCTATAACACAAAAAAATAATTGGAAGCTTTTTTAGCAGTGAAAAATCATTTTAGAAAACAAAGATTTACTTCAGTAGTTAATGCTTGGTTTGCACCACGTTGAAGTAGAAGATCAACTACATTAAGATGATTTTCTTGAGCAGCCATATACAATGGGGTAAATCCAATCTACAATTCAACATTTGAAAAAGAAATAAACAAATTCATGAACACTTAATAATGGGGGTTTTATGTAGATTCTGTACAACTTGAAGTTGGTTGCTACAATGAACTGACAGCAGACGGAAAGATCTACTGAAAAGTACAAAGCACCAGACAGCTATTTCATTGGCGTTTATGACTTCTGGATAATGCGTGCGCACGCATTCACGATCTGATAAAGAATTCAAATCAGAAAACTCAGGTTACCAGTGAGCACAAAACTATTAAGCTATTAAGTAAAAATTGGATAAACCCAATCTTTGACTAAAATCAACTTGTGATACACAACAGCGTATAAGAAAGTCATCGGAGAATAGCTGTTGCATCACACTTGACTGATCCTATAAGTCATGGCTTCTCGACAGAACTTCAAGAAATCTTTCTCAAAAAGTCATAAAATTATTGATTACTGGTGTTTCTTATAGTTTGAAGGGAGTTTTCATCAAGAAATATTAGTAAGTCAAATAATGACGATCAAACCGACCAACAACATTCAGAGTTAGAATGAGTAACTCCTAAATAGTATCTGATTTACAGATAGAATCTAGTGTTCAAATACAAATACCATAAATAAATATATTTCGTCAAACTGACATTCCATTTCAGTAATATGAGAGTAGCCATGTAATCGGTTTGTATGGCGAGTTAATAACGTATAACATGGTGTGTGTAAATAAAAATGTACTGATATATGCGTATAACGATTCGCGTATCTGACTTAGAGCCACACTTCAAATGGAAAGTAATATTGTCCCAGCACCAAATTTGGAACTGAGGAGATCTGTTTAAACACGAGTGTTCTAACCAAGTGACCACCCTGTATAAATAAAAGTAAGTCAGGAGTTATGCATAACTTTGCTTTTTAAACCGTAACCTACGCAAGTTCTTTGTTGGTTGATATCTTACAAATGAATTGACACATGTCTTTACGCAACCCAGCTGGAAAATTTAGTTATAAATTCTAGAAACATCGACAACAAGCTACCTACAGAAACTAATAATAATCAGTTTTATCATTTATGAATAAACAGTAATTAGTGAAAGTAGGGTTCTACACTGATTCAGTATTCAGAAGCGTATAACGTTAATTACTTCTGAACTGAACAAAGGAACTATGAAGCATATGAAAAAAGTTATCCATGAGTCCATAAAGTGGTGATCAGAAGTCGACACTATCAGATCAGTACAAGGAAGACGAAAAGAATACACTTAGGTAACCATCTTTGTTACATGCATAAAACATATCTTGTAACTTATGAATAATTACTTAAATGGTAAACAAGTTCATTCATGAAAAAAAATAGTTTAGATTGAACAATGTAATAAAAGACTATATTCTAAGCTAAACCATAGATTTTACAGTGCATCAATATTAAAAATAGTTGGTGGTAAACCTGACTGATAAATGTCACAACATAACTAAACTGGTGTCGATTAGCTACAATTAAGTTACTCTTCGATGAAAAATGAGTTCCTGAGAAATCTATTAATTCGACAAATTTTATTGTTCGCTTTCACGATAAAGTATGATGATAGCTAGTTTCTCACAATACTCGCTAATTAGCTAATTAATTAACCATTTCCGCTAAAACTTACAACTGACTGACGATTTATATTGGCACCAGCATCCAAAAGTAGCTTGACAACTTCGAAATGACCAGCTAAACTTGCGATATGAAGTGCTGTATTTCCTTTCTTAGTAGGAGCATCGAAATCTGCTCCACGTCGAAGTAGCTCATCGACAACATGAACATAACCTTCTTTTGAGGCTAAATGAAGTGCAGTAAGTCCAATCTGAAATATATTACGCAAAAAATAGTAGTATAATTAGCAATCTAAAAAGGCTAAAATTAGATTAAATGACTGGTGAGAACAGTGAACCAGACAAACAGTAACCACACATACTTAGGCTATTGATAGTTTTGATGTTTCAATGTATTTAGTCACTGATTTTAAAAAATCCTCACCATTCGAAAGTTTAAATACTGAATACGTTACATTACCATCTTTTTAGCTTTTACAGATCTGTTTCAATCTTATTAAAGATATTCATTACCAAAATTCATAAACCCAAACTGAATTTAAAAAAGGTAAGGTAGAAGGATTAATGATTTCAGTACACAGCTTAAACGTCCGTTCCAACGAATTCCATTTGAGGATGAGTAGTAGTATCAATAGCTTTCATTGAAATGTGCGTCCAACAGACAAGTACATAAACTTGTACTTGGTACGCGTTTGCTACAGAATTGAACTCATATGCTCACGAACATTGTGACTGGTAGTTTATATAGATTGTAAATATATAGTTATAAGTTGAACCCGCAGTAATCACTAACTTTGTTCAGCTAATAAAACGACTAGCAAACTGTATATCAATCTTTAAAAAAATGAAAATATTTCCTATGAGTAGCATAATGTTTCTTGTATGGTGGATATAATAATAAAATCAGCAGTAGTTACTCAGTAACCAAATACTAAAACTAAAAAAATCACAAATATATAAAAATCCATGAGTAAACCAAATCAATTGATTTCACTTGGAGCCCTTCTAGGGTTACCGACGGCCCAGAACCCGGATAAAGGAGAAGGGTTGGATACGGGGTCAGCAAACCCATCCTATAAAAAGCTATTTTGCTAAGAAGACGCTAATTAGAGAAAAATCCTTGAAACCACCCAGGCTTTGTGCTGACAGTTGTTATGACGCCATGTTGTGAAAGCCGAGATTCTTCAAAAATCATGAGGTCGATACCCCTTCTAACAACCAGAGCAACAATTAACATAAGTACATAGAATATCCACACAATCAGAGAGACCGATAAGACCATTCAAGTAGCTGCAGAAATGAAAAACATACAAACTGTCGATACTCGAAATAAGTGAAGGCCATTGGAAGGAAGCTGGACAAAAAAGATCAGCTTTGAGAGAAGTTCTGTCGCACTCTAGTCATGAAGAAGATGATGCTTCGTACACACAAGAAGTTGCACTGACACCCTCCAAAGAAGCACGATAAGCACTTATAGGATAGCAATCTCATGAATCCAGGATCAACAAAGTGTCCTACAAAACAAAGAGGAAGGCTATTATGATGAACGTTATCCAGTGCGATGCACCCACCAATGAAAACAATGAAGATGATTAAGATCAGCTTTACAAGAGGCTGCAGTCGATTGTAGAATAGTGCCCAGGATATGACCTGACCATCCCGATGGAAGACCTAAACTCCAAGGTCGAAATGGACACAATCGGGTATGAAAACATCATGGGACGACATGTATTCGCAGAAAGGAATCAGAGTGGTGAGAGATTTGCAAATCTATGTGCCTTCGACAAAACGGTTACAGATGGCATCACATTCCCGCATAAACGCATACACTAAGTTACATGGGTTTCATGAAGGATGCAGGAAAAAGGCAAGAAACTGATATAGCTCCAGATCAGCACAGTGGTGGCCAAGCTAAACCTGGAACTTAAAAAGTGCTGGACAACTGCACAAACAGCATTACAAATGTCTAATACAACTTTTCTTTCAGATTCTGATAAACTCAATCAATTCAACCCTGTTCAAGAGCATTAAAACTTGCACGCAGAAGTACGTGAAAGACCTAGTAATCAAAGCGGAAAGACCTGCAAGAGAAGAAAATATGAAACAACTTTACATTACAACGAAAAAACTACCTAGGGAATTTGGTGAAAGAGAGCGACCAGTCAAGAACAAAGAAACCAAGCCAATCACTGAGATCTAAGAGCAGCGGAACAGGTGGCTAGAGCACCTTAAAGAACTCTTGAGTATATCAGCTCTACTGAACACTTTGGACATCGATATACCCCACAGAACTTACTGTAGAAGTTATCCCACCAATAATCGGAGAAATTAGCGTATCCATCAGATAAATCAAGAATGGGGAAGCAGCAGGACCAGACAACACACCAGCTGAAGCACTTAAGTCAGACATAGAGGTAACTACAAACATGCTCCACACTCTCTTCAGAAAGATTTCGAAGGAAAAACACGTATCAACAGACCGGGAAGGATACCAAAGGAGAGAGGTTTTAGTGTGAGAATTAAAGAGATATCACACTATTATCAGTGCCAGGGAAATTTGTCGACCATCATCAAAAAAAGTACAGGTATTTATAAACAGTTGTCCGTGCAAGACACTCCAGGTCCATTGGTCGGATATCACCAGCAACAACCTACTGTGACAGACAAATAACCAGCCTTCAGTTGAAGAGGGAATTAAGGTAAGACGCTAGAGGTGGGTAAGACATACATTGAGCGAATCAACAAATTACATCATGAGGCAAGTTAAAACTTCGAGTTCTGAAGGCCAAAGAATGCATTGTGTCAGGAATTGAAGGTAGACATGTGAACGAACAGCACTTGACAACAACTGGAAAGGAGATTAAGGAACACGGTAGGTTGGAGAATCCTAGTCGATAGCCTACGCTACACGAGGGGTAGCATGCACAATATATAATAAACCAAGTTACGTGTAAAGCGGTGAGGACTCTGAACCCAATACATAAAACCCAAGTGCTAGAACAAGTTGTAATTTTGCCTTAGCTTGTGATAAAACTTACATCTTGACATTGGTTGCATAAACAAATAGCATACAGTAAGTAGTTCACAGCAAGTGAACCTATCTAAAATGAGCCGATATTTTAATCTAGAATTTAAATCCTTAGTCTAGTTTGATTTCATTAACGTAGAAAACGATTAACCGATTCTATCCAAATTTTAATTTTATGAAGATTTGATACCGTTATCAATATTAAATCTATATACTTACCGAGTTGGATAAATTGATGTGTACACCAGCGTTCAAAAGTTCTACAACTTTTGACAGATCTCCAGCACGAGCTGCACGTAAGAAGTTCTGCTCAGTTTCGTTCTGTAAAGAAACAAATGGACAATAGGTTTGCCAAAATATTTGGTGTGAACCGAAATGTTTAGCAACCTTAAAAATTCTCACTTCCCAATTTGATCTACCGAAAATTCACATCTCATTACAAAAAATTACTACGGCAAAAATTCAAAAATCGAATGGACGCAACAGCGCACCAATAGAAAAACTACCAATATGTCGACAAACATCCCTAAACATGATAATATCAATTTTATCCGACACCATCTCCACTTATTAATTTACAGTATAACTAAGTACAAAAACACCCATAATTTAATTGATGTGTGGTAACTGCAGAACGCGGGAGCACAGACAAAATGTGTTACCTTTTTTGACACAACCCCTAACTAAATTGTCTCAGAAGGATTCTGTATGAGTGATCCGAAGTCAGATTTCCTAAACAACAATCCAAAGTTGTGTCGTGTAACATTCAAGACGAGTTTATTAAGAATTATACTTCAGTCATTCATAGATATTATTTTCACCAAAATAAAATGCTTAGAATATGGCCCAGTAACAAAATTAGCACACGTATAAAACCCTAGATGGACCAATATATGACAAGTTTAGTCAATTCAAATATGACTACCCTGGATAGACAAAGCATATTTCAAGCGAACATTTAGGTGTGACAGTTCTACAAACTAGTTATTTAACGGCAAATGCGAATGAGCCATCAGGAAGATAAGGTGGGAAACGTATGTCTTGACGTTTTATGTTATAACCAGATGCAACAAAGTGAATTTCGGCAGAGAAAAATTGGTAAGACTATAATTTATGGACGACCTTTGAGCAACGCTAAAATGACCTCGGAATGTCCACCTGCTCACCGTGGTTAAATGAGGGTTATAAATTAGTGCGAGGAATTGGGATTAGGATTTACAATTGAATGTTAGGGTTGCGAACTGACATCAGCTATTTTTATTTTTTTATTTCAACACATAGATAATGGTACAAAGAGGCACCAAATACATGTGCGCCAAACAAATCTCATTCGATATGTGTGAGGGCTATGATACTGCCCAGGGTGCCCAGACCGAAGTAGGTGGTTTTCTTAGGGGGCCACACTCCGAGCCTTTGACCTAATGGTCTGATCCACAAGGCAGTGGAGCATCGTAAGGAGATGCAGTCCCATGGAAGCCGGTGACCAGCAATTGGTTCATACGCCATTTGTTCCCGCAGGATACTGGAGCCCATGTGCACCATTGGTTTTGAATCCGGTTAAAGCGCCGGACATTCGCTTTTCGTCCTCTCATTTTCGTAAACAACACCCCCGCCACGAGAAGGCAGTGAGTAGGACTTCCCTGGCAGAGGCTATATACGCGTGGCCGTGTGAGAGCATTTCGAGAGGGAGAGCGGACTCTCCCCACTCTCGGCCGTACCAGGGCATTTGGGTACATCAGCTATAATACTAAAATGGTATTTAACCAATTGGATGAATTAATTTCGCGCCAAAATCCAAGTCCTGTTATCTTAAATGCCATTGGTTTGTCTATAAATGATAGTCTCACACAAAAATTAAATAAACTTGGTTGCAAAAAACTTAAGTGCCAAAATAATTCAAGTCAGAAATAAAGCGTTAAGAAGACGAGGGATTACAAAACTATTAAACTAAGTAACGGAAAGTTTTCAGCCTGAACCTACCTAACTTAAGGCTAGATAATTAGTATATGACATTAAGTTAGGTCTACAGTGAGTGAAACCTGATGCCTGTAAGTGAAAAAGAGTCAAAAACCCATTTACAAGATTTTAGTCGGTGTTAACCTATATAATGAAACCATAGTGATAAATGTTGCAAGACATCTAGCAATAAATGAAGTGGTTGGTTGGTTTATGAACCTTTATAAACCGACATAATTAGGTGTTCCTCATGTCGATCTTCCTTTTACATTAATGGACTGGCTAAAACTGAGTTAACAAGATGGTGGTGATAAGAAGACAGCGAATTCACTTTCCTTTTATTCAGGTCATCTAGGTGTCCATGAGACCATCACAACTGAGAGTTGGAGAAAAATTTGCAGTGCAGAGACAACTTTTTATCTTTATCGAAGTAATGAACATGGTACTATTTCAAACTCTTTATCTTTCGTACGTTTCTTTTAATTTTTTATTTCGATTTACCTTTACCTCTATTAGTATTAAAGTTGTTATTTATGGCTAAGTGCTGACCGTACTTTGCAGTCGTCGCTAAATATGGCAAATTGTAAAGCAGTCATGCTGTTCACAGAATACCTTCCCATAAAGTTTACTTCGGTAAAACTTGACCACAAACCACTGAGGACAGAAAATACAGATCGTATTTGTCAACATGATACTGATACGTCATCAACCTAATCAGTGAATAATACATGCAGTTCGCCTAGCTTCCGTGTGTTTCATTAGACTAGTTATTACACAGGTTGCGTAAAAACACACTTTCAAGCATTTCATGCAGAATATTCGGATGTCTTACGACACATTGGGTAACTTCACAGAATGAATGTTCCGGAGTAGTCAATCCAATAATGCCATATAGTAATCGATAGATACATTTGTTTAGTAAAAATTCGTATTTGAAACAGAATTGTCTTTTGACAGTAACTAGTCAATGGACCACATAGTACAACAAATCTGCATTTTAGACGTTAACAGCATATAAAACTTCGTGGTAAGCCGAGTCTCTAGCTTTTGGCTTATGAATGCAGATCCTTATACCTTAGAAACTTATGGAATATATAGACAAAGGTAATAAAAAGTTTAGCAAACTACTAAGTGTCATGGGATTAACTCACCAACTGACTCGAAACCTTTTTACCATCACTGGACTTGGTCATGTCTCCCGAAGTTCAAATAGTGCGGGATTAGGTCAAGCAGTAGATCATGGAGTTGGTTGATTAAAACGTCTTGGACAAAAAACTATTTGACAAATAAATTTGCCAAGAACCCAAAAGGAACTATATTTTAATCTGCCTTCGTGTGACTCATCCAGATGTACTTATAGTCAATTTGACTTAAAAAAAGACATGAATTTGCAAAAAAGTCTCCAAAATAAATCATTCTGTTAGTCGTAATTATTAATGCTGACCTCATTAGTTTTACTGGATACACCCCTTATCTAGGCACTCGGCCAAGCACCCGCACCTGATCATAATTGAGTATACCGTGTCACACACTTCGCGCAGCAATCGGTTTGCTCAAATTACCTGTTTCTCAGCACATCGACCATCCTCCATATATATATTCGAACACCTCAAGACAAGACTTCTTGTTCGACTGATATTCCGATTCTTGATTGGAAACGTGTTACGGACAACAGTGTTGTGTCGCCACAAAAATCAGCGACGTTAATAGTGGTAAAGATGCAACAAGTACTCGGAATTTGACAACGGCTTAACCAGTAACACTTTTTATAATCAAAATGTGCCAACCCTGTGCAATCAAAAGCCAGAAGCGAAGAGGTTTTAAGATATATTTGACAGAATATCGGTATGTCGAAAAGTGATCAATCTAAGCTGGCTGGTGGTTGTGAGAGAAATGAAGCATGGCGTGCCCACTCGTAATCTGGTGCGGGTGCATGACCGAGCACTTCAGCTAGGTGAGTACATTAAAAATGATGCGGTCAGAATTAAATATCGAAGACTTACAGAGCCATTGATTTCGGGGGGTTATTTATCGCTCCAGATCATTACCCCCTAGTGGCGCAAAGATGACCCTAAGACGTGGCCAGCCAGAAGTTTAAACCCAACCAGTTTGTCGTTGTTAAACACTCTTCTGATACCTTGCAGTGTTCAGCAGCGTCTGGTTGCCTTTGCTCACTATAAGAAACCATGTGATACAATAAAGTAGTGTAAAACTGGTAAAAATGGAAATTTCGATTCATCGTAAACTTCGCCGCTCTTTTCATGTATTGATTATACGGATTTTTACAGGACGGCTGGAAAAGATGAAAAGGATATTCAAGTGCATGTCGAATTACACTCGTGCGTGAGCAAAAGGAAAATAAACTTATATACATGCGTTTCGTAAACATTCAACGGCGTGGTAAAGACTTCTGCAAAGTGATTTTTTGCTTGTTTCTTATCGAAATAATGAGAATATACACATACAAGAGAGCATGTAGAATTATGGTCTGCTATGATATTAGTACTGCTCTAATAATAGACCTAATCCTAAAATTGTAGATTCGTCATGATATAACCGCCTAATCTATAAGATCTTACGTGGAAGTCACACCATCGACTACAACAACTCATTGTGTCGTATCAATTACCAATACATGATGAAGAACAAGGTTAGGCTAGAGAAGGAACAATATATTTAATATGAATAGAAGATATGAGGTAACATTCAGAGGGACCACGCCTGCAGGGCCGAGCCATGCAATCCGATCAACTCCCATTCATTCAATTAACTGTTCCCGCCTTTTCCATCGTTAGGTATTTCTCCGCGTTAAATATTGAATATCTATTTTCCGAGTAGTGTTGTGTTCAGCTTTGAAGATTGTGTGGTCATGGTCCAATGCCACTACAAGCATACTAACAACAACAAAATTTTGGTTTTGATTTTTTAAATAAAAAACTAACTATATATATGAGCTTACTGAAAGTAACTTTCGTTTGTTGGACATAATAATGCAAAAAAATCGAGGCGAAACAAAATGTTATATAGTGTCACTCTAACAGTAATTATTTAAGTGTTCTGGAAACCCTGCTCTTCTTCCAAAACGCCTTATTTCTAGTTCGTTGTCGGATACCACCAAAATATCATCGTGATTGTTGATTATCTGGTGAAGTATCGTAATTGTGAGACTAGTGTCTTTCGATTGTACCGACGGAGAATCAACGTGAATATGGTTTCCTTCTAAATACGCTGCTTCGAGTCGATCGATGCTGATGCCATCGCTAGTTCTGTTTTTGTAGATGGTATAGTACATAGGTTCACTCTGAAGGACTTTGAAAGATCCTTCGTATGCCATTTCGAGTGGTCATGGAAGTAAGACGCGACGTACAAATACGTGTGCATTATATCGTAGGGCAGGTTCAACGAAAACAATGGTCGATTGCGGTTGAGTGGAAACAGGTTTGACTGAACGCATTGAGTTTGTAAGCCTCCTCGTGTAAGAGTTAGGATTCATATTCCTTGAAGAAGATAAAGGACCCACAAATTCTCCCGGAAGTCTGAGTATCTTTCTGTAAACGACTCGAGCTGTAGTGAATCGAATGTCAGCTTTCACTGCATTGTGAATACCGAGTAAAATGAGTAGAAAAGGGTCGGTCCATTGTGAAACGTTTGCAGCTGTGAGTAAAGCTGTAAGCTACAGGTGAAATCGTTCTGCCAACCCGTTTGTTCGTGGCTGGTGGTGTGTAGCCGCATGATTCCTAATAGTGTAGTTAGATAACGGAAAAGTCTAGATTGGGACCGGAGTTCACGGTTTGTAGTGATAGTGGAAGGGCTGCCGGTTTTCCATCCATGGCTCGATAAAGGTGGCGGCCACTGCTTCAGCAGTAATGTCCTTGATGAGTACTGCTCCTGACCACCGAGTGGAATGGTCTACTCAAGTTAAGAGATAAGAGTATTCATTTGAATCTGCTAAGGGTCTTACCAAATCCAGATGTACATGGTCAAAACAAGCATTGGAAGTTTCGAATGAGCGTAAGGGACATTTGTTGTGTCTGATTACCTTAGATTTCTAACAGCTTACACAGGAGCGTGCCCACTCCCTCAAGAAAATTGTTATGCTACCGGCTTGATGGTTGCACGAATACCTGGATGAGAAAGTTTGTTCAACGTATTGAAGACGTTGCGTCGATAATGTTTCGGCACGATTGAACGATTTCTACCTGTGGACGAGTCACGTAGCGAAGTGTTCTTACCCGTTCCCGTCTATTTAATATGTAGTTTCAGGGTGGTCGAAGATAACTCGTCCTGAAGACCAGAGTTTTCTTTTTGACACTGAGCGAGTTTAAAAACGTCGATTCCTTGGAAACTGTTCAAGAAAGTTACACAAGACAAAGCATCTGCAACTACGTTGTTTGTCCCAGAAATATGTTATATAACTGAAGTAAACTGCGAAATGTAGTCCACTTGTCGAGACTCTCGAGGGGAATACGTGTTTGAAGATGAGCTTAGAGAGAAGGTAAGAGGTTGGCGATCGGTGAAAATTGTAAATCCTCAGCCTTCTGTGGAGTGTTGAAGGTGCAGTGCAGCACAGTATATGGCTAGGGGTTCTCTACCGAAAGTGCTACACCTTGATCCAGTACCTAGAGACCGTCTTAAGAAAGATGCTAAAGATTGCCAGATGTGGTTAATCCATCGCTGTAAGACGCCTCCAATTGCCGTGCTGGATGCACCTACTGCGATACCAATCGGTGCTTGGGTGTCCTGGTGTGCGAGTGATGTTGCTTTGGAGATTAGTTTCTTAACTGTGGAGAATGCTTTCTTTGCCATATCGTCCAAATTGATGGACCTGGCAAATCCACAAAGCTGATCTGCGAAAGATCTCACAAGAGGTGTGCTATTCTGTACGAAACGTCGATAAAAAGTTACTAGGCCGTTAAGCGTCCGGAGTTGCTTGATTGTTGTTGGTTCTGGGTAATCCAGAACGGCCGCTATTGTGCTTCATGTAGGTCGGATACCTTGAGCGTCAGTAGCATGTCCGAGGAAATCTAGGGAGTTGGTACCGACCTGATATCCATGGACCTTTAAATAAATGCCATGTTTTTACAGTCATTGGAAGATAAGGTCTAGATGCTGGAGATGAGATTCTCTGACCGGACTTGCAATCAAGCAGTCGTCAACATAAACATGTACGCCGTTGAGACCTCGAAAAACGTCGTCGATGAATGTCTGAAAGGTTTGTTCAGGGCTTCTCAAACCGAAAACATGTGCGAAAATTCGTGGAGTACGGAAGGTGTGATGATAGAGGTTTTAGGAATGTCGTCAGTAGTCATGGGAATTTGGTTATGTGTTTCAATTGAGGCAATGTTCAAAAAAACAGTCGAACCTTTTTTAGGTATCTGTCAAATTGTGAATGTGAAGCTGTAAAAACTTAGGTTAATTAGTCAATAGTTTTCCTCAAACAAATAAGTATAAATTAAAACAACGTAGCTCAAGTATTCATTCGCTTCCTTATTTCGTATAGGCGTTATATTTCCTATTATATCATATTGGAAATTGAAAAGCTTTGTGTGTTTGGATAGGCAACCTCCCGCGTCACTGTAACGGTCCCATGATCTAAATAAAGACCAATTCACTACTTGTCTAGTTTCTTCTATCTATAAAACGAGGGTTACTTTCAGGCACAAAACTGGTGAGCTCTGTATTGAACACAAATTTAATTTTGTTTAGTCATTACTACTATCTTTTTATTTAGTCGTAAAAGTAGACTTTCTGATTATTCTTAACAAAAGTCTGGCATATATATTTATGTAAAGACTCTATGACTAGCTAGCTATTCTGATGCGCCCCAACCCAGCTAACTAGAGAGAGAAATCCAAGTTCAAACAGGGAAATATATTCCGCAAGCAGCCAGAAGCACGAGCAATCCCGACAAGTCTAGTCGTAAATTCACTCATTTATATACTGGTTTGTACACCCATTATGATTAATAATCAGAATGAATCACATACGTGAAAAATACTTCACACAAGGATATCGTATGTTGTACAGAATAAAATGTCGTAGGGGAAAACGAAACAATTACTATACCGAGTGATCATCAAATTGAATTAAACGGAATTAATGTTGATTAAAAATCATAATGAATAAATTCGTCTAAATTTGACTTTTCATCACGTCATAAAACTATCCCATGCTACGTTCAACACTGTTTGGG